AAAAATAGGAGACTCGAAGCTGCAGATATGAAGATAATTCAGGCAGACGGACGAGAAATAAGGATAACCGGTGCGATATCCCTGCCTATAAGTGTGGGAGGGGTATCCACTATGCAGAAATTTTATGTAGCCCCAACCATCTGTAGGGCAATGATATTAGGCCGAGACTGGTTGGAGAGCAATAAGGCTCAAATTAGCTTTAATCCAACCTTCTTAAAGTTAGGTGGAAAGGAGATTCCTCTCGGAGCTCCGATGAATGAAGAAGTGGTCGTTCTTCCTACTAAAGACATTGTTTTGCCGCCGCGCACGGCTATTGCATGTAACGGAAGGCGGTCACCAGCAGAAAACCTAAGGCAAGGAATATATCAGGTAACTCCAACTGATAAAGGTTACTTCGAGAAAGGGGCTTGTCTTTTGGAATTTAAAGATAAAGTAACAGCTCGCAAAGCTATTAAAAAGATGCACAGATACAAAGTTAAAGACAGACAAATTGTTGTCAGAAAGGAAAAAGAAAGTGATCGACAAATGACGCAACAAATGAAAAATCAGCAGCAGCAACATTCAATGGTAGCTGGCTTGACAGGTCCTGGCCCCATGGGCATGGGTGGCATGGGTAACTGCGGTGCTGGTGGTGGTACTGGCGGTGCTGGTCCCAGTCCACAGCTTCTACAAAATCTAGGCATTGAAGGACCTCTCACAAATACAGTATTTATAGCCAATCTTGATTATAAAGTGACATGGAAGAAACTAAAGGATGTCTTCAAACTGGCAGGCAATGTTCTACGTGCAGAAATCAAGCAAGATAAAAATGGCAAGAGCCGAGGGATGGGAATTGTCACCTTTGAACACCCCATGGAAGCAGTACAAGCTATCTCTATGTTTAACAGCCAGACTTTGTTTGACAGAGCTATGGTTGTACGCATGGACAAAACCAGTGTGGATACATCAAATGACAAAACTTCACACCCCAAATTTAATTTGCCCAGTGGTTTGAAATCAGTTGGTATGGGCTTGGGTCTTGGTGGTCAACCAATGCAGAATTTTAATCAGATGTCAGGTGGTGGACAGATGGGAGGTGGATTTGATGGTGGAAGTGGAGGAGGTTCTGGTGGTAACTATGGAGGCAGGGGTGCCATGGGAAGGGGAATGAGTGGTATGGGAAATATGGGTGGTGGCCCCATGAATAACTATAGTGGCATGAGTGGTATGGGAGGAGGCATGGAAAACATGGGAGGAGGTATGGGAGGTAATATGGGTGGAATGTCAGGTGGTACAAACACTGGAATGGGTACTGGCATGTCGGGTATGGCAGGCAAGATGAGTGGTGGAATGTTGCCAGGCAATAGGGGCATGTCTGGTATAGCAGGTATGTCTGGAGCTACCAACATGGGCAGCGGAGCTGGTGGTATGGGAGGTGGAATGGGTAGTAACATGAGTAGTGGTATGGATGATGGTTATGGCATGGGTGCAAATAACCTTGGACCCAAGGACTTTGGCTCAAATCAGGGAATGGGTGACACCTTTACCAGCAACATGAGTGAAATGGGTGGCCTTGGAAGCATGGAGGCCATCAAACCTGTTTACTTGGGTTATTTAATGGGAACAAAGAGGAGATTGAACGAACCTGCAACATAGAGGTATCAAAAAGCAAATTGATGCCACAAGCCATAGGCTTGTCAGACGGGGTGTGGGCGGTAGCGTTGGAGACAAATTTAGATTTGTCCCAGGTATGCAAAGGAGGCCAACACTAACCATTACAGCCAGCCCCCGCCCCTATCTATCATAAGCTTACCTATGGGGTGCACAGCCTTCGGCACGTATTTCACACTTCCGCCTTTTTACCAAGCGGAAGAGAGATTTGAATCTAGAGATTCTTTCCTTGCTCTCTCAAACATCTCATCGGCTCGTTGGACAGACTTGTGGACACCTCTCGTTAGAACATCGTTGAATTTTACTGCAAGGAAACTTCCACAACTATTAGAGAAAACAGAAAGAATCGATTTACAAGACTTAGTTGATCAACTAGAGACGATAGATGGGGAGGCTCTTCCCCAGGGGAGTTGGACCACTAAATCTGTAGCCTTGTTATCAGTTGGGGGATGTATTTTGGTGGGGATAATATTAATGATAATTCAAGTAGTTTGGGGAAGGCAGTGGTTAAAAGATGTAGAAGAATTATGCCGGCGAGGGGACTGAATAGCAAAAAAGGGTGGATCACCCGTTGAAACCACGGAGACCCGAGGGACAGAGAACCCTGAAACTGATCCTGAGAAAGGAACCCAGGCAGAGGAACGGTTGCAACTAACGGCCGTACGATTGGAGGGTAAAAAAAAAAAAAAAAAAAAAAAAGAACTGATATTTCATATTCCTCTTCCTTCTAATGGACAGGGTGCTCCAGGAGCATGCACATACTAAAAAAAAAAAAAAAGAAAAAGAAAAAAATGTCTTACTTTTAAAAAAAAAAAAAAAAAAAAAAAAAAAAAAAAAAAAAAAAAAAAAAGGGAAGGAGAGCAAGAAACAACTGTGCTTGAAAAAAAAAAAAAGAGAGATAATGATGATGAAAAAAAATATTTTGAGAAAAACAGAAAGAAACATTTTAGAAACATTTATTTTTTTTTTTGTTGTTGTTCTGTTTAAAAAAAAAAATGTAAGAAAGGAAAATGGAATAGGTTTGGAGAACTTTAAACAGTTGAAAAAGAGACTGATAATGAGGAACAGTTACATCGCTTCTATAATTAAGCAGTGGACTTGCTCAGAGTTATGTCTGTTATATTTGTGTTATTTAATTTTTTTTTTTTTTTTTTTTTTCTTTGGGGAGAGGGTGGAAACACTCCTCTCTCTTTGATTTTATTGGGTAAACTGTGCTTCAATTATTCTGTCGGGCGCCATTGACCCCCATTGGGAGGGGGGGCGTCCTCAGCAAACTTCCATCATGACGGAGCAGGAAGGCTCAGGGATTTGTGGCTTATCTTTCAGGGCTGGTAACAGGAGTTGAATTGACCAAGAGTAGAATCTCTTCCAGAAATAAAAGGGAATGGATGTAAATCGGAAAGCAAAACTTTAAGTTGGGAAAGGCGTTCATTAACGAAGAATTGACATTCAAACGTAGCGATAAACCAACTGCGTGGATTCATTGATGCCACCAGCTACGAAGACAAAATTGATGAATTGGTTGTGGAAAAAAAAAAGGAAAAGAAAAAATGGGTTGAGGAAATAAAAAGAATGGTAAATAATGCCAAATTGATTAATAAGAAAGTTCATAATTTTGGTTATGGAGGGGAGGAGAATACCCCTGTGGAATCAAAATAATTTTTGTGGCGATGGCGTGCCGACCTGAAGAAGCATCGTGTCATGATTTTATTTTTTGTTTATTGTAATTTATTAACATAAATGACAAGATCCGTTGGGGAGGTAATGTGACACGATAACTAGGCGTCTATTAAAGTTGATTTGTAAAATATGTATTTTATTTTAATAAATAAAGAATAGAAAACGGTTAAGAATAGAAAAATAGTTTAAAAACATGTGTTTCGTTTAACAAAAGTACTAAGGGAAAATAAAAGGAAAAAATAAATAAATAAACGCTTTTTCTTTTATAAGTAAATTTGTGGAAGAGAAAAGGGCATCAGATTACTGTTAAATCCTACCAGTCATCCAATAAAATATTTGACTAAGTGATTAGATGTGATAAAAGATAAACGTTTAGGAAATAGATTTTAAATGACCAGGTCAAAAAAAAACCTTCTTTACTGTATCTCGGCAACATTAAGGAAATAAAGAAAAGATAACAGAATTTTCCCTTTCTCCAGGCAATAAAAAAAAGAAAAGGGCTATAAAAACATCCGACGGCCTTCACACGAAGATTTGTTAAGATAAAAAGATTTAAAAATCCTGGAAAATACATCGTGGGAGGCCGATTACAGACAAGGATTTTACACATCAAAGAAAGCAAAATTTAAGTACCTTGAAATTTTTAACTTACAGTCGCCAATGCTTATCTTTTGTTTTCACCCGGTGGTCTAGGGACTTCCGATTAGTTCAATATAAATACGAGTGATTTTTCCGAGCCGGGCAGTTCAGCCGGGTGTGTGCTTGAAGTAGCCACGTGTGTCAGGCACACTGAAGAAGTGAAACTCCGTTCGTCTGAGTCGGTCGGTTCGGCATTTGATCTCCATTAGTTAGAGTTAGAGCTGAGTGTCACATCGCCTACCCCAACGGCAAGACTAAGTCTGAACGAAATAAAGCGTTGATTAAACTCACCTAAGTTGTGGAAGTTCGTTCTTTCAAGGGTTTATCTTGTGCCCCCAGCTTGAGACTTCGACTTTTTCAACCAACCCCCCGGCAACATCACAGCGTGGAGAACGGCCGCCGGAGAAATTGTACGGAGCTCACAAGGGGTGTTACATATATATATATATATATATATATATATAATTATATATAAAACTCTGTATTTCTGAGATAAGATATTGTAACTATTTACACTATTTACATTGTTCAGACTGTTGTCCACATCTTTATTGCCAAATTCACAATGTTTTGGAAGGGAATTAATTGAAACTGAGATATCCAGAAAAGGCATGGCATGTGGAACTAGAACACTCTATCCCAGTCAACTAAATTATGATTTGAAATTCCAACGTATATCAGATGAAGAAGGTCAGAGTGTATAATGGCCGAAATGTTGTGAATATGACAATAAAGATGATGACATCAGTCTGAACAATATAAATAGTGTGTATATATGATGTTAATTACTTGTAGTTATTTCAAATTTATTTACTTCTCCAAAAAATATTGTTTTGCTGAAATTGAAGTTAAAAAATGTGACATAATTTTGTGTTTATTATGCTAATCTTACCAATTTTTAATGTTTATATTCTTTTAAAATGATGTTCCTTAATTTAATTAAGTTCTTTTTGATAAATATTTCTTTTGCTCAAAATATTTACAAATTCATTTAAGTACAGATTTGGATTAATCGCTTGTGTTTTTTTCAGTCCAAAGAAGACATTGCCACCAGTCGCCCCTGCTTGTGCCAGTTATAACCGGTTTCAAGTGGACAATGTACAGCATCATGGGTGAGTGATTTTCTTCTCATTTTTGGCTTCATTTGTTTTGGTATCTTTAGCACTTATGTTTTGACATTTGTATAAAGAGGTCGTATTATACAAATGTTAGTCTATCACCAGTGACCTATTTGAAAGTGACCCCCCCTCCCCCATCAAGACTGCTCGTTGTTCCACCCTGGAGCTTTGCAAAATGCTAAGTCCAGCAGAATGACATCCTTTGTCACTTGTAGAAGATGTGATGAGGACTAATATCTTTGATGTGGCATGGAACTCTAACTGCCCTGACAGATTGCGGGTTGATGAACCCAATACTTATTCTGAATCCAAATTCTTATGTGCACAGGTTTTGAGGGTTTCTTTTTTTTTTTATCCAGATAGAATCCCACACCTCGGACATATCATATTTCACATCTTAAAAAAAGATTCAATTTGTTTTTTTTTTTTTTTTGTTTTTTTTTTAGCAATGACAAAATCGAATTGACTTTGTTGAATGGAAATTGTGCCAGGACATGTATGTTGTATGGATTCTGGTAAGCACTTTTGTTTTTCATTTCTAATAGGACCAACAGATTTTAGAAGCATATAAATGTACTAACAGCTAAAAACTGTAGCCAAGATATTTTTAAAATGGAATAAAATGGATACATTTCATTTTTGTCTGAATTTCCCTAATGAGGAGTTATTATGTACATTCAGGCAAAGGAAGTCAAGCATGACAGCAGGCAGTCAACAAGAACATTAGATTTAAATTTCCAAGTCCTAGGTTCACAATTATTCTACAGGACATTGGATAGTGGATTAATGAATTTTGTAGCATAGTAATTGTGAATTTAAACCCTGGACTGGGTACTACAAACTCAGTGGAAACAGTGTGAGCAATAACTGAGAAATATTAAAAAACTAGACTGTGGGACTATTCTGAGTACAAGTGTTGATTAAACACCAATGTGCCTGAACAAATGTATGAACAGGGATTAATTAGCCACTCTTGTAGATTCCATAATCTCTTGAGACTGATGTCTGCTTCTCTGTACTATTGACATGTAATGAAAAATGTACAAAACTGACAAAAAAAATAAGTAAATTTTATTACCTTTATCTTTAGTAAGAAGAAACATTATGAAAAATTCTGATATTAAAGAAATTATATAAATATATCATAGATATAACCAGACTAAGAAGGCATTCCAGATATGAGGAATTGGTTTACAAAGTTCGGATATGAGGGGTTATATTTAGATTAAAAGAACTGAAATCAGGTTTAACATTTATTTCCATAGTTTTATAGTAAACAAAATAAGCTAATGGTGAGTGAAATAGAATGGAATTGATTTTAAGAAATAAATTATATAATGTTAATGAAAATTCATTAAATTAAGTATGCCACGTATGCAAAACCAAAACAAATAATGTATTGAGGATTTTTTTAATCCCTGTTACATGATGATTCTTTCTCTTCTAATGTCATTCTCAACTTTGTCTCCATTTCATTTTGCATTTGTTCTTGAAATTTTTTAAATGAAAGACACTTTTTAACTCTGCATGCATTATTGCAATTGTCATAGCTGAATGCTGGCTTTCTTTCCATAAAACTGACAACTTTTTCAATAGCTTTTTCAATTTCAGTCCAGGTTTCATCACGATCATGCATCTCGTCGCTATCTTGTTGCAGATGTGTCTCGTTGTCATCCTTTCGTCTTATTCCCATCATCTTTTACACCAATACAAGCCATTAGGGTGAAATAAGCATAAGCAATTATCCAAAGTAAATTTCCTGAAAAAGAGAAATTTCAAATCAGTCACATATCACCCAAATAGTTCAAATATATGCATCAAAATCATGTTCTGATATGAGGCACACTACTGCGATTAGATAGATATAATCTGGCTGCTTTTTTTAAAAATAGGTTGTTTTTCTTTTATTTAAAATTTTGTACAAATTTGTTGAAAGTAGTAGATTTTGAAGTAAAACCCTTTTTTGCCTTAGAACAAAATCCTTTTGAATATATTTCTAATTGTTGATTTAATATTTGCAGGTGTGACAGCCATGTTGTGCCAGGCGATGTTGTGAATGTTTTAGGGGTCAGCCCTGATTCTTCTGGAGTGTACCACATCACAAATCAAGAGGGACTTTTGGTGATCAATCCAGATACACTAGTGTCAGGGACGTCAATTGTTTCAACTTTGTTTTGTATGCGCAAGTAAGTTCAGTTTTAGTATCTAATTTGTTCTCTTTTGTCAGTGATGTATGACCGATGACCAAATAGACATTTGCCCAGTTTCACTACTGGCAATATTTCCTTTGCAAGATAACCATTTTATAAAACAAACAATAAAACCTATGAAAAAGATATAATTTCATGATAGACAATTCTGTATTACTAAGAAAGTTATCAGTATACCAACCCCTCCAACTGATGCATTGGCATTGTTTTTTGTAGCTGATTAGATGATGAGTGTCCAGCCTTTTCCTACGTCATGAGGTTTCAGAAGAACATCTTCATGGAAGAGACAGTGTACTTGGACACAAAGGATATCTTGTAATTTATGGAGGTCACAGTGAGTTCACTGATCAAAATGTCCGAAGTGTTCTGGTGTTGAATGTAGAAAGAAAAAAATTTTTTGTTTACAATTCAGTAGATTTAATAGGCATTTAGCTGAATTTTCAACTGCATATCCTGCCAGATTTGTCAGACCTCCATTTATGAATAAGATGCAGTACAAGCTTAAATTAAAGGAACTGGGGAAACACCAACAAACTTCATGAAAGTTTACACAAGGATGTTAGGGTTTAATATTGGACATCAGCTGGAAGAAATACCCAACAAAGAAACGCCTGTATAGACACCTTCCTCCTATCTCAGTTATGCTAAGAGAGAGAAGCCCATTGCATGACAAAAGATCAGTTGGAAGATTTCAGCATACTTATATTGATCAATATGTAGATGATTCTGGATGCCATCTGGAGGACCTGCTGACAGAGATGGGTGGATGGTGATGATGGTGAATGCCTGAGGGTTGTTGCTAAAATATACATAGAACAAAATAGGTGAAGCCAAAGAACACAAATTTAAACAAAATAACTTTTTGCATGTGTTAAAACATAAAAAGATAAGAGAAAATATTTTTTTACTTGTGTGAATTGGAAAAAGTTAAAATAAAGAAATATAGCATGTATTTTATAGTTTGAAAAATGTTTAATATATAGTATGTCTACATATGTCGGGATGATTACATTGAATGTGTAATTCAAATGAAAAAAAGAGATACTTTAAGTATGTGAAAAGAGAGAATGCTTCGGCTAGCTGGTCACTCCTGGAGAAGTAAGTCAGAACTTGTGAGTGACACCCCCTATGGAGACAATTGCATGGCTAAAAATCAGTTGGAAGACATCACATCTACATTGACCAACTTGTAGATGATTCTGGATGCCATCTGGAGGACCTGCCGACAGCGATGTCTGACAGAGATGTGTGGAAGGAATGAGTCAGGAGAATCCAAGAAGAATTCTTGACCTGATGATGATTAAGAAAGTTATTAATTATAATGAAATTGCTTATTAAAAAAAATTGTAGTATAAAATTAAACGTTCATCTTTAAATGTTCTAGGCCAATTCTCACACATGGAAAGATGCTACTCAAAAACCACTAAAGAGACAAAATGCATATCTATAGATCCAATTTTATTTATCCATGAAGAATCCATTGATAATGGTTTTTGAAATTATTTTATGTTCAAGTTTTGTCTGGAAACCAGGAAAATGGGTCAAATTAAAAAAAAAAATATATTAAATCAGAAACCAAATCTTCATTTGCTTTTTTTTCTGGGAAACCACATTTGAACTCAATGTGCTGTTACCATTTCTTGCTGTGAGGTACATTTTCTCATAAGACTTGATGATCTATGCTGGTAGACATTACATTTAGTATTTGTAAATAAACATAAATGTGTTCTCAAACACATGTACCCACTAACATTTGGTAAAATATTGATCTAATATATTGATTTCCATTTTTTTTTTAATTCCAGGGCAATTCTTAATGAAAGATTTAAAGTGAGTATATTTATTTATTTATTTATCTCTCACTTTATTTTTTTATTTTTTTTTTTTTTTTAAGAAATTTTCACCAATTTTGGTTCATAAAATCTCAAACCTGGCATTTTTTAATCATCTCTGAAAAAATGTATGTTTTAATTTCATATTTGAAATATGGAGGAAGTTGTTTATTACATTCACAAATAATGTCAAATAGTTACTGTTGTCAAAATCTGTTGTTCATAAACACTTTATTCAGAATTAATTAAAAGTCATCTGCTTATTATAATCAAAATTTTGAACTTTTTTTTTATAATGTAAAAACAAAGAATTTAATGATAATAAAAGTAAATTCTTTCAATATTTATATCTTTTGTTTAATATCATCAGTCAGTTAATGTTATCAAAAAAAAACCTTGTCCCCCAAAATGATAACACACAGATATCTCTTGGACTTAAGTTTATTCTCATAAAATGATTATTACTTTGAGTGAAATTAAAACCTGTCTTTTCTACTTTGTTGTTATTTAAATAAGAAAACATTTTGCTAATTCTGTTATAAAAACTAATTTTATTTTTTTATTTTAATTTCAATTTCCACTATGCATTGCTTACAGCTGAAGAATAATGCTCTGAAAATTGCAATGAACAATGATTAACAATTCTTCATCTAAGAAATTCAAATATATTTTCTTATGTAAACGAATGTAAAATGATGACCTGAGTGTTATGATATAAATCAACTGAAATTGAGATGAATGAAATACTTTCCAAAAATAATTTCTAATGATCTTTGAGAATTTGTATGTCAAAGTTCTGCTTAATCCTCTACAATGTTAACTGAATTCTGATTTCTGAATACATCAAGGCTGAGAGATAGTTGTGTTGCAGCCCAGACCAGGTTCGTTGAGAGGTTCTTCTTTCAGGCAAACACTTGTGACTTAAAAATTACCCTTCAGTCAGATCATTACCCACAAGTGAAAAGCAAAACAATTTCTATTAGTAAACCAGATTTTATTCTTGGGTTGTAACCTACTGCTATAAGCAAGTAAAGTTGAGATGAAGCGTAGCTGAGGCAGGCAGGTGAACAGTCTAACGGGTGTCTTCTCTGTTTGTTCTCAGAGGCCTGCTTATTTTCTTGCTCTGTCTTTTTGCAGTATTGGTCAGTTTTGTAACTAACATGGTTCTTTGTTGTGTCATCTTTGTATAAAAAAAAAAAAAAAATTATTTTCATTCAGAAACTTCTCTTTGTCTGGGCCACTTGTGAAAAACACTAATAATCATTGGTCAAAAATAAATGCTCTGAATACATTTTTGTGAGAGGCTCAGCTATTTTCAATTTAACAAGACCTCAGCTGACTGATATTTCTACAAGATCCTTCAGTTGGTTTTAATATAAGGTCTGTCCAGAAAAGATATAGCCATTTAATATAAACAAAAAAAATAGTCTACCTAGGGCAATGGCACCTAAGTCCCCTTCAAAGTACTCTCCTTGGGAACATACACTTATCCCAGCATTCCTTTCACTTTTTAAAACAGCATGGATAAGCTGCCTTGTCGTATTCTACTTGATCTCATCCACAGTCAGAAATTTTGTCCCTTTCAATGGCAACAGCCAGAAATCAATGAAATCAATCTGGAGAGGCTGATAGAATTGGGTGATGCAATATTTTGCCAAAAAGTAGTTGGAATCCTTGTTCTTCAAGACTTCACTGATCTGCTTATTATTGTGAGTACAGTGGTTACACATCTCAGAGCTGATTGAGTAACCTCATGCATGTCCCGTCTGATTGTTTGTCAGTATACATAAAAACTTGGTAAGTGATCTGTCTATATTTCTGAGATGAGGTATTATGTACACTATTTACATTATTCGGACTATTGTCCTCATCTTTGTTGCCATATTCATTACAACGTTTCGACTGTTGTATGTTCCGGCCTTCTTCAGGTTGTTGGAATGTTGAACTGAACCCTTTATTTCGCTCACTGGGGTAGACTGTTCTAGTTCCATGTGCCGTGTTTACATGTCCTGTTATAATGGATTATCAATTATTTCCTGTTAATTCCCCTCTGCAAGTTCTACACTGCCTTACTCACACTCTTTTGGGTCCTATCACTGGATCTAACCAACACCTTTATCCACTGTGCCATGTGTCCTTGAGGACATCTGTGTATGAATTTCTGGGTATTATAAACCTAATGTCTTCAGCAACCATTTTTACCAGTGCTCATATTGCAATTTTTGCTGTTATCATTGCATGTTTTTTACCAGAGCTCATATTGCAATTTTTGTTGTTATTATCGCTTTTCTCTGGCACTCCTTATTACTGGTTCCCATATTGTATTCATTTCTATGCTTGGTTGGCTCAGGAGATTTTTGTGGCCTAGCATATGTGCTGATTCCTTAAGTTTACGAATTTTCCAATGGTGTTCTTTGTCTATGATCTCAACCTGATCCCACAGAGGGCAGTGATCTCCTTCTCTCTCCATATGTGGTCAGCCACGCCTGATTTTTTCCACTTCCCCTCGTGTTACAGCTTTCTGGTGTTCTTGAAGCCTTACATTTGGGGGGGCGGCCTGTCTCCCCTTTATATTTCTTTCCGCAGCTGCACGGGATAGTATACACACAGTCTTTAGTCATGTTCTCCTCTATGGGGGGGTCTTACTTGGGAGAGATATTTTTGAAGTGTCGTCCAGCTTTTGAAGGTTGTCCTGATGTTATATATGGACCGCAGATCCTTTGTATTTTCTCTGATAACCCCTTCACATAAGGCAGGCAGACTGTTTTCTGAGTGTTGTTGTCCTCCTCCTCTTGTACCCACCTATTCAAAAATCACTGGTTACATTCCAGGCAAACTTTATATTGTACAAATGAGATAGTATTCTGGTATTTCTTATGATGGCGTCTTAGAAATTTTGGAGGTACTTAAAAAAGCAGAAGGTACTTTGGAATTTCACTTTGGGAAGACATGGAGAGCTGTGTTCTACAAGGGCTATCATTATTTACATTATTCGGACTATTGTTCTCATCTTTGTTGCCATATCTATTACAAATTTTTAATATTTTCTTTCGGCCTTCTTCAGGTGGTTGGAATAAAATGAGTTTAATAGGATTTTTATTTCCTTAGTTCCATGTGCCATGTTTAATGGATGTCAGTTATCTCCTGTTAATTTCCTCTGAAAGTTCTCCACTGCCTTAACAAGGTATTGAATATCAAAATCTTTGGGTCCTGTCACTGGATCTAACTAATGCCTTTATCCACTGATCCCATGTATAAATTTCTGGTCATCTGTGTATGAATCCAAACAAATATTATTCAGCAAATATTTTTTACCAGTGCTCATATTGCAATTTTTGCGGTTATCATTTCATGTTTTTACCAGGGCTCATATTGCAATTTCTTTGTTGTTATTATTGCTTTTCTCTGACACTCCTTATTACTGGTTCCCATGTTGTACTCATTTCTATGGTTGGTTGGCTCAGGAGATTTTTGTGGCCTAGTATATGTGCTGATTCCTTACTGAAAGGCTGTCATGTTTCTTGGAAGCATCAAGGAATAACTTATGAGGTTAAAGTATACACAGGAATGGTTGTAATTTTTCTTTACTCCGACTGGAATAAAAATGTGGACAAAACAGATGCAAAAATATGTCTGCTTTCATTTTATTCCTTAAAAAAATGTGAAACAAGCCCTTGATTTTAAAACTGAAAGATATGCTAAGTCAAGAAAGTATAGTTGTAGGTGGGAGAAAAGTTAATCCATCTTTTTATTTTTGTGACCATTGCTTCCAACACTTGAATCATTCTTACTACAGGTAAATGGCTCATTTTACACTCTCCTCACAAGCTCTGTCAGTTTTAATTGTTCTGATGCTTTCTTGCGAGACAAACCTGTGGTCTGATGCTAAGTTGGCAAACATGGACTTTTGTGCTCACAAAAAATGTAGTGTTAAAATGACAGTTTCTATTTTAAATACTCATAGACAATCTTCATTGTTTTAAAAAGCAGTTATTAGAATTTTAATAAAACCTAAACATATGAAAGCGAATTTATACATTTTCTTTCTTCTTGCGAATTGACAACAAAAATAGTAAACACTTTCTTACATTGTTTATTTACACTATTTATTTATTAGATTGTTTATTGGAATGGTTGGCAAAACATCGGCTAATTGCCAATTGGTTCAAACTTTAAAAAATTGTAAATGATAAGGATTTTCCCATAGTTGATAGTAAATGTTTATAAATTTATGAATAAAAAATTGTTTTCATATTTATTTCTTTATAAATTGGTAAATGGTAAATATTGCATTGCATAAGTTTTAATTGTATTAATTGTATGTAAATATAAAATTATTCTTGTAAATAAACAATCTAATATTTTTGTTGTAAATTCTCAAGAACAAATAAAATGTATAAAATCACATTCATCTTACATTTAGGCTTTATTGCCATTTTAATCATTGCTTTTTAAAACAATAAACATTACCAAGAAGTAGTTAAAATAAACGTGATGTCATGGGAAAAAAACTTGACTCTCATTTTTCTTTTCTTTTTTTTTAAAATTTTTTTTTTAGTATATGAGTCCATATTTGCCGAAAATCAGTTACAATAGTCTATCTTGTAACTTGTCCTTTTTTTTTTTTTTTTAAAATATGCTTTACTTTGAACTTTGGACAAATTTCTTTCTAACTTAATTTGTTTTTCAATTTTGACTATTAAGTTATATATATATATATATATATATATATATATATATATATATATATATATATATATATATATATATTTATTATTGTTTTAATTTTCTCAGAATAATTCTGAAAGGTAATACAATTTGAATGTTGGAAATGACTAAGAAATATATTTTCCAATTGTCTTCTTTTTAACCAAATTGTCTTTTCTTCAGAACTATTTTGTGAAATTTAACAATATTTCAACTTCGACAAATTCTTATAAAAAAAAAAAGTTACCAATATTTAGAAGGAGGCTTACACAGGAGCATTCTTTTTTTTAATATTTTGAATTTAATGTAGCGTAAAAACATTTTGCTTTTAAACTTGCCATGATAAAGTCAGATTGATGAAACGTATTGGTCATGACTAAGAAATATTTTTTATAATTGTCTTTATTTTTATCTATCTATCTAAAATCTCTCTCTCTCTCTCTCTTAAAACTATATATATATATATATATATATATATATATATATATATATATATATACACAACAACAGAGTTTTTTTTTTTTTTTTTTCAGGGTATTGACAAAGGCAACGTACACATGCTGTATGGAAGTGTTATTCATTGTCTCTTTCAAGAGGTCAGTAATTATGTTCATTCAGGCATTTATGAAACACTTGTAACTTCTAGATGCTGAAAAGTGTATATTATTTGGCTCCCTTCACAGAAGAATTTGTACTAACCCGTTCTTGATGAGATTTTGGTTTACTTGCAAAACTTTTCTTAATGTGGTAATGTTTTTGCCTTCATTGTAGCCTCTTAGTTTTTCAAGTTTTAATAGAGATTTAGTGTAATGTCATTCAGTAACATCTAATAATAAATATATATACAATAAAATTTGATAATCTGTATGGATAATTCCAAAAAGGATATAAATCGAGAGATAGCTCAATGTCAAACATAGAGCATATACACCTGGTAAAATATTTTTCCATTTATTTGTGTAATGTTCTGGTTTGAAGAGTTGAAATTGAAATTTCGATTTTAACGATATAAATATTACCATTGTCTTTTTTAAAGTACTTGTATTCTTGATTATTATTATATATATATATATGATTGGAAAGAGAGATCTTGCAGTTTGTAGAACATTAAATTTATTTATAGACTGTGAAAATGTACCTACCAACCAGATAATATATAATATAGCTTATAATATCTATCCTTAATAAAAAAAAAAAATGATGATAATTTGTTTTGAAAATTTCAGGTTTTATTATGTTCAGAAACTGATAGAATTTTTTTTTATAAATAGATAAAATTCTGGGTGTCCTCTGATCTTTGTACATGTGTGGAGTTGCATTAAACATAAAACATCAGTTTTGTATGCTCAAATCCTAAAGGATAATTTGCATTGCACAAAAACATTTCCACTTAGTCATAGATTTTTCCCTAAAATTGTTTCATGACACTGACACACACACACACACACACACACATATATATATATTGTTTTCTTCATGAAAATGTTCTCAATAGAATAAAAATTTCATTTTGTTTTGCTCTTTTGTTTGTTCACTATCTCAACCAATTCAATACTTTTAGGTTTTATTTATCAACGACAACATTTTCTCAACTACAAATAATGACCCCACCAACCTAATAACAAATACATTGTAAATATTTCTAATAAAAGCACATAATAAGGAGCTGCAATTTACATCCTTTCTCATGTAAATTATCCTCAAGAGTTTCCATTTAAGAGTCCATTAACACTGATTGTGAAATCATTGACTTGCATTTGACTTTGAGTTTATATAATGTAAATGTGTCGAAAATAATAAAGGGATTGTCAGTGGTCAGGAAATAATGTCAGTATTATTGATAGTATCTGGTTATTATATATATATATGTATGCATCTGTTACCCTTCTCTATAGCTCTAACATTCGTTCCACACTCTCATACTTACACTCTCTCTAAATTTTATTTTTTATTTCTGGAGTTGTTTTTTCTGTTTTCTTTTTGAATTTGTAGGTCTGATGAATTGGATCGTATTTACGATTCCAATGGAATAAATCATGACCATGGAATATTAGTGTTTAAGCCTTTTTATTATAACCCTACTCTGTCCTGGACGTTGAGTTCTACCTGGATTCTATCCTCTTGTAATTTTTTTATACAAAAAATATATATGTATGTATATATGTGTGTGTGTATATATATATATATATATATATATATATATATTTTTGCATATGTATGTGTATATTTACCACTAATATTATCTATATCTATATATATTTGTGTGTTGTTTATATAAGTTAAGCCCATCTCAATCAGTATAAAAAGCTGTTAAATGGCTTTTTTACCAGGAGAAAAAAAAGGTTTGCAAATGGCTGCTTTAAATGATTTTTTTTGTTCCCTTTTCAGGTAATGCAGAAGAAGATGAGTGAAGAGAAACAACTTCTTGACAAAAAAAAAAAAAAATCAGACGACCCAATTGAAGAAAAAGATATACCAAAGTTCCTTCTACCTTTAATTAAGAAATGGTTTCTTAATTACCTGTAATTAGGAAAGGTTGTTGAGAGTATTCTTTTTCCCCATTTTAGTTGAAAATTCTCAGAAACGTCATCATTTGTAAATGGTACTGAAATCCTTACTGCGTCTTGCTTCTTGGAAATCCTCTTCTGTAGCTCTTGTCTTTAAGATCTCTAGTGATCCATATGATCCCTCAAATTATCGCTCTATTAGTCTTTTACCTGTTTTTGGCAAAATAATACAGGCTGTAAGCAACTTTGAATTGGTTAAAATCTCACTTCACATTGCCTTCTTTTTGAGAAACAATATGGCTTTTGTTTTATTTTCAGTCTACTGCTATGTTAATGGTTATTAGTGAATTTGTCTATCAGGCTTTAGATAACAGCAAGGCTTGAAATATGGCTTTACATATCTCAAAAGCATTTGACATGCTGTCTTTCTTCACAGCTTAAAGATGAATATTTGGTTTAACAAATAATGTAATGAAAGTCAAATTGAACAGCCACGCTTCTAACTCATTTCACATTAATGCAGGGTTGCACTAGGGTTCTATCCTTGGATATGCATTATTTCTTATTTTTATCAATGACATTAGTTCCCAAATAAGTATTTATACTGATGACACAACAATGTACTCCTGTAAAACTGGTAGCTGCTCCCAAAAATGACTTCCAGTCAATGAGGCAAGGAATGGTTTGTAAATATTAATGTCTCCAAAATGAAACTGCTCTCTTTTAACCACCGTAGAGAACCCTTTTTTGCCTTCACTCTGCAAACCTCCAGGAGAGTTTTGCAGCGATGAAAAAATTCATAATTGGTTGGTGCAAAGTTAGGTTAATGTTGCAAATCAGGTAGAAGAGACCAGCTGTTGGATAAAGAGATTTATTCTTGTCAATTCACTGCCCTTAGCATGGAACATGGTCATGTATAACTCATTTTTCATCACCTGTTATGATATATATATATATTTAAGATGCAGTTAGTTGGGATGATACGTTCATCATTACAATTGATAGAAATTATGACCCACCCTCATATTTGAATTATATATATATATATATATATATATATATATATATATACACATTATTGGACATGTGGTTCAAATCTCACCATGGTCAATTTGTCAGGAAGGAGACTTCCTGATGTTATCGAACTGGATTCACCATCAAGTGCCTGAAAACCATACCACAAGTTGGCCCAAGCCTTGTGAGTGAAATTGGGTAGATGGAACCCTTGGAGGCTGTCAATAGCTGTGCTAGCACAAAGTCATGAGTCATCGTGGCTGAGGGCTTAATTGAGTGTGTTGATCATGCAAGATAACACGCTATTTCCCAGAAACTGTAACTAAAGTCTTCTCAGCATAGTTGCAGTATAAACCCCAGGTGGCTCTGTGGGTGTTGAATAAACACAAATGTGCCTGAGAAAGCATCTGCAATAAGGATTGGCTAGCCGACCTAGTAGATGGGTATCCTTGAATATGAGTGGCCAGCTATATATATATATATATATAGTTGCGTAATACATTTTAGATGCATCAAGGATGGTTTTCAGTGATGCACTATCCTCATTGCTGATTTTTGGGTTTTGTATCATATTGGCACAAACAGAAACCCTGACCTGACTCTGGTAGAGTCAGGCTGCATCCTTGATAGCGTCATACTATGCATCTCGACATTGCAAAGAAAAATTCAGATATGGTTAGGAGTCCGACTGTTCTTGTTGGCATACATCAGTCAACATCAGGTATATATATTTGCCACACATATTTAAATATTATCTATTACTTCATTACATGTATCTAAGCAATAAGAAATGGCCTAACAAAACATACGATTAAATCGGATCTCTTTGCTTTTAATCATTTTCATCTTGATCTCTGACAAAACTTTAATGAAGTGAAACGTTAAATTAAATTCCGTTTCCTACTTGTTCTTTTTCCTATCATTTTGTTGGATTCTATCCATACTCAATCTATATATATATATATATATATATATATATATATATATATATATATATATAAAAGAAAGAGGTTATAGTGGTTCAATGAGAAAAGTATGGATATTAAAAAAGAAGAGAGGTGCTGCAAATTTTTTGGTTGTAATGTTTTTTTTAGAAAAAAAATATTATTTTTAGAAATAATTTTATGGGAAATAAAAGCATAATATTTATTTTAAAAAAACACATTACAACCAAAAAACGTTTTATTCTCTTCTCCTCTTTATATATATATATATATATATATATATATATATATATATATATATATATATATATATATATATGAGAGAGAGAGAGAAACAGTGGACTGGTAGATTGGCATACATAAAAAAAGAAAAATTTGGTCTATTGCTTGTTGTGGCTGAAAAAGACCAAAAAAAATAGGTAGGTTCAGATTATTTTATTATTAATAGGATTTAATGAAGGCTTGTCCTCTATAAAATAGTTTCTTTATGTTGAATATGACATTAATCTCATTTTTCTTCAGGTATGGGCAAGGGATGACAGAATCTGCAGTCATGGAAGAAATTGTTAAATACATCCCAAGTATTGTAACATGGATACAAAAACATACAACATTTGCCAAGACACCTATGTAAGTATTACTTTTATTCAAATTTCAAAAGTGTGACTGTTTCTGGTCCTGCCTTCAAAATATTTTATAACTGACTATTGTTAAAATCGCTTTAATTTTTTTTTTTTTTTTTAGCTGTTTCCAATTTTGAAGTTGAAGATGTTTTCAATTCCCTTTTGTCTATGTTTGATGTCCTCTGAAGTCAAATGTTTTTCTCTGGGAAAAAATTATTGAGCTTTTATCTCTTATCTGCTTTTGGGATTTTTTTTTTCTTAATATGTCAACTGAAATTGGTTTGGCTACATTTCTATGTTAAACTGTTTAGTTCTATGACTGGCTTGTAAAATCTGTGCTTTTATGGTGTAAATGTCAATGAATATATCTGAAGTTTTTGAATTTTTTTCTTTGACTTTAAATTCGGACATAATGTACAGAGTGATCCAATATATTCAACATTGTGTTTTGACATCAATATCCTGTTGTTAGATGTCAATATAAAGGTTACATTATTCATGCGTTTGTGTGTCCTTGGCTCTGCAACAGGTGATCAGTGAGCAAAAAGGAGGATGGGGAACTCATAAGCAGAAACAAGTGAAGTAAGATTTCAATCAGGAGTGGTTTGAACTTGAAATTTGACAATTTCTAATATTTACTTTACCATAAAATTAAATGTATTTATTATATTCTGAATGTTACAAATTATTAAATGGTTTCGATTGTGACTCCTATGACTCATCAGATCATAGGGGCACCACATGTACTGCAGCTGCAGTAGAAGTGGTGTTTTTCTTGGGTATGATAGCCTGACAGAGCCCAACCCTCTTCAGGCTGGTTTTGAATTCAGTTTTTCCTTCTCTGGTTGCCACCCATGGCTATAAAACCCAGTTTGTCTTGCAATTTATCCATAGCGGAGAAGAAGAAGACTCATACCTTTCCGAAGGTATTAGCATATCAGTGAATGTAGTGGACCTGACTGGAATTTGAACTCTGCTCTTCAATTCCTCAATCTGAGCCACTATCCATTACTCCACCATATCTCCTGTAAATAATTTTTTATAGCGAAGAAAACTGACACATACCTCGTCAAACCAAGTGACAGCGTGTTCTGTGTATCCTATGATGGAAAATGTGGCGAAAAAGAAAATTACTTACCAAAAAAATGGGCATGTATTCCGCATGACATGCTGAAGACGGAATATTTAAATTAAAAAACGCTCCGTTGCAGGAGTCGTTATAAAAGTATTTTGACATGCAAAAATTGAGCACCCTCTTCCAGTTGTTGACGAATGGAAAAAATGCTTGGCCGATAAAAGCAGTTGGCGTTCTCAAATCGGGGAAAAAATTTGAGTATTTTGGCTGCCATGTTTGTTGGAGAGTGAGTTATTTTTCTGACTGGTTGTGTGCATGGTGAGATAGTACCTGTGAATTGGGTTTACAGCATTTCTTTCTGTCCCCAATCTTAGAGTCTGAACTTAGTGATTTAGTCTCTGCCTTGTGGAAGTAATCTGCGACAAATATTTCCTTTGCAATCCCAGATTGCTTACATTTTTGTAAGCCTAAATAATTCTGATGTATAATTTATATTCTGTATAAATTATTGTCCTATTTTTCATGCAATTAGAAAAATCAGAAAAAATTAAGGGCTAGTTTTTTTTGTTTTTTTCCTGCCATTTTATGTGATCCTGCAATGGCCAGGTCCCAAGATAACTTGGTTAAATAGGTACACATTGGATTACATTGTAAGCATGCACTTAATCTTTCTGTAGGCATGCAAATTTTGGACATTAACATCAGAATTACAGCAAAGTATCCAAGCATTAGAAATGAGATGCTACTGAACCATCTTTGGTCTCTCCTTTGTAGACTGCACTACAAATAACATAGTACAAGACAACATCAGATCAGAAAGAGACACGTTGAAGGACCTTATAACCAATGCCAAGAAGAAAATGTTGAAAGCTGAAATGGCGACATCATAAGAGCTAACAATCTTTCCATTGAAATCCTACAAGGTACAAAATTAGGCAAAAAAAAAAAAAGGAAAAGCGCACCAAGGAAAACATGGGCTGATAACATCACCAAGTGAACTGGAGGTTCATTCAGAGAGACTTGGACATTGATATGCAACTGCAACATATAGCTCATGAAATGCTCAACCCTATGATCCCCATTTGGTCATGGGACTGATGGTGACACACCTAATTTTAGACAAAGGGCTTCTTTTTTTTTTTTTTTTTTTTTGAAAATTTAACTGGATAAATTGGGGTAAAATTTTGTCAACTAGTTGACAGATAAACGGAGGATTGAACCTGAATGCACCATTACTGTTTTGTACTCTTTTATTATTGTCTATTGTTGACATTTATTATTTTATAGTTCAGCTGGGAACCAAACAATGGTTACTGAAATCAGAGATATTGAAGAGAATATTTGGTCCCCAAGGTAAGTCTTATATGGGTCTTTTATCAACTTTTTTTTTTAAGTATTGCTCCATTTTAATTCTAGCCATTCACTCGTATAGCAATATAAATTCTCATATGTTACTTTGTAATTATAAATTATAATAATACAAAAACATTATATTAGGTGTAGGTAACGTTAAGATGTGTAGTAAATGCCTAAAACTGTAGATAATACCAAACTTTATATAATACTGTGGTTTCTTATATATAATCAGTTTTAATTTATAAATTCAGCATGATAAGAGATTAACAATAATAGAACAATTTTAAATATAACTGTAGTGAACTACCACAGAGGGCAAAGAGGCCCAGGGTTGCATGCAGCTTTTGCAACACTAGAAGAAAATGATTTACCTTCAGCCTCACAGGTAAACTGTCCAAAGAGGAAAGAAATGGTGGCTTTGTGGGTTATATATTTAAAACAGAGAGATTCCAGAGTCAGATGCTCTCTTGTGAGATTATCTTTGCATATATGTAAATTTTGGCTGTATAAAAATCTGGGAGAATGAGGTGACAGGCAGAATAGTTTACTGCTGTCTTAAACATGTGTTTGAGAGGAAATTCATTGTTTGCAAGGAAAGAAACAAAAATGTTTAAAACTTTTTTGCTACAATAACTTTTGTCATTCACATTTCTTCTAATGGGCACTTTTTTATCTCTAAAATTATATCCCTATTATTGTACTTTATGAAAAAACATTCCCCATCATCTTCAATGCCAGTTAAGACAATCTTTTGTACTCCTCCGTTAATTCTCGTTCAAGGTTATTCGTAAAATATTGACCCTGTTCTGATTTTTGTGTATTTTTTTTTTTTTTAAGGATTTAATAATATACAAAATTTTAAAAAAATCCTGTTTTATGTTTCCAGCTTTCCATCTGTGTTTACTTCTTGTCTGATTTTGAAGATGCTTCTTTATGGGAAACTATTAATTTGCTATTTACCATTTTATATCATTCCAAAGTTCTTTGAAGATGCTTTTTGATTTTTGATTTGTCAACTCTTACAAAAATATTTTTAGTTAAATTAATGCCATGCAAGTCACTGATCAGTCTTTGTGTGAAACTTATTATTTAAATTTTTAAACTTTATCTTTTCAATTAATTTTATTAAATCCATTTTAAAAACAATTCATCAATAGTGTAGCTGGGGTACTTATTGGTTTGAAATCCAAAGTTATCCTCATCTGGCTTTTCAATTTCATGCAAAAAGAAAAATGTCTTCCAAATAAAATATATTTAAGGAAGCCTTCAATTTTATTTAGTATGCAGATCTATTTGTTATAGCTTGGAACAGAAATATTCTTGTGTTAATTGTATTTCAATATATATATATATATATATATATATATATATATATATATATATATATATATATCAATATCAACATTCAAAAGTAATTATTCAGGACAAGAAGTTAGTCAACAAAAAGTGTTCTAGAAGACTGTAGGAAGTATTATGGTGGTTATGTAGACATGTATGAGAGAGAATGATGGAGGAAGTAAGCAAATGTACGTATCCTGGTTGTGATAAGCTTCTGATTAGTTGGTCAAACTGTAGTTTTGTTTGCCTGGTGATTTTTATAAACTGTCTTTTTAGAAATGGTGAATATTTTGTCTTTTTATTCTCTATCACCACAGTATCATAATATTTAATATAATTTATGATATTTGTATGCCAATAGTCATATAAAAAGAAATATTTTACACCTTAAAAACATAAAATGCATATAATAAGTTAAAGTCCTCAGTACTTAGACAAGGTGGAGCAAGCTAAGATTGTTTCAAAACAACATATATAGCAATTCTTAACCAGTTTCGGCTCTTCAGGCTTCAGGTGTTGGGCTTAATCAAATGGTGTGCTGCATGGTTTTAATGCATGTCAACCAAGTCATACTTTTGGAGATCTCATTGTTTATCTGGGTAATTCAAGAATTTATTTAAAGTACCAAAACAGTATGTGTGATAATTCACAGTTATATATTTATTTATTCTTTTTTTTTTTTTTTTTTCTGGAACCCAACTCATCAGCAAATGCTTTCTTGCATGTTGGCTTTTTTGGCTTTGATTATCACTTCTCTCTTGAGAGTGAGAAGCCAAAAATTGTATTCCAATAATTTCTTGGAAAGGAAGTAGTTTGAAAATTGTTGTACAAAATCCAATAATTTGGTTGATACATATTAAATTTTAACTCACGAAATAACAGTAAAAAATATTTCAAACTCAAATTTCTTTTCATTAACTTTATTTCTTAAGCATCCTGGGTAAGACAATAGACTACATCCTACAGCAGAGCCTCTGATCAGGAGGTTTTGAGGATTGTGGAACTACCTCTTAATTGCTGGTGTTCCCAGTTTTAACTTGATCTTGGTTGTTGCACCTGTTAGGGTCCCAACTATGGGCAAATAGTTGACCCCCCCACTGCACCAAACTGGGGTCAAAACACTATGAAAGTATAAAAATAGGTTTTAATACCAGTAATACATTTTTGTAAAAAAAATTATTACAAGCTATAAATTTTTGAGGAAAAATTATTACCAGCAATACTTTTTTTTTTTGAAAAAACAAAATATTACCAGCAATACATTTTTGGAAAAAATATTACCAACAATAAAAAAATTTGTCAGCATTGAGGTTGATATGTCATAAACCAAACCAAACCAATTTATTTCTTAATGAAATTTTGTTTTCCAAAATAGAGATGAAAGAATTGAATTAAATATTAAAAAATTTGAATAAAATCCACCAAATGGTCTGTAAAAATTTATCTAAAAAAATTTTCAGTGTAACTACTTTTAGTTTTATTTATTATTAGATATTTCTAAAAGCAAATAAAACTAGAAAGTTGGAAAACAAAGCAATACTTTATTTTGCAGGTGATGAATCTCCACCATATGACATTTGTACATCTTGTTCAGTAAATATTTTTTAATAGGGGAAGGCCAAAGGTATATACAGGCCATAATTTTGAAGAAAATAATCTGAAAAAAAATTAACTACTCAAACATTTTAGACAATACAGGAAGGAGAGAGACTATCAGCTGAAATGTATTAAAAACAACCAAGATAAAGCTAATAGAAAAATAAATGGACTAATAAATATACTTCCTCTTACAGATTGAGACAAAGCAGGAAGACCAAAGACTATCGGCTGGAATGTGTAGATATCATCAAAGATACTAACCTGTCTAATGTGTTTAATAATGTAAAGATATAATCTGAAATATGTTGTTTAAATTTATCTTTTAGATTTGGAATGAAAGGAAAAATTGATTTAACAGTTGAAGTCAAGGTAAGTGTTGGTCTCCAAATTTCTTCAGTGTTTGCTTGTTTGTTGAAAATTTAAGATAAGAAATGCTTCCCTCTGGATACCTCCTCCTCCTTCATTCCTCTCTAGGTCTTTATTTTAAGAAAATAACCATTTCAGTTTTTCAAAGTTGTTGACATTTAAACTGATCATAAACATATGGGTAATATCAGAGTTATCAGAAAGTGGAATCAGTAAGCCTGGTTTAAATTCTGAGCGAATCTTTTGTTTACATGTTTACACAGTGTGTGTGTGTGTGTGTGGGGGGGATGAAATCATTTCCTTTCTCACCAGGTAGGCTCTGCAGGTGGTGTCATGAATAGCAGCTGGGAATGTGAAAATTAGAGAACTGAGTTTGAATTACAGTTGGGTTCATTGTATTTTCAGTCAAATGCCATTGGCATAAATCTCTCTCCCCCCAGCTATAGGCTAAATAGTAATATCTGGAAAAAAGTCATTGTTATTCTCAAAAATTGTTAATGCAATATTCATTTGTAAAGAATAATTATTTTTAAAATACAAAATATATTTGGGCTTTAAATAACTCACAAAGGGTTGATAAATCATAAAAAAAAAACCCAAATCTGTTGATCAATCCCACTAGCTATTAAATAGCAGGGTAAACTGGGATCTCTCTCTCTCTCTAATCTTAGATGACAACCAGTCTAAGAAAGAAAAACTCTGAATTTGAAACCCTGGAAAAGGCAACTCACTCTACAACTTTTGCCAAGAATTTCTTGCAGTTTATTATAAAGAAAAATCTAAGGAGTCATAATCATTTAGATCCTGAAGTGACAAGGCATTAGAAAAAGAAAAAAAAAACATGGAGTAAAGCTGATCATTTTAAAGCATTTATTTTAGGTTTCATAAGTGTCTTTTCTTTTTTTCAATGTTTTTAACCTGATCTGTTCTTTGGTGGTTAAATAATATTCCAAAGTTGAAGAATGTGATAATGTCTTTAACAATTTAGTCTATCAAAACTGTTGCAGGATTTTCATTCTGAATCTTACTGTCATGTCTTCCTCTTTTTGTCAACTGGGAGCTGATTAGTCCTGCTCATAATTTATTTGAAGAAATCTCTTAAAAGCATTACCACAAATTTAACAACTGATGAATAAGAGATCAATAAATATATGTAGTGATAAAAAGCAACAAAATGAAGAAGAAATAAATGAAAACCAATAATGAAAACAATTATGCAAAATAAGTAAAATGGCTCCTCACAGAAGCTTAAAAGAAACTGTTATATCTCGTTGCCAGTCGTTATATCTTGCAAAAAGATATAATAACAAAGTAAACCCGAGTGGTGGTTTAAATAATAATACTTTATATCGGAATGTAGGAATGTCAAAATACAGAGACAGAGTAGGAGTAAGCTAACCGAATGGTGTAGTCAACGAAGACCTTTGTTGTCGCTCTCTGTTGTCGCTCTCTCGACTGTTTACTGTGGTCGAACTTTATCGGCCACCGGAACGTCCATTTATGGTGAATGGGGAAGTCAGGTTATTTCATCACAACAGAAACTTAAGTTTGGTATTAATACAATTAGGTAGTAAGAGCAAGATGTTATCCAAATAAAATATTGGATGGAAAAAAAGATGGCGGCAGATTAATTGCAGGTAAGCCTAATGGAAAAAAATAACAATAAAAAAAGATAAGGAAACTTTTAAAAGCTAGTAATAAAAAACTGTGAAATGAGTAGTCATTGTGTCAAATGCAAAATAATTGACAGAGCTGTCCAACAAACAATTGACAAAGTTTACAGTAACCAATAGTAAAAACAAAGAAAAGAATAGGGCAAAAAAATAATTATAAAATAAATAATATATGTATGACAAATTAACAGTAATAAGCAAAGTAACAGTAATATGGCAAAATGTTCACAAACTAAGAATTGACATCAACACACAAAAGGCAAGCTTGGACAAGCGAATGCAGCATCTGACTTCAAGACAAATCAGGACTGAGTCAGATGAAACCAAGAACCGGCCTGTTATTGGCTCAGAAAAAATCCCAGCTTGCATCTGTGTGCTTCTGCCAACAGTAAAGCAACAGTAAAGAGGAGAAACCTGTTGTGGCTTGAACATGTCATACACCACAATACTTTACCCAAGACGGTCCTTCAAAGTACCTTGGAAGTGGGTAGATATAGGGGGAGGCAGTCCAAAAGCTAAGTGGACAACATTAAGGAATGGACCAGGATGGACACTCCGATACTGTTTCTTAAGGCAGAAAACAGATATGGTTGTCAGCAGGCAGGCTGCATCATCATCATTCATGTTTCCTTTATGATTGGCTTGGTTATGAGATAAGAAGTAAAAGCCTATAAAATAGCGAGGGGGGTGTATTTTGCAGTCATTCCCAGTGGAGATTGGAATCAACAGTAATGGTAAGATTAGCTGTTTCCATAGAGGAAACATTCGCAATTCATTAACAGAACAGTTGACATTCTTGACAATTGAAATTTATAAAAAAAACTTTCTCATAAAAGAGCTTTTTTTTTTTTTTTTTTTTTTAAGAAATTAGTCTTCTGAAATCTTTTATTGCTCTTTTTAATATTAATGGGATTTTCTTTCCAAATCTTTTGTGTAAGGTTTATGAAATAATGAAAAGACTCTATGCTAAAATCTCTAAACATCTTAAAGTGTGTAACAGTTAAAGAAAATTGTGTTAAAAAGTAAGAAGGCATATCTACTGAATATGATGGATGAAATATTATATGTAATTATGTTTATTATTTCCCTAGATAAAAAACAAAAGAAAGAAGATTGTTCCTTTAGAATTGAAGACTGGACGATCAAGTTTCTCAGCTGAGCATAAAGGCCAGGTAAGTCAGCCCTTGCAGTATTAAAATACTTTTTAAGTCATTCACATCAAAATACCTGTTTTTTTTTTTGGGTTTTTTTTTCGTAAGGAAGAGTCTAAATTTTAGGTCCAACCATTAGATGGGATGGTGCAAGACTTTTTTTTATGCTAATTTTATTGAAGCATTTACCATTTTGTTCTGCCATCTTTCAGCCAGCTTCTTAATTCAAACCTTTTGTTGCTCTCAGCAGTCATCAAGAGTACTGAAATTTTCTGTTCATTAAGAAAATGTTGTTTTTTTTTTTTTTTTTTTTTTTTTTTTACACAGAATAATCCATATGGATAACTGAAAACCTACAAGTCAAATTGTAATAACCAAACTTTGAATTTAAAATCTTGGAGAAGACAATGGGAAACCACTCTGCTGTCTTTCCTAAGAAGTCATAACAATTCACAAATAATAGTGAAAAGTGATTTGCAGTGAGCCATGGTTGACTACATCCTGAAAGGACATGGTATTAAAAAAAAAAACATCAACAAACAAATATGCAAACTTGTGTGATTCTGATCGAATATTACAAACTTTTTATTAATTCTAGATGCTTTTTATCAATTGTTGTTATGAGTTTAATTAGTAGTACTTGTTTTAATCCATCGTTTGGTTCTTAGAGAAGCATGTCATAATAATGGATTCCCTTCCAATCCCAACCTATATATTTCATTTTACTTACTAGTCGATTTCTTGCATTCTGCATTCTTGTAAAGTATACACTTTTCAGCACTATTGAAGTTAACTGATCTGCTTATCAAAATTAGGGATTTTTTTTTCTTGACCAGTTAAAAAATATTTTTTAAATTATTAAAAAAAAATGGGAGAAAATTCTAGATAGAGAAAAAAAACAACATGAGTAACAAGCAGTTATCAATGATGCAAACAGGGTTTCATGGAACTCAGGAAACAATTACATGCAGAGTCTAGGCAATCTTCTTTACTTTGCTATTCATACCAAAAATAAATGTTTTTGAATGACAGTAAAAAAAAAAATGCAGAGAAATAAATGAAAATAATATTTTAAAATTTTCTTATTGTCTAAATAAATAAACTATTGGAATCAAGAAAACAATATTCCTCCTAACACAGCCACAATGAAGGGCAGAACTGCTTCAGTTAAACTGAAGTTGCTTGGCTAGTATTGAGTGAAATAAGGGTAAAACTAATCTCAAAATGTCTGACATTCCCATCGGTTAGAATTTGGTTAAAAATAAGTAGGGTTGGCACTTAGCAGATACTGCTTGGTAAGAGATGAGTGACAGTTTCAAAAGGTGATTTCTGAAGGATTTATATCTGGGAATCTTACCAGATTTTGATATTACTATCTGTGATGCACCTTTAGAACAAGTGGAGCATTTTCCATATCTAGGCAGCCTTTATCAAACAAGTGCACCTCGGAAAATAATGTGTAACAGAATTGGAGCTGCACACTGGGCATTTGGAAAGCTAATCAAACACATCTTCAACAACAAAGATCTGAACTTACATAAAGTATGGTCTATAATGCTGTTGTTATTTCAACTTTGCTATATGGTTGCGAAAATGAACTCTATATCATCATGACATCTAAAAATTAGCAGACTTTCACCAGCAAGAGCTTCTTTCAGTCTTGAACATCAAATAGAATTAGTATCTAACCAACGCCAATGTCCTGGAAAGAACCAACAGTTAAAGCACTGATCATGAAAAACCGTCTTCAATAGTCAGGACATGTAGCAAAAATGGAAGAGTCAAGATTTCCACGTCAAGTGTTAGTGAGCTCATTTCAGGGAAAAGACCATGGGATTGCCCTCTTTGAAGATACAAGGAGCAACTCAAAACAATACTGAAAGCCGCTGGACCTAAATCATTTGAAAAATAAGCACAAGACTGTACCAACTTATGATGTTCCATCAGCATTGGAACCAAAAACTTCGAAGCCACCAGAAAAGAAAAGGAAGAAATCAAACAGCAACAATAGGGAACGGCTTGACAAAATCAACCTCATTCTCCGTCAACATTACTAGGCAGTCAATGCCATTGGCTCTTCCATACAAGAACTGGTCTACTTATACATCAATGGAATCATCATATAGAAAGTGAGTAGAAAAGAAGAAATAAAATTCTTGGATATGAGATAAAGCTGACGATGTCTGGGAATCAGACATTTTATTTTCGAGATTCTTTAGCCGCTTAATAAATTAAAAAAAAAAAAAAAATCAAAATATAATCTTTTTAATTATGAATAAATTTTCTGTTACCAGGTCACCCTATATTCTATGATGAGCTGTGATCGTCAAGGTGACCCTGGCGAGGGTTTGTTGCTTTATTTAAAGGATCAGCCTCTTATGGACACCATTCCTGCTGACCAACAGAATAAAAGAGGTGGGTTAAAGAAAGACATTTTATGTGAAACAATGAGAAAGAATAACATTTCTAAGATGTTCTGAAATTTACAGGTGAAATATTTTTATTATTACACCTTATTAATTTTGTTAATACATTCAGTGACATGTCATAGATAAAATTTGTGGATGGTCCATTCAAATGACATATTGATGATAAACATGGTCTAAGGATAGCAAAGCATGTATAACCTTATGACCTGCAACAAGACATCAACTGCATGTCTCGTGGATCATGTTGTCTTACTGAGAGGCACTTTACGACAATGAGAAAGTGACTGAAGCTGAGATGCCAGGTTAGGGCTGATAACATTTCTGATTCTCCTTTGTATTTTATCAAGAATTTCTAATCTCTCTATATTTCTGAGATGAGGTATTATGTACACTATTTACATTATTCGGACTATTGTCCTCGTCTTTGTCGCCATATTCATTACAACATGTATGCTCCGGAATGTCAAACTGAACCCTGGGGTAGACTGTTCTAGTTTCACGTACCATGTTTAATGGATGTCAGTTATCTCCTGTTAATTCCCCTCTCCAACTTCTCCACTGCCTTAACTGGGTATTGAACACACACTCTTTGGGTCCTGTCACTGGATCTAACTAACGCCTTTATCCACTGTGCCATGTATCCTTGAGGACATCTGTGTATGAATTTCTGGTTATTATAAACCTAATGTCTTATAAAATAGAAATAAAGGGTTCAGTTCGACATTCCAACCACCTGAAGAAGGCCAGAGCGTACAACAGCTGAAACATTGTAATAAATATGGCGACAAAGATGAGGACAATAGTCCGAATAATGTAAATAGTGTACATAATACCTCATCTCAGAAATATAGAGAGATTAGAAATTCTTGATAAATACAAAGGAGAATCAGAAATGTTATCAGCCCTAACCTGGCATCTCAGCTTCAGTCACTTTCTCATTGTGGCCAGTCTGTCAATCAGCTTCCAGGAGACAATCCAAGCAGTTGATTTTGCTATATCTGCTTCCTCTGGCCAGATGCTAAGTGGTGCAGTTTACACCATTTTCCTTTGGGGGATATATCTTCACCAGATATAGAAACAATTTTTGCCTAACAGTCCTTATGTTGGAAAAAACCCATGACTTGTCATTTCCTGTTTGATAGGAATATGTACTAACTAGTGACATAGAAGATAAATCCAGCTGCTTGAATCTGTGCTGAGAATCCTAAATATAGCTTCTCTAGAAACAGAAGACTCCTCTGGCAAGTCAAATTGCTGTTGGGAATTGTTACAAGTAAGACTATCTCTTTTCAATTCCTTATTCCTTGTTGGTGCTTACGTGTATTTTAGTTTCTCTTTGTGGGACACATGTAAATATGTATATATAATTTTGGCGTATTAGTTAGTGGCATAAAACTCTCTCTGGGAACAAAGCATGTTTGTCATTCCTTTTCTTACAGCTATTCCATTCCATTTGTGAAAAATGAAGTTATTATATCATGGAGGAAATGCAAACTGGGAATAAACTGTTCTTCCATAGCTCACTCATTATCTTTTGACTTATCCAACATAATATGATATTAACCCCCATTAAGCTGAAGAATAGATCAGCTAAAAAAGGTTGTGAAAAATAAAAACAGAAGATAAATCCCATTAAAACTAATAAAGTACTAATAATAATCTGCATATAATGATTGGTATTTTCAACCTTGGATTCCATTAAAACTAATAAAATACTAATAATAATTTACATATAATGATTGGTATTTTCAACCTTGGATTTCTCCAGTGCAGAAAATAGAAACCAAATTCAAATATCCTTAGAAAAGACATGAATCCACATTTCCCTATTGTAACGAAAGACATGACTTACCTCAGAATTCGAAACGAGTGTGAACGTGTCTTGCCTCCAAAGAGATGACAAAAAAGAAATATGGCCGCGATTGAAGACTCAATTTATGCATGCCTATCTTGTCCAAGATAAGACAATATTTGCACACATGCAAATTTTGGCCGTCTTGGAATAGCATAAAAAGCGGGGTGCCAGCAGCATGAGACATCGGAAGTCATTCAGTGGACTGCATGTGATAGAGTTGGACATATGCATTGACAGACAATAAGAAAGTTGAAGTAGGTGTGGCTGAGTTGGTGTCTGTTTCACAACTGCCCAGTGTAACAACCGAGAAAGGGATCCACACAATCCATTTCCTTGAGGTGATCGAAGAAAAATAGATGGCCTGCTGGCGAGTGTCACACTTTACTTTTTGACCCCCTTCATCATCATTTACTTTTCTCTACACCAATGCACTCATCAATAGTTTTGTCACTGGTCTGCAATAATGTTTGATGATGAAAAGTACGACCAGGTCAAGAACTCTTTTCTACTGCCGCTACTAGTAGTGTCTGTCTAATTTTAATTAAAGAGATAAGCATTGTTAAGTAAACTCTGGCTTTCATGATGACCTAGTATAGCATTAAAATGATCTTGTTATGTAATCAGTTTAGAGATACTTCCTGGTTACTTATACAATAACTCTTTCATGTTAATTAGAAAGGATTAGTGCTGCCAAATAATCTTCTCTCTCTTTTTGTTTTTTACAGATGGTTTTCTTTTTTAACCCTTGTAAATTTCCTGTCCTGGGTAAGACAATAACTACATCCATGTCCTGGATAAGACGATAAACTACATCCGCGTCCTGGGTAAGACGATAAACTACGTCCGCGTCTTGGGTAAGACGATAAACTACGTCCAACAGCAAGGCCTCTGATCAGGAGGTTTTGAGGAGTGTGGAACCACCTCTTAATTGCTGGTGTTCCCAGGTCCACCATGTCCAGGGGTGGTAGCACCTGTTAGGGTCCCAGCTATGGGCAAATAGTCAACACCCAAACTTGTGTAAAAATAGGTTTTAATACCAGAAATACTTTTTGATAAAAAAAAATATTACCAGCAATAATTTTTGAAGGAAAAATGATTATCAGCAATACTTTAAAAAAAAAAAAAGTACCAGCAATACAAACAGCTATACATTCTTTAAAAAAAAATATTACCAACTATAGATTTCTTCAAGGAAAAATATTCCCAGAAATATATTTTTGAAGAAAAACACATTACCAGCAATAAAAATTTTTTGTTGGTATTAAATAATCTATTGAGGTTGATATGCCGTAAAACAAACCAAACCTTGTAAATTTCCTCTTGAATTCAGGATTGATTCAACTATGAAATGAATTGGTAGAGTAATTTCAAAATTCCCTGAAGCAGCAAAGCCCTTTGCCATCTGATTTATTTGTTCTCTTGGGAAATTTACCAGAGCCTATCAGTAATCAAAGAGCCTGCCCAAAATGTTCACATCTTCACAATTGTTTCTTCATTCCTGGATTTTTATTATAGATCAAATCTTACCCGTTTCTCACTACCTCATTTTTTTCGTGACCACGTTTTAGGGGCGGGTCATCAATTGATTGTCAATAGATCACCACATGGCCCTGTTGTAAAATATTGCTTTAAGTAATTCTCCTGGTTTCTTGAGAATTTGGCTTTTTAAAAAAGAGAAATCTTCAATCTTACTCATGGTGTGTCCATCGTTCTATTCATTAATACTTCTCTTCATTTACCAGCGCTAAGTAGTGTCATACTTTCTCTCTTTTTTTTTTTTTTTTTTTTTTTTGTTATTATAGATGATTTTCTTTTTTAACGTTTTTAAATTTCCTCTTGATTTCAGGATTGATTCAACTACGAAATGAATTGGTAGATTACCTTCAAAATTCCCTGAAGCAGCAAAGCCCTTTGCCATCTGATTTATCTGTTCTCTTGGGAAATTTACCAGAGCCTATCAATAATCAAAGAGCCTGCCCAAAATGTCCACATCTTCTCAATTGTTCCTTATATCAGAAGTGAGTACACAGTTTGATATCTATGTAATAATGATCCTGGAAAGAAAGTCATTTCCAGCTTAGTGAATCTACTTGGCTTCCAAGTTATAAATATTGTCATCTGCAGTGATAAAGGTTAAATATTTGTGTATGTGGAGGTGGTGTAATGGTTAACAATGTGGAAAGAGAAATTCATGAGCCAAGTTCAAATTCCTGTTGAGATCTTAGGAAAGGTTATGAGTTGATCTCTTCTCTCCCCAACTATTGGTTAAATAGCAAGGTTGATCAGACAGAAAGAGATAGTGTTTTCTCGCTCTATTAACTATTTTCTTGTTCTATTAAAAGAAAAAAGTTATGTGACTGCATGAATTTAAAATAAAGATAAAAATTGGGGAAAATTGTGAAAATGGCTTACCTCGGAAACGCGTGCGAATCTGTGCAGTGTGCAAACTCCGGTTCTCCCAACGGTAAAAGGAACCAAAATGGCGGCACCCATATTTTATGCCGGGCGGTCTTGGTTAGTTAACGCGAAATCTCATTGTCTCGTCATTCGCATGCAAATCGTGGTCGGTCCTCGGCTGTATAAAGCAGGCTCATTTTGCTGTTTCGGATCAGAGAGCTTTCAGCGTGTGAGAAGGTTGGACCTGCGACACCGGGGGTTTTTTGGTCACCCCCTCCTCACGGTTTCTTTGTTCCTACCTGCTATCATCAGTTGAGTTGTTGCGTTAACTCCCACAGTTGTCTATGGCCTTGTGTCAGACTAAGCTCAGCTTAGAGTATATCTAAAGCATATTTTGTAGAGTAATAGTTAACAAAGTACTCTAGTAGACCATTAGCTAGTGTAGTGAGTTTACTCCTTATAAGTGCTTGACTATTATGGCCTTGTACCAGACTAAGCTAAGCTTAGTCAATATCTTGGGAAAATGGCATAGAGTTGCAGTTAGTAAATTAGTTTATGGAGTGAATTCAATCCTCAGAAGTGCTCCGCTGTTATGATCTTGTGCTAGATTAAGGAAAGACTAAAAAGTAGGTGCTGAGAAGTTTTTGGCCTGTCTCTACAAAATTTTTATTATTTTTTTATTTATTTTTTTTTACCTTTTCAGAACCTTTTTTTTTGGGAACTAGACAGTTCTGTTTTGTACCTATTTATAGAACCTTTTTTACATAAGCAGATACCATATAAAATGGGTTGTGGAAGAAGGGAAGATAGTGGGATAAGAAATTGAATCCAGAACTCTGCCCGTATTTGTATTATGCAGGAACAGTCTTCCAAGAATATTTGTAAATATTGTGTTTAATATTTTTTTGTTAACGTACATTTTGTGTTGTATTATTCCCTTATTTAAGCTTCAACATTTTATAAAGTATGTCCCATTTTGTTAACAGTAGGTATTTCTAATTATTTTTTTTTTTATATCAGTTTTGACAGTCAGCCATTAATGGGTTAATATTAAAACAACTTCCTGTCAAATCAGTGATGATATTTTACTTTCTTGTCACTTCCTTCTTTTCTCTTTCCAGATCAATGCCTCAAATGCAACCCCCAAGCAGAAATTGGTCTAATTTGTTGGAGACAACACTGAGCCACTTGTCTAAGCCCCATCTTGATTATTTTGTCCGATGGTGTGTAATGATGGAAATGGAAAATTGCAGCAAGAAGAGTGGGGAGGCAGTTAAGGGCATTTGGTGTAGTTCAGGCATTGATAGGTAAGTAAATTGATCTGTGTACATTTGAAAGTGACATTGTCTTAATTAGCAATCTATAATCTTCATCAGATGATAAAAAGAAGATAATCTATTTGCATACAAATAGGGTCATAACACAAACATTTGTCTTATTAAAAAATCGAAAACATAAAGTGACACATGTCCACGTGTTCAAATAGATTTATAACTGATTTTGACCAATACAAAACAAATTTAATTCACTAAGATTTTAGAATTTATTCATCTCAGGTGACCAAAACAAATAACTTGTCTGCACTAATGTGAAGGTTGATAGTGGGATGTAGTCCAAGTCTGGTTCAAAGGCAGTGGTTTTAGAAATTGGCTGGAAAAGGCCATGGTCAGGGTCACACTGCCATATAGTGCTGTTGCCATTTTTTGGTAAAACATGAAATTGCATTTCTTAGATGTTACTTTACATATTCTGATTGACAATACTGGCGGATTGTAAGTGATATATTCTATGACGGGATGGAGGCCATTTGAAATATGAACGTTGGCCGTAATTGGTCCTCAGGTCGAACTTTGCACATGCCTGCTTATTGTAGTCCTAACTAGTTCCCATATGTACAATTTGTCTCTTTAAAATAACAACATTTAAAAATGAAACCCCAATGAATATTTACAATGAATACAATTTATATCATAGAGGAAATTTCATCGGAACAATTACCCTGAAAGTATTTAAGGGAAAGGGAAGCTACATTATGGCGATGGGAAAGTGACTGAAACCGAGATGCCAGGTCAGGACCAATAATATTAAATATTCTTTGTTATTTGGAACATTCTACACAAATTAAAGGTATTATTCTATTTTTGTTTTTAGTGTCTACACTACATTTATGAAGATTAATAGGCACCTACCATGTTTTGATATTTATAAACATGGGTGGGTTGTCTATTTTTGGTCTATTATAAGCATTATCTATTTGCAATAGGGATGGAAATGTTTCAAGTGGGTTAGATAAATTTGACTAAATATCAGAACCTGATGAAAAAAAAGTTTGGTTTAAAAATATTAATTTGAACATCTAAAATATTTGTGAAGAAGGCATAAAATAAACCAAGTTTTAGTGAAATTAAGTATGACAGAAATTCCCTGCCTGGCCTCACAGCCCTGAGGAAGTTGTGATGATGGGATTAATGTGTTTGCAAAAATTCTACAAAATCCAGACTGAATTGGGAAAACCCTATTCAGCAGAATTCATGTAGAAATTTTACTAAAATATCTGGTTTTGAGTATTTTAGAAGCATAGGTTACATGCAGTGTTAATAGGAAGTTCTTTGTTTATAAAGAGTGTCTTTAAACAAATATCTTATTAATCAAAGCCCCCATTTGTGCCATTATCTTTATAAGTGCACACACATATGACACTTTACTCAGTTCATGCTTGGCAGCCAGGGACAATGCGCCCATCCATTTTCATCAAAATTCTAGCAGCAGCAAAGTTAGCAACACAGCCACATTTCACCTGTTAGATATGTCTCAAGGGAAGAAACGAAGTAATGGAAGTCAAACTGCATGTGTGTGATGGTCGCAGCTTTTACATTTTCATCATTAATATATCGTTGATAGCTTTATGAATGGCATTTTTTCTTTCCGCTAGAATTTCCCAGAATTTTTCTAGGATTAAGCCATTGCCTGAACTACCAAACCAAAATCCATGGCCTATCTGAGTGAATAAGACGACAAGTTGCCTAGTTCATCCTGACATGTACACAATGTAAAGGAAAATTTTCACTAGACAACACAGGACTGGTGAGGGAGACGAGCATCAGAAATAATTATGCCCAATTCACACATCGTTCACTGAACTGTGATACTGGAGATTATAATTAATGAGAGTGAACCAATAAATTAGTTTAGCTGTATTTTGTCATATCTTGGTATTACCATATTGTTGTATTATATATTTTTTGTTACCCCACTCTTGTTTTGAATTGTTTCATTTTGCTTGTTTTGAATTGTTTCTTTTATTCTGTTTTGAATTGTTTCTTTTATTCTGTTTTGAATTGTTTCTTTTATTCTGTTTTGAATTGTTTCTTTTTCCCTGTTTTGAACCGTTTCTTTTTTCCCCTTTTTTTAACCGTTTCTCCCCCACCCCGGTTTTGAACCGTTTCTTTTTTTTTCCCCCGTTTTGAACTGTTTCTTTTTTTTTTTTTTCCCGTTTTGAACCCTTTCTTTTTTTTTCCCGTTTTGAACCGTTTCTTTTTTCCCCGTTTTGACCCCCCACCGGTTTTGAACCGTTTCTGTTTCCCACCCCTGTTTTGAAGTGTTTTTTTCCCTCTGTTTTGAACCGTTTCTTTTTTCCTGTTTTAAACCGTTTCTTTTTTTTCTTCCTGTTTTGAACCGTTTCTTTTTTCTGTTTTGAACCATTTTCTTCTTTTTTTTTTTTGAACCATTTTCTTCTTTTTTTTTCTGTTTTGAACAGTTTCTTCTTTTTTGTTTTGAACCGTTTCTTTTTTCCCCTGTTTTGAACCGTTTCTTTTTTCCCTGTTTTGAACCGTTTCTTTTTCCCCCTGTTTTGAACCGTTTCTCTTTTTTTGTTTTGATTCGTTTCTTTTTTGTCTTCCTGTTTTGAACCGTTTCTTTTTTTTTGATTCCTGTTTTTTTATTGATTTTTTTCTTTTCTGTTTTGAATTCCTTTTCTTTTTTATTCATTCTTTTTTTTTCTGTTTTTGATATTTTTTTTTTTTTTTTTGAATTTTTTTTTTCTTTTCACCCTGTTTTTTTTTTTTTTTCTGTTTTGATCCGTTTCTCTTTTTTCTGTTTTCATGTTTCTTTTTTTTCTGTTTTGATCCGTTAGGGTCCCAGCTATGGGCAAATAGTTAACCTGAAACCATGGTAAAAAGCATTATGAAGGTTTTAATACCAGAAATACTTTGTAAAAAATTATTACCAGAAATAAATTTTTTGAAGAAAAAAAAATATTACCAGCTATACATTTTTGAGGAAAAAAAATATTAACAGAAATAGATTTTTGACAAAACAAAAATATTACTAGGAAAAAAAAAGTTGTTGGCATTAAATGACCCATTGAGCTTGATATGCCATAAAACAAAGCAAACAAAATCAGAAATTCAAGCAGAAATTATTGAATCTGTATGGTTCTGATGTGTTACACCAATAGAGGTGGTCATGATAATAACAGCCATGATGAGAACAATAGTCTGAATGAAAATAATGTCAATGTTATGATATGAATATGTGTTTGCGTTACTAAGTGTATGGTGACAGAAATAATGGAAATTTAAAGTACTAAACAATTGTATTAATATAAAATACAACAAATGAAAGGGTAGATGTCTCTTGTATGAAGAAAAGAGATAAGTGGAAATGTAAAGGTGTCCAGAAGGAGAGGAAGGATGAGTTGTGACTTACTAGGGTGACAGCTATTTGGTGCGCTGGTTGAATCTGATGCCTTTGAAGATGGGAGGTCACTTTCGACAAAGTGTGTGAATCTGTCTATATTTCTGAGATGAGGTATTATGTACACTATTTAAATTATTCGGACTATTGTCCTCATCTTTGTTGCCATATTTATTACGTTTCGGTCGTTGTACGCCCCGGCCTTCATCAGGTGGTTGGAATGTCGAACTGAACCCTTTATTTTGCTCACTGGGGTAGACTGTTCTAGTTCCACGTGCCATGTTTAATGGATGTCAGTTATCTCCTGTTAATTTCCCTCTTCAAGTTCTCCACTGCCTTAACTGGGTATTGAACACACACTCTTTGGGTCCTGTCACTGGATCTAACCAATGCATTTATCCACTGTGCCATGTGTCCTTGAGGAATTTCTGGGTATTATAAACCTAATGTCTTATAAAATAGAAATAAAGAGTTCAGTTCGCCATTCCAACCACCTGAAGAAGGCCAAAGTGTACAGTGGCCGAAATGTTGTAATAAATATGGCGACAAAGATGAGGACAATAGCCCAAATAATGTATATAGTGTATATAATACCTCATCTCAGAAATATAGAGAGATTAGAAATTCTTGATAAAATACAAAGAAGAATCAGAAATGTTATCAGCCCTAACCTGGCATCTCAGCTTCAGTCACTTTCTCATTGTCATAAAGTGCCTGTCAGTAATTTCTGGGTATTATAAACCTAATGTCTTCAGCAAACATTTTTTACCAGTGCTCATATTGTAATTTTTGCTGTTACCTACATGTTTTTACCAGAGCTCATATTGCAATTTTTGTTGTTGTTATTGCTTTTCTCTGGCACTCCTTATTACTGGTGTGTGAACTTGGGTTAAGATGCTGTCCAACTGCTGAAAATGTCCCTTTGATGGGCTTTTAAGCACTTTCTTAGGCTCAAATCGGCCTCAGTTTTTATTTCGTTTCTTAAGGCAGGAGTGTGTGCTGTTGGGTGGGAATTCTGGATTGTATTGCTAATTTTTTTTTTCTTTGAGTAAACAGATAATATGTGCAGAGCCTTGCACAGCTGATAGACTTTTAGTTCAGTTTTGGGCATTCAGAACGTTCACATCCGGCCGGTGGATGGGAATTAGTGTAGCGTGAATCCTTGTACTTTTAGCCATTATCGATTTTCTTAAATGTTATGGAAAACTGCTGGCATCTTTCAGATACTGTTTTTATTCTATTAAAATGAATTTTTCTTGTTTCTTTTTTTGTTCTCATTTATTTCAGAGAACTTAAAGGAGAATGCCTGAGCAATCTGCAACTTTCAATGTCTGAAAAGCTTCCTGATGGTGAGAAGTTTCTGAATACCTTTCAAAGGCATCCACTTTCAAAGTAAGGCTTTTTTGAGACATTTATATGTTGTCTTTAAAATCACTATTTAAAACCTGAATGAAAAGAAGTCTATAAGTGTGATTCTATAACAAATAAAGTCTTCAACTTTTCATCTTCCACATTATTCATGATTATTACTTTCCCTTTCTTTGTATATGGCAGACCCCCCCCCGTCAACTGCTGCTGTCAAATTCTTGATTTCATTCAAGGTCACTTACAAGCAAGCTGCAGAATATAATGGCTGAAAGATTGTGTTAGTAACAAGATAATGACAGGTCAAATAATTTATACAATAATAAAACTACTTCATTTCAGAACTTGAGAAAACAAACTCTCACTGTGTTGACGAATATAAAATGGTTCTTTGTGTTTTTTTTTTGTTTTTTTTCTCTGTCCAGATTAAAGCAAGAGTTTGCCTCCTTGGACACCATAGGACTGTGCAGTCAGGAAAGTGTTGCTGTCAGTGCAGAAAGCAAGAATCAAGTTGTGTTATGTACTGGAAATATTTACAGAATCACACCTGAAAATGTTGTTGTTATCAGTGACAGGTAATGAAACCAGATTAAGTACATTACTGGGAGATTTGTTTTTTTTGTTTTTTTTTTAAAATTAGTTATTCCCAAAGTGATATTCATACTTACACTCATTTTCTTATAACCTCTCTCTCTCTCTCTCTCTTTCTCTCTCATCCTCTTTCATCCTATCTCTCTCTCATGTTTCTCTTGTCTCTTTCTTGTTCCATATCTCTTGTTGTGTCTCTCTTAAAATTATTAATAAACGGTCCAAAGTTCATTTTTTTTATCTTGTTTTGTTCAAGTACTTAATAGTAATGGACATTGTTGAATTAAAACTTTTTCGAATGGGGATGGGTGTGTGTGTATATATATATATATATATATACACACACACACTTGTGCAAATTAATTGAAATAAAATGCATAATTCTGTTATTATTTACTTTTTTGTATTTTCACCAGTGACACATGACCCAGTACACATGTTAGTACTTTGTATGTCCATTCCACAGTCATTCCTTGCAGCAGATTGACCACAGATTCTCGATTAGATTTAAATCGAGAGTTTCCAGGCCAGTCTATAGTACTTTAATTTGTTCATTGGTAAGGATTGCCAGAGTGTTCATGCAGCATTACAATTTTTGTACACTTCCTTAGAGTAACATCTATTGGAGAAAATGGCCATAGGACAACTAATCAACAGTCTAGACAATAGTGTCTTGGTGTGATAAAAATCTGATGCAATCACAGATGGCGCAATATTTTTTGATTTATTTTTAGATCACATTTAATAAACCAAATGCATATATTTATTTTATACACACTTGTATCAATGATAAAACTTAGTTTATAAATAAGGCACAAAAAAAGATTAATGACACTAACTAATAATAAAACAATTTTGAGATTTGTTCTTACCATAGAACTTAGGAATATACTGTATGCTGAGCTTGCTTTCTTAAATAAGTCAAGAACTTTAGCCTGTTAAAGGAAGAATTTTATGATTTCTCTTTGGCATATTCACATTGTCAGTATCTTTATTCTTGTGCTTTGGCACCATTATTGCTTAAATCTTTTCTTTTTTTGGGTTAAGAGACCAAGGAACCTTTTTCTGTATCTTGATACGTATTTGTCCTTCACTATACAGCTATTTGTTATTAATCTTCACTCATATTTGTTTGTTTTCCTGCAAAGAATGCACATTTTTAGTTTTATTCTGATACTGTTTTTTTTTTCTTTCAGAAACCTTCAGGCTGAACCTGATTTTGCTTCTCTTGTTTTTCGAGTTGACAAGTGTGATACTTACAACACATGGGGGACATGCTACTGTAACTTGTCAATCCTAATGTCTGACAGTGCCCATTGGTAAATTTATTTTATTTTTATTACTCTTGTGGTGTGTGTGTAAGTAAATATATATATATATATATATAACCAAGTATATGATTGGTGTATATGGAATGAATTCCAATAGCCAACAATTACTATTCTTAAAAGTGTTCTCAATACAGAGTAGAGCAGATATAATTATTTATTTAAAAATTATAACATAAATATGTTATAAAATCACTACAAAAATAGCCATTTTGTTTCAACACCTCTGGAGGCGTTGAAACAAAATGGCTATTTTTGTAGTGAGTTTATAACATATTTATGTTATAATTTTTAAATAAATAATTATGTAATATATGTGTATATATAATATGTAACTATTTTTATATCTACCATGAAACATTACATACCAATTATTTGTGAATTTTGACTCAGGAGCACAGGCAGAAGGGTTAAAATTTTTCAGGGACACAGGGCTCAAAGGGTTAAGCCATTAAAGTTTTTTTTTAAAATCTTGACACTATTTCATATTTAAATGCTTTATTTAGTGGGTATGTATTCAATTCTTGAACAATTTATCCTATGAAGCTGCTATTCCTTGTCACTAATGTTCCATTTAACCAGAATCCACTGTATTTTATTCTTAGCTTCTTGCCTTATTTGGTCATTGGCTCTTTGAGTTATGGTAATAATGTTCCTCTCACAAAAGATATTGGTAGTGAACTCAGTTTTCTTTGAGTTCTTCAGGATCATGATTTTCTAGGAAACAAGTTTAAGAAAATTTCCTTTTCTTTTTTTTTTTTTTCAAATTATTTTTTTTTTATTATTCATATCTTTTACATTTTAATTTTTCACAAATATATTTGATCTTGTACAATGTGACTGATATTTTTATAAAAGCCAGGAATATATTTTATTTTCATATATAATATAAACCTCATTTAAATATGAAATGTAAGATAGTTTTCAGTTTGTGTGATGCTTAGTTTTATTGTTAAGATAATTTTAAAAGCCAGTGTAAGCCATAGACTTAAAGGAACAATGATGATTTTTTAATGACATCTTGTTGCAAGGATCATATGTCCTAAGGAACAGTTGATAGAATTTCAGAAATAATTTCCTAATTTGATCAAATAACATCAAAAGTTAGAAATTATTATGTTTGTTTAATTTTTCCAATTTTATTTCAGTGCTCGATTGCGAGAGTTGATCATAGACCATCAAAAACCACGACTTCAGACAACTTTACCAAAGAGCTTGATTCTAAAAGGTGATTTTTGTTTAATTTCTGATGAATCAAATTTAATAGTATTTAATAGTATTTATTTGTTACTGAACATATTATTTTGTAATCTCCTACCTGCTGAGTTATCTCCCTCTTGTTTTTCTTTTATCATTTTGGTTGGAGTTGGGGTTTATTCTTTACTATTTATTATTCATTTATTAATAGAATATAATAAGTCACCAATGTTAGCAGGTTATACTCTCATTTAGCCTCTGCCACCATTTCAAAAAACTAGATAACAAAAAATACCCATCAACCCATTTAAATGTCTTTTGTGACCAAGTTGTCATAGATGCTGAGATGAAACATAATTTTTATTTTTTTTTGTTAATCAATTCACCCCAACCAATGCAAGGAGCTACTGGGAGCAAAAGAGAATGAAAAAGACTTTAGAAAGAACTGGAAATCCAATCCTAAACAGGAAACAAGGGATAAACCTCTACTCCTGTTTCACAGGCTGGGGAGGAGTTGTCTTTTATACCAAATAAAAATGCCATTTTAGAAAAAGCAAGCCAGTGGGAATTTTTCAACTTATAAAATAAGAGTGTCGGTCTGGAACAAAATAATCTTACTGAGTAATAAATTATTAAAAATAGAATAACTTTGTGGGTGACGAATTATTCTCCACCCTCCAACCTCTCTCCCACAGGTGGGGTGTGGCAAGCCTCTCGATGCTCTACTGTTACTTCCATGGAAGGTGCTTGGACAAACTACACTCCCTGGTCCCGCCGAGGTAAAGCTTCATAGCAAGAACACACCATGCCACTCACATAGTAGCAAATCAGCTACATTCCCCCTGTATTCCATTGGTGAGAAATAAGTTCTATTCTAAGAGCTTCTTCCCGTAGACCACTGCTCTGTGAAATCCACTCCCAAGAGGATGTTTCACCAATCACTACAATCTTAAACTGTTCAAAGACAGGGTTAACCATTATCTTTCATTCCTACCCACACAAATTGCCTCCTAATGTAACTCTCTACCTTGAGTGGCTCCCGGGCCTTGTAGAGGGTGAACCTTACTGTCGAAAAAAAAGAAAAAGATTACTATACCAAATAAGCACAACATTTGGGAGTTGAATGAAGTAAGTTAATTGTACGGGCATTTGTATTTCGTATGCAGGGGTACTTTATTCAGTTCTTTAAGGGTACTTTATACACTTTTGCATAAGAATCCTTAATCAGACATACATTTACAATAAATAAAAAATTAGTGACAATTTACTCACCCTTTGAATGATAAACAAAAAGAATTATTTACACTATTTACATTATTTGGACTATTGTCCTCATCTTTGTCACCATATTTATTACAACGTATCAACCTTCTTCAGGTGGTTGGAATGTTGAATTGAACCCTTTATTTCGCTCACTGTGGTAGACTGTTCTAGTTCCACGTGCCATGTTTAATGGATGTCAGTTATTAGTTATCTCTCGTTAATTCCTGTCTCCAAGTTCTCCACTGCCTTAACCGGGTATTGAACTCACACTGTTTGGGTCCTGTCACTGGATCTAACTTAACGCGTTTATCCACTGTGCCATGTTTCCTTGTTTGACATTCCAACCACCTTAAGAAGGCTGGAGTATACAACAGCTGAAACGTAATAAATATAGCAACAAAGATGAGGACAATAGTCCGAATAATGTAAATAGTGTACATAATACCTCATCTCAGAAATATAGACAGATACAAAAAGAATTATTATTTAAATTGTTAATTCCATGGATTCTTTTTTCTAAAGATATTATTAACAAATAATAAAAAACGTGTTTTATCCACATATTTAGAATGTGTTTTTATTCATGTGCTTGAATTTACAGTTATTGACTGGTTGGTTTAAATTATTTATAAATACAAATACTTGTGTTCTCAATCATATAAAACAGTTGTTTTTTAGAATCAGTTTGTTGAGATAACTTGGTGTATAACGGACAGCAACTGGAGATGTCAGATTTTCAAATTTAAATAACAAGATAGAAAGAAATAGTGATCCTGTATTTATGGAGCGAATAAGAGTTTCTCTATTCAAATGAAATTTTCTGAGATTCTTGTTTGCATTGCAAAACCGTTTTTCATTTTCAACAACTTTTACAATGATGCATATTGACTGATGATCTGTTTTGAGTAGACTTTCTTTATCCTAGGGTTTCGCAAGGGGTCTGTGACAAATGCATGTTAGTGCAGATGCAAACGAGGTCCAAATTGCATGTAGACATATTTGTCAACACCGGGTTACATCTGGGTTTTTCCCATTAGCAGTGGGACAGTTTGGCATATCTAGGTAGGTATGGGCCTCTATGCAACTAGTGAAGATCCAGGTTTTTGTAAGATGCTTTATATCGATCAAAGCAGGGGGGAAAACCAGTAGTCGGCCTTTGGCAAGACATGGTGTCTTGTGAAGTCAGTCCTGTGGGTATTTTGTTCCTCAAGTTGCTGTGGTTTCTGAAGCAGTTTTATTTTTTGTTACCAATATCTCTTTCCCCTCTTGGCCTATTATCCCTGGAGTTGGTTGAGAGAGCAATCGGTTAGATGTTTCCCCCATTCTCAAAACACTCTTTGCTTACATTACAACAGAATTACTAAGGATTCTGCGAGAACTACACATATGGTATATTGTTGGAAAATCCTTAGTTATTATTGTACTATTGTATTATTGGCTTCAACTGCTTATACTATTTAAAATTATAATAATCATTGTCATTTGTGGAATTCGTTGCCAAGTATCAGGGTGCTCATCGATATTTCCTTCTGTGTGAAATGAGTCCTATGTTGGATCTGAAGAGATGTCCGCAGCCACTTTATGGTAATGCAGAAAAGTTCAAGGGATGGAGAACTTTTTTTTTTTTTGTTTCTTTGCTCTCTTCGATTTGTCTTCGGTGTTTTCAAAAGATGTTTTTTCATTGACTGCTCTTCTCCAATTGGTTCTCTCTGCAACCTATGTCTCCCATACCAGATTGATTTCTGTCCTCAGCAAGGTATTTTTGAGCTGATCCTTGAATCGATGACGTGGGGCCATTTATGAGAATCATAGGGAATGTATTTAGCTGTGTGTATATAATATCAGTGTGAAACTGTCTTCACTTTTTAGTGGACAGGACCTGTATGTGGCAGATTTGTGTATCACTGGAATTCATATATTATGTCTACCACATGAAGTACAATAAAAATATAAAGAAAATAGATATTAAAAATGGTATATAATAATTTTTATGCAAGGGTTCCCTGAGACATGAAAACTATTTCAAGAGTTCCACAATTTAAAAAAAGTTGAGAAATGCTGACTTATATGATTAAAAATCCACTTAAATTTATGAGTGGCTCATTACAGAGATAAAGTATGGATGAACAAAAATAGCAAAACTATACCGATAAAAAGCTTACATTGGCATATTTTTCCAACTTAAAAAACCTGTGTTCTGCTGTGATTGGCTTTTTATTTTTTATGTTATGGTATTTTCTTGCAATTAAGGCCAAAATTCAAACTTCAAAGAAAATATTTAAATTCATTTAAATGTCTTCAGATTTTTATTAAATCAGCCATGGTAGAAAAGCAATCTTTCACTTTATATGCAGAATCTAAAAACATTCTAAAACTTATGCAACTATAATATTTCTTTCAGTATCATCTGGACATATTTTGGCTATATGTATGCAAAATATGAAAGCTATATTTAGTCTATTGTCTTTAATAAAAATCTAGCAGGACAATTTTTTTTGTGTGTGTTAAGATGCAATGGGCATTGGAATAAGCTGAGTTAGATATCAGTGTTTGTCCAGAAAAAATATTCAGTGGACATAAACATGAAGTATCCACATTGAGGAGTATTGTAAGTTTTCTCCCCAAGTAAAATGGGTTTTATATGCAGATTGGTCATATATGGTCAGAAGCCATATAAAAGATTGGTCATATATGGTCAGAAACCATATAATAATGTGCAGCTCTGTACAAAGCCTTCAATTTGCTTTGTCAATAAGAATTTATATGACTATTCACATATTACATTCTTGAACAATGTTGCACTCTAATTTTTCTAATACAAAATTTCTTTTATTATGTATAGATAAATGAGAATTTTTTAATTCAATCTTACAAATACAAGATTCTTTTTTTCTAGTGAAAACTGTATTCAAACCATTAAACAAGCCACAAAGAGCATCAGTTCTTAAAGTAAGTACCATTTTATTAGTAGTTTCCTTCTATTGTTTAAAGTAAGTACCATTTTATTAGTAGTTTCCTTTTATTCTTTAAAGTAAGTACCATTTTATTAGTAGTTTCCTTTATAGTTATACACTTTCTACCAAAATGTGTGGTGTCTATTTTTTTTTCTTTGTCGGTGCATGTGGTTTATTTTTTGCCAATAGTTGAGATATATTTGATGAATTAAACTTCTTATAATCATTATCATCTAGTTTGTGATTATTGTTTTTGATTTCTGTAGAATAGTTTGATGGTGATTTTTTTTTTTTTTTTTTTTTTTTTTTAACATTTTTTTTCTCGGGTAATTTGCCTAAACATGTGGACAAGTTATTTCCTAAAAATATATATCAAGCTTATCTTTTTACTTTTGTAGGTTTTAATGAGTGAAGATTATGTCATTGTTCGTGGTTATCCAGGAACAGGTAAGCTTAGAATTCTTGATTTGTTCCTTAAGAAAAAAACATTTCTGTTATTTGAAATTTTTCTTATTCACTGTCATATAACAACCTACATGTGAATGTCCAGTCAGTGATACATTCTTACATGGAGTGTTCAACATGTGGGCTTTAAAGCCAAAGCAAAGCAGTCAAATATTAATCATTCCATTGGGTTTGCATGTAAATTTAAATCACTACAAGTTGTATATGGCTACACATTATCTATACTAAATATATATAATTGAAATCTACTTTGATTTGTTTCTGTATTCTATTTGCTATAAAAATACATACTAACTTTTTTTTCTAGTCTTGATAGTAAAAAAAACTGTAGCAGGAAAAAAAAAAACAAAAAGAAACTTTACATTTGTTGTAGCAATGGATGCCTGTAATCGGTTACTTCTGTCTCTCTTGTCCGTAAGGGTCCAACAGGCAGCATAGTAGTGACAAAACAGGGTCAGAAATCCAAACTTCACATTTCACCAGCAGAAACGCACATTCATCCACCAAGATCAAAAAAATTGTTTCTCCCTATAAACAAAAAAAAAAAACAACAGCCTTTATTTAACAAGCGATTTTCCTAATTGGCCTCACCATTCAGGGAAGGAAAGAAAATTAGCATAACTTACCTGATACTTAAAGTAGCAGATTTTTGCTAACTATTTTTTTCTTTAATTCTTCTTTGCCAGACCATGCTCAAAACATGAGCTCTTTTTTGAGGTGGGTGATTTTCTCTTTCACTACTGAAACACCAACATGGAATATGAAATGACATTCTGGAAGCAGTGTTTCGTGGGTTCCCACACAAAGAAGTAATTCTTTTATCATGCTACTTCACACAAAACCATGCATTTTTGTTGTGGCTGCCCCATATAAAAATCATGCATTTTATTGTGCCACTTGCAGTAAAAGAATTCATGCATTTTATTGTGCCACTTGCAGTAAAAGAATTCATGCATTGTATCATAGGCACAGCCTCCACCTACACCTAAACATGCAATTCGGTTGCAAGCATTTGGTTGCAAAGGAAAGGAACAAACAAGGATTAAGATTTCATCGTGTATTGGTCAAAATTCAGAATATGTAGATAGTTGTGTGAAAGGTGGAAAAAATTGTTTATATGTGGTTCCTTAGTTGGCATTGGTAAGGAAAGTGATTAAATGTAAGGGTGTTGCTGGTAGGGCTGGGAGTTGACATTTCTTGGGCTGGTTGGCTGAGGTCACAGCTGGGGTCAGGAGAAGAGGCCTGTAGTGAGGTGTTTGATGATCTGGCGGTTGTATGATGAGGCTGAAGTGTTGAAGACGAACTGCCTGTCGTTAGCAATGAATGCAGTTTTTATATCTTTGTTTTAACAAGTATAGACTCCTTGGAGACTTTTTTTTTTTTTTTTTTTTTTTTTAGGAATGTTTGTGATTGGCTATTACATATTGGGGATTTGTTTTGTATGATGCTCAGAGCCCTTACAAGGAAGATGACTTTTTTATTTTGTGTTTTGTTTTCTTAGCAGTCAGCCAACGTCTAGTGAAATGTGTTTGTGAATCAGAAAGAGATTTTGATGAAGTAGTGTAAGATTGTGCTTCTTAAAAACTGTTAACTCCTTCTGCCTTTTTTTATTATCTGTGTATGTATATTTTTATAGATTTTGTACACCAATGTACAATACTATGGAATATTTACTACAGTGTTTAGACATGTGTATCTATAATTTTGAGGTTTAGATAATTCTATATTTTTCATGATGTTTTATATTATTTAGCTTCACCCAATAATGGTCAAGTTGTGGCCAGAATGTCACCTCGTATATTTGTTTAGCTTTGTAGAATAATTTGTTTTTCTTTGTTTTTGCTCCTTGCAGGCAAAACTTCAACTATTGTTGCTTTGATCAAAGTTTTGACAAACCTTGGCTTATCAATTCTCCTTGCCAGTTACACTCATTCTGCTGTTGATAACATTCTCTTCAAGTTGAAAAAGGTTTGTACATTTTGATAGTTGAAATGTAATTAGATGTTGGGAAAAATAATCTCTGCTTCTAAGGGAGATAACTCGCTTTAAATTCTTATTTAATAGACAGCTTACCTCCAAAATTAAGATCTTTATACTACAGAATGCATAAGCTACAGAAAAATGGCAAACCCTACTGTATTTGTCAGAACTTTTACAACCACAAATGAGTCACTGGACACATGGCACAGTGGATAAAGGCATTAGTTAGATCCAGTGATAGGACCCAAAGAGTGTGAGTTCAATACCTGGTTAAAGCTGTGGAGAACTTTACAGGCGATAACTGACATCCATTAGACATGGCATGTGGAACTAGAACAGTCTACCCCAGTGAGCGAAATAAAGGGTTCAGTTCGACATTCCGACCACTTGAAGAAGGTCGGAGCGTACAACGGCCGAAATGTAATAAATATGGCGACAAAGATGAGTACAATAGTCCAAATAATGTAAATAGTATACATAATACCTCATCTCAGAAATATAGACAGATGTTTCTTTTTGATTAAAATACATCATCATCATCGTTAAGACTGGATGTTGTTGTGGAGTCACTGAACACATGACCCCCCTCCCTTATTATGTCTCTGTTGCATGCCAATATCTGTGACGCTATAAAGGATTTTCTAGTTCACTCAGTAATGTCAGCCCATTTTTTCTTCTTTTGCCCAAGATGGTAATTTGTAGTATGGCAGAACAATGTTGAATCACATGACCATACCATACCATTTCATCTCCCTTTTAATAACGGTAGTTTTGAGGATTTCCAATGGGGGGGGCCTGTTTCTTGTTTGATGGTGTTTGTCACTGAATCATTTGTGACGCATCCCACACAGAAGATGGTTCTGTATTTTCTTATTTTTAATTCAAGGTAGCATTTCTGCTGTTAATGTCCAAGACTTTCAGGCATACAGAAAGACCAAGAGAGCCACAATGCATGCAACAGTTTGGTCCTTAATCTCTTAAAACCTGTGGATACTTTAATGAGTATACAGTCACTTTGCAGTAATACTCTCTGGAAAGGCATGAATTCTTCACTTCTCTCTGCAGTTTAATTATTGGCTACCTAGGAAAAAGAAATGCCTCATCCCTGGCACAAAAAATAGAAATAGAAGAAACTAAGCTGTAGCTGATGATTCTGTTTTTTTTTTTTTAAATAATACTTTAAGGGAAGGCATGACTCCACCTCTCCCTGCAATTAAATCCCATAAACATATATCTTGAAAAATATCATCAGTATTCTAATCAGCAAGTTCTGGACTTTAAATACTAATATCAGGAATCTTTTGCTTTCTCTTTTTTTTTTTTTTTTTTTAATTTTTGTCTTATTTTCATTAAAACTATACATTTATTTCTGTTAAAACAAAAGTTTTGATAACTTTAGTATGAGGAGATGCTGAAAAATTCTTGTTGGCAAAAACTTGCTCCACAAAATCTATATTCTGATGTTTAGTCATTAATATACTGATTTGCATGAAGGTGGGCTGCAATATGAATTTTACAGTTCTCTCTCTCTCTCTCTTTATCCCTCTTTCTCTTTACCCACCCTCTTTTTATGCCCCCCCCACACACACACATACACTTACACTGAGAATCTTCTATTTGAAATTCTGTAAACTGAAATTTTTCTTTCTGTGGTGATTATTTTTATTTCCAGTATTTACATTCAGACTAATACCCTCATCTTTGTTGCTATTGTCACAATGTTTCAGCTGTTACACTCTGGCCTTCTTCAGGTGTTTGTAATGATTTGTTGGGTAACTGTTTTATGAATTCATAGTGGATATCGTCTGGCCCTACAGCTGTATTGATTCATTTAGTTCCTTCAGAGGGAAGGGTAACTTGCGGGGAATTTTGAACTGAACCCTTTATGTAATCCAAGTGGGATAGATTGTTCTTGTTCCGTTTGTTTATGCCCATGGGTATCTTGCCAGTTATTGCTTGTCCTGTTTCCACCGAGTGTCCATTTTATCCAACCCCAGAGTTTGAACTAACAATTACTGTAAGCCCTTAATGCACAAATCTGTAGTAATTGTGAGTTCAATCCCAGGATTCGGTAGTACAGGCACTCGATGGAAATAGAGTGAGCAATAAATGCAGGGAACTGAAGAAGAGACCAAGATGATGAGAAATCCCTAAACATGAACAGCAGAATGAGAGTTATCTACCTCTGTAGATTAAATAAAGAGTTTAGTTTGAAAGACATCTGAAGAAGGTGTACACAACAGCTGAAACGTTGTGATGACAACAAAGATGAGATGATTAGTATGAATATAAATAATAATGTGTCACAGAAATTCAGATTTACCAGTAATTTTATAGGCTTTTTTTTTTTTTTTCATTGCATTTCATTGACCACTGTGGAAACATTAATAACGTTTATTGTCTTCAATTGACCCATCTTTGGTCAGTTATGTGTCATGCGTGATACACACTTAGGCAATCATGTATCTTTCGATACATGACTGACAAGGAAGATTTTTTTTTTCCCCACAGTAGGTTGCCATTTCTTTTTGCAGTAGACCAGTTGCCATCCAAAGCTATAGAACCTAGTCTGTCCTGCTATTTACCCATAGCTTGGGAGAGGAGAAGAGGATTCATACTTTGCCCAAGGGTATTAGCACGTAACTGAATGTAATGGATTTGACTAGAATTCAAACTTGACTCTCTGATTCCTCAATCCATGCTGCTATCCATTACTTCACCGTACCTCCTCTAGGAGGACTTAGTGTACATATTCACAAAGTCCACTGCAGAGACACTGATATTCATTTAGAATCAACCCAAATAGCTATCTACAGTACCTGTCCTACCATTCAGGAATTTGAAAAAATTCCAAAAAGTATCTGGTTTCAAAAGTTTCAGATAAGAGACTGTTCTTAAATATTTCACTGTGTGTTTTTTTTTTGTTTTTTTTTTAAAGGAGAAAGTTGAATTTTTGCGACTTGGGAGAAAGGAACGGATACATCCTGAAATTTATCCATTCTCAGAGGATTTTTTAATAAAGTCAGTGACTAATGTGGAGGAATTGAAAAAGCTGTATGAATCAAAGGTTTGTGTTTAGCCTTTTTATTTTGATTAATTCTAAATTGAAATATTAAATGAATTATTATCTAGTAACTTTTGGAAAGGTATGAATCTACTTGTCCCTGCAAACAAAATATTGCAAGTAACTTGTCAATTATCCCAAGCATCATTTTACCTTTTTGGAATAATTTGTAAAACAAAAATTTAGGTCAGTTTAAAATGTAAACCGAGCTTTGAGAAACATTGTCTAATAAAATGCAATTTATAAGATTATACATAATTCTCTCAAAGTGCCACAGCTCTTCAGAATGTCTGTAATCATGGCTCTTCACAACTTTTCTTTCATTTACTTTGCGATATTTGTTCAGTCCATTTTTGTTCTCCTAAGTATGACAATAACCTACATCTGCGTCCTGGGTAAGACAATAAACAACATCCAACAACAAGGACTCTGATCAGAAAATTTTGAGGAGTGTGGAACCACCTCTTAATTGCTGTTAGGGTCACAGCTATAGGCAAATAGTTGACCACCCCCAAACTGGGGTCAAAACACTATGAAAGTGTAAAATAGGTTTTAATACCAGCATTACTTTTTTGGAAAAACTTATTACTAGCAATGAATTTTTGAAGGAAAACTATTACCAGCAATACATCTTTGGAAAAAAAATATTACCAGCAGTAAATTTTTGTAAAAAAAAAAAATATTACCAGCAGTGCATCTTTGAAAAAAAAAAATATTACCAGCAGTAAATTTTTGTGAAAAAAAATATTATCAGTGGTACATTTTTGGAAAAAATATAACCAACAATAAAAATCTTGTCAGCATTAAATAACACATTGAAGGTTGATATGCTGTAAAACAAACCAAGGCAAACCATTTTTGCTCAAAGGTATCTCAGTATGGAGTAATGGTTAGTGAGCCAAGTCAGGTTGGCCATTATGTCTGGGTAAGAAGTTTGATCTCTACTGGGCGCATCATACAAAGTTTGGCACTAAATAACCCATTGAAAATATCGTTGTAAAATCAACCAACTTGAACTTGTAAAGTAGTTTTCTTACTACTGTTTCTTCTTCTGTCTACCTTGTGTATGTTATATTCTTCAAGCCTTCTTTCCTCAGTGCAAGTTCTCTAACAGTTAATGGTATGGTGAATAAAATTGGCAAACTGCAACAGTTTTTGTTCATTTGGCTCTGATGCCCTTGAGAAAGACATGAATCATCTGCATAAAGGGCAATCCACTTTGAGTGTTAGACTTGTACATCAACTTTACAAAATTTCACTTGCTTCTGTTTGTGGAATTGTTCATAATCTCATCAATTGATATCTTAAAAGCATGATCATAATATAATATACATACTCACATGAAATTTTATGACGAAAGTAACACAGTAAAGCCTCCATTTTATTTTTCTGCACAGAGGAATTTCAAGGTATACATCTGTTTCATATATATTTTCATGTCAAATGCTCTTTTGTCAGACTGCTCCTCAGCTGCAACCAGTATTAAGGCAAATTTTTTTTTTTTTTTTTTTTTTTTTGAGTTATTGGCAGGTAATTTCAGCCTTTACTGCCATCCATCAATATCTGTATTTGTTATGGCCATAATAATACAGAATGCTTTATTTTTGGAGCACCCCTCGAATAATAAAAATGTATTGCTGATGAGTTTACTATAGAAATATATATATATATATATATATATAAGGAAGAAATAATCAAATTTTTATTGGGGGGAAATAAGGTGTTTATGTGTCTAAATGAAGAATTGGGTTTTCCAAATTTATTTCCATTTCTTATGAAGAACACGCACCAAATTCTTTTAAAAGTGGGCTTAAATATTACTTTTGAAATATAATAGGGTTGGAACTAGATTCTGTTGTCCTGTGACCATTAAAATAATTTGTATTTGATTGAAACTGAATTTTTACTCCATTTGACAGCGTGTTGTGGCAACTACGTGTTTGGGAAGCAACCATGTTCTTTTCTCTACTCAGCACCAAATGTTCGATGTGTGTATTGTGGATGAAGCATCACAAGTGACTCAGTTGGCTTGCATTGGTCCACTTTTCTCAGCGAAGAAGTTCATTTTAGTTGGAGACTCTAAACAACTACCACCAGTTGTCCAAAGTAAGCAAGCCAAGTAAGTCATTCTGATTAGTCACTTTCCACATTTTCATGTTCACTTATTATGTGTGTCTATATTCTTATTATGTGTGTCTGTATTATGTGTCTGTATTCTTATTAAGTGTGTCTGTATTCTTTCGATTATTTCACAGGTTATTTGGTTTAATGCCTTCATCCATTTTTTTGTATGGAAAATCAGTTTTCAATTGATGCATTTTTTTAAAACTTCCTCTTGATTGAGGGGGAAAATGAATTTGCGAAATATCAGCCGATTCTAAAAAAAAAAAATCTGTTAAGCTAGCGAGTAGGGGTTTACTTATTTACAGGTGGTTATCTTAGGATAACATCCTTAATCCAAATATACACCAATTTATGGCCTTTTAAAAATGCATGCAAAGATAATTAATACAAAGATATATTTTACATGTACTGATAAAAATTTATATCTCCTAAAATAAAATATACAATATTCAAAGTATTCATAAGTTAATATTAGAAATATCTCATGTTGAAAGTCTCTAAGTCCTTTAGCATATAATAGAGAGATAGGGAGGGGAGAATCCTTCTAAAATGTATATGTAGGTATCTAAGTATTTCTTCAGTATTTCTCTATATTTCTGAGATGAGGTATTATGTACACTATTTACATTATTCGGACTATTGTCATCATCTTTGTCGCCATATTTACTCAACGTTTCGGCCCTTGTATGCTCCGGTCTTCTTCAGGTGGTTGGAATGTCGAACTGAACGCTTTATTTTGCTCACTGGGGTAGACTGTTCTAGTTCCACGTGCCATGTCTAATGGATGTCAGTTGTCAGTTATCTCCTGTTAATTCACCTCTCCAAGTTCTCCACTGCCTTAACCTGGTACTGAAGTCATTCATCAATATAACTTGCTTTTAGTAGAAAGGCTAAGTTGGAAGGACGTGGAATTTCTCGGTCAGCTCCTGCGAGGCAACGGCCTGACTGCAACTGTGTATCAACTGTTGGAACTCCTGGAACCAACTAACTGATCAGCTGCCTCGAGACGTTTGTTTATATGGATACCGACCAAAACCCTGTGTGGGGGCCCGACGTGGTTTGGGTTCCCGATAATTCTCTATTCCCAGCAAGAATTCTCTTTGTTCTTAAGCCAGGAAAATTAATTACTTCCCATTTTTGGAAGATTAATCACTTTCCATTTCGGGGTTTTTTTTCCCTCGTCCGTGAGAGAAGGTCGGAGGAGAGTTATCCTCCTAGACTCTTCCTCTCTCACATTGGTATCTCATACCAATCCCCTCAGTGGGTGTTAACAACTTCTCCATCTTTCTCATACATTCACCTCCGCCTATCACCCATGCTACCACTTGACCAATGATCTCTCGGCAGTGTGGGTGTGGTTAGACTGGCCCTCTTGAAATTATTTTTTCTTTTTTCATTCGGCCAAAACATTTACAAATCCCAGATTGCCAAATAATTCTTATCACATCTTCCTTTTGGGGACACCCAAAATTCACTTAGTCGGGTCTCTCTACCGACTCATCAATCACTGTCAAAACCTGACACCTGGTTTTTTTTCTGCTAAGTCAACTTTTAGCTGGGAGGTCTGTATTTTACCTGAGAATCAAATTCTTTATTTTTCTCATGCCTTAAAATCCTCTTATCACCAAATGCCCATTTTTGGCGATGCTGTGTCTGACGTCAACAGTTTGAATAAGCAATAATAATATGATTTTCTTCCTCGTGCCAGAATTCTAACAGACACTGCTGGACCCAGGAATTAAAATTAAATGATATCTCTGAAAGATAACTAATATCTATTAGCGGCCATAAAAAAAATTTCAGCTTGAGACCACTCTCCATAGTGGTCTCAAGCTGAAATTTTTTTTTATGGCCGCATGTGTCGGTTGGCTTTGTTTTTCTTTCTGAATTCTGTTTCCCTTAACATGACATTAATCAGTTTTGACAGAATCTCATGTCTCGTTTTTTCTTACGGATTTTCTGTCTTGTGCGAAAAGTATCTTTCTTCGTAAATAAAAAATAAAATCTTTTTTTTTTTTAATGTCGATCAATTTGATATAGCTCTTTCTCGCCTTAAGTCTTTCCTGTTTTTAATTTCCATGGTTAATTAGTTAGCCAATTACCATAGCTAAATAGTGTCACGGTGTCGACCTGTAATTTCTGGGGATGGGATCCTGATGGTTGAGGGCTTCAGGAGTCAGTGTTAGATACTTCTGATTCCCAATACACCACTTTGGCCCTTACTTGGACTAGATGTGCAGTCAGAGAGGTCTGATTTGATCAATCGGCCAGTCATGCCAAGCCTTAGTGCCTATAACTAAATACAATACCCCAAATATACAGAGGGATAAAATACTTATCTCTATCCAATTTATAGGTGTTAGAAGGTGATGGCTGAGGGTCAGTTGGTTTGAAGAGGTCTAGGCTTAGACATGGCTGTAAACATTCCAGTGGGAAGTGCAACAAATGGTTTAATGGGTGCTCAGGGTCTCTCTCAAATACAAGTATACTGGTTTGTGCAGCCCTGACCTGTCAAGGTGACTGGGTTTCCCCTTTGAAATGTCCCAATGCAGGGCTGTGAGGTAGGTGGGAGCACAGACAGGGAATTTTTTCTACATCAAATTATGATTAATCAAAATAAAAAAAAAAACCAAAACTATCTTTCAGACTCTGATTCTGAAAATGAATTAAATATTGAATTTCTAAGATTTCTTGTGTTTGTGTCACTAGATAAAATTCCTTTAGCAAAACTTTGCCCTTTCTTGTTTGAAAGGGGATTATCCCCAAAGCAGTTAATAAATTTGAGAAACGGCAATTTGTTGGTATAAATGAAAAATAGAAAACAGCTGAAAGTTTAATGAAGATGAAGACATTCCAGAACATCAAAATAAAAACATTTCCCCATCAAAGACTGGACACTTTGAAGAGAGTCATTAGAAGCAGAGTCGTCTCTGGCCACACCCGAGAAAATCACATCTGCCTTAGGAAGGCAGGAGGTCAATGATTACCGTAGAATCACTGTAAAAAGGAAAAACCATAACAGACACGTATATCCTTACTTTTGTCACACCTTTAAACCATAGAAAAATAAAATTTGAGTACAACATTGAGCCAGTGTAAGAATATATTCTTGCTCCACTAAGGTGCTTCAGGTGCCAAAAATTTGGAAATCATAGGGATAGCTACAACATGTCGACAATGTGGCCAAAGGGATTCAGACCACACAGAAGAAGGATGTCACTATGAAGTAAGGTGTGCTAATTGCCAGGAAAACCATCCAGCATATTCACAATCATGTGACTTCTGGAAAAGGGGAAAAGGAGATAGTTGAGGTGAAAACTCATTCGTGGAGGCAAGGCAAATTGTAGAAAGCTACATGAAAGGCCCTTCCTATGCAAAAATAATACAAGGAATGACCACAACGAATACCAGTCAACATGACACATACAGAGGCCTCATTGAGGAACTTGTACACTTAGGACCAAATGACTGGCCCAAATTTCAGAACTACCTAAAAGACATCTACTCCAAGGAGATAGTAGCAGACTGAACCTCAAAAGAAAACCAATGAAAGAATTGAAATAATAAATAAAGAAAAAGCAAATACAAAATATACCGCTCAAACACAAACCACACTTCCAAAAAAGACAAAATCTTCTACAAAACAAAGGTCACAGCGATCTCTTATCCGTCCACCAAAAACCATCAAAGATAGACTTAACTTATCTCCTCAAAAAACAGAACCTGACAAACAAAATCCAGAAATTCACAGTGTCATAAACCAAACCAAACAATAATTGATAATACCATTTAAAAGATGCAGAAACCTTATTGAAGTCTACAGAAAACATCTATTAACAGTGGAACCAAGAAAGCCTCCAAACAGTCATGGGGATCACTTTTCATAGACCTGAATCTTGTCACTCCTTATGATCATAGGGGCACCACATGTACTGTAGCAGTAGTGTTGTGTCTTGGGCAAGAAAACCTAATGGAGCCCAAACCCTTTGTTCAGGCTGGTTTGAATTCAGAGTTTTTCTTCTTTTAGATTAGTTACCAACCAAGTCTATAGGATGCCCCTTGTCTGTCCTGCTATTTACTCATAGCTGGGGATGAAAAAAGGTAGATTCATACCTTTCCCAAGGCTATTAGTATGTAAGTGAATGTAATGAGCTTGATTTGAATTTGAACTTGGTTCTCTGATTCCTCAATTCAAAGCCATCATCCATTTCTCCGGTGTGCTTCCATTTTTAACCCTAAAATACTTATTTCTTGAAGTATTTCATTTTAGAAATATGTCTCTAGGGTGTCCAAAAAGCTACAAGAAAATTCTAAAGGCCAATGCAATCAAAATTTAAGAAAACAAACCATGTTTAATACCATTGATACCAAATATTTCATTTCACACTTGTAGCTTGTTTCAAAGTGTGTGTGTGTGTGTGTGTGGACTGTTGTGTATGCGTGTGTGTGTGTGTGTGGACTGTTGTGTGTGTGTGTGTGTGTGTGTGGACTGTTGTGTATGTGTGTGTATAGCAAAAGAACAGAGAAACAAAGTTGTCAGTTCCTATCTTACTTTAAGTTTTTCTTGTCACCATATTGATAAGGAAGAGAAAGTTTTGAATTTAGTGTTGCTTTTACACTGATGTGTTGCCTAGCTGCAAATCTAAGGGAGGTAACAGCCCTTTTTTTTCATTTTCATTGTACATTTTATGTGAATATTACAAACGTATGATAATTAAGTAAATAATATTCTCATTGCAAAAAATACATATTAGGGAAATGGGTTCACTAAAAACACTGAATAAAGGAAGATATACAAAGTTTTTTGTTACCTAATTTTATAATAAAATTTGTTTTTCTTTCAGAGCTCTTGGAATGGACCAAAGTCTCTTTGAATTGCTAGAAAATCAAGGAGCCACTGTTGAGTTACATTTACAATATCGAATGAATAGGTAAATATTTATTTTACACTCATCACCAAATTTTGCTTCATTACTATAATAACCTGCTACTTAATTTTCATTCAAATTCCTCTATATAAAAATAATATTAAACATTTATATCTGACATAAATTTTGTATACTTTTATGATTTTATAATTTGTATGACATAAACTTGAGATTTTCGTCCGTTGTATGCTCTGGCCTTCTTCAGGTGGTTGGAATGTTGAACTTAACCCTTTATTTCGTTCACTGTTCTAGTTCCACGTACCATGATAATAGCAAAAAATTGCAATATGAGCACTGGTAAAAATGGTTGCTGAAGATATTAGGTTTATAATACCCAGAAATTCATACACAGATGTCCTCAAGGACACATGGTACAGTGGATAAAGGTGTTGGTTAGATCCAGTAACAGGACCCAAAGAGTGTGAGTTCAATACCCGGTTAAGGCAGTGGAGAGGGAAATTACCAGTCCATGTCATTGCATTTTTGCCAGTGCTTAACATGAGCTTACATACAACAGTCATAAAAAAAATGTCCCAGTGAAAGCAAGACACTTTTCCACAGCAGAATTCTTCTATATACTGTGTCTCTTCAGAATGTGAGGTATCATGGCTCACCACAACTTCCTGTCCTTTGTAGCTCTTAGTAAGGTTTGTCATTTTGCTATCTCTCTTAATCCCTGTTTTGCCAGCCAATTACCCAGGTTCATTAGCTCTGGTTTCCTCTGGCTCTCTTGCCTTCACTATGTCTTGGGTGTGTCAAATTATCTAAGTCCTCTTTCCTTATTATATGCCCTTGAAATACACAGGTCTTTTATTAGTCTGAATGGTCTGACTAATATGGTGGGTGTGGTAGGACATTCCAGCTAAAGGTAACAATGGTCAACAATTTGGCATGGGGTTTGGTTTTATCATGTTGCAAGTGAAAGTTTTTTCCCTGACCTGAATCTGGAAATTTGGGTAGGCTTTCAGCTTCATCAGGGATGATGCCATTTAGTGTCCCCCCTTCAATCTTGTCATGGTTCTGAAGGTCTTGAGACTCATTTGCTTTCAGTGGCCATTCTGTTGTCTGAGCACCCACCTGGCACAGACCTGGCCATATCCCAAAGCTGGAAACATCGTTTTGAACACATTGACTCTGTACACAGTTGCTTGGTTAGAATTTGGTGATCCCAGCAGATGAACTGATAAAGGCGTTCTCCATTTTGATAGCCAAACACGTTTACAAGGACCATGGCTTGTCATGTATATCACTGTTGTGATTGCTAAAATGCGTTACCTACCATCTTACTATGCTCTCGCTGATTGATCTCCATATATTTTCAGCAAGTGTGGATAAATGTTAATGAGTGCAGTTTTTTTTCCACATAAAGGAATTCAGTGATACACCTTTGCTTTACACTTCCTGCTTGATGCCATTGTAACAAGGGTAAAAAATGACAGATTATTGGTTGGGGAGGTTTGATATCCAATGACATTTTGGGACAGCATGATACAGCAGGAGGCATTACTTTCAAAGCAAACTGATACTTTTTTCAACATTAGCATCTTGAAAATGGTTATTATTTATTTACTATTATTTATTTGTTTGGATTAATTTATTTTACTTGTTTTATTTATTTGTTTATTTATTTTCATTTGTTCTTGTTGTCGTTTCTCGATTTTTAAGTAACATAGTAAAAATATCTGTCTTCATGTCTGTATTTTCAGATGAGTTCTGATTGTTTATTTATTAGTTTGCTTTGGTCTGGGAAGGTAATTATAGCTATTTTTCTGTCTAGGCAGGGTTGTTTGGATTGATTGTTATAGGCTGATGTTCTTTTCCTTATTTTCCATGATATTTTTAGTGTGATTTGGTTTTTATTTTTAATCTCCCAAATATATTTAGGAAGCATTGTGCTGTTTACTATTTGTAAAGGATATTTTGTGTGCATAGTTTCTTTGTCTCCAGAGTCCTTCAGTTACTCCTATGAACAATTGCAGTTTGTGTTTATTTTTTGAGGGTTGGTGTCTTAGGAACTTATTTTCTTTACTCATTTTTTTTATCTTCCAAAAAGCAGGTATTTTGAGGTTGAAGTTAGATTGAATTCAAAGCATTCAATTTCCTCTTTCATGTTTGTTAGGCTAAAAGCTGCATGTGAATTTGGAGATCTGAGGGGAAAACAATGAATCGAGACTTAACAACAGCTCTTTTCTCTTTGCAGTGAAATAATGGCATTGTCCAATGAGCTGATGTATGAAGGTTGTCTCAAATGTGGCACTGTTGAAGTCTCGGCTCAGACAATCAAGTTGATCAATATTGAATCTCTGGTCAGTTTTGCATTTAACCATTTATTTTTTATTTTAATATTTGGATAAAATTTGGCTCTTCAAAAAGAAAAAAAAAATTCAGTCTTTCGAAGACATTAAAACAATTTTTTTTTGTTTTTGTCCGATATTTTTTTAGAGGAGTCATTATTGTTGTTGGGACTATTATTCTGCAATGTAAATTGATTTGAATTTATGTATTAAATTATTTATTATGTATTAAATTATTAGAAATTTTTTCATATACTTTGTAAAGCCAGATTAAAAAAAAAGTTATAAATTATTTATTTATTCATATTTTTTTTCTTTTTAGTTATCTATTTACTTATCTACCAAACTCCAAGGAACATAAACCGTAATTTTCCTTATATCAAGCCAACAATGAGTTTAAACATTCCTATAATATCTAGATTTAGTCCAATATTATGAACTCTAAATAGAGTTGAAATCCTTAACAAATATTTAGAGAGGACAAATCTACCTACAAAGCTATAAGTAGTTGGAGCCCTTCTGAAAAAATTGCATTTTCTCTTGCTTAAAGGTTTGTGATGACAAAAAAGATGGATCTTTTCTATAAGAGAAATAAGTAATTCATGACCCTTTTCAGTTGTTAATATGACAAAATATCACTTTTATTTTTATACTTTTTATGCATGCAGTTGTAAATAATTTTCTTTTTCATCTCTGCAGAAGAAAATGTTACCTTTTTGGTTGAATGACATTCTGAGTGAAGACCTAGAAAAATCTGTGGTTTTTGCAAACACAGTCAAGGTAAATCATTTGAGTCTTTTTATTAAATCTTTCTAAAGAAATATCTGAATATTTTATATATATATATATATATATATATATATATATATATATATATATATATTATTAAAGACCACAAACATTTTGCGTTGATTAATTTATCTGATCATGTTGCCTACATCACAACACTCACTATTTGTCTCTGCCTGTCCTGAGGATGACTTAAGAAAGTCGAAAGCTTGAATCATATTTCTTCTGAAATGAACTTTGAACAATATCTGATGGAATTTTCTCTTTGTTTGAGAAAGACTGAAATTTGGAAAAGTTGATCAGTAAAATTAATCAACACTAGCATCTGTTGTCTGTTGTTTTTAATATTTGCCTTAAAGATTTTCTGTCTACATATATATATATATATATATATATATATATAATGTGAAAATGAGGTAAATAAAGAGATATGAGCAACCATATATGCATGCGATTACATACACATTTTTTGTCTCATGGAAGTAACATTATATTGTATATGGAGTCAATGGATATGATTATTGCAATATAAGCTAAAAATAGTTGGCAATTACTAAATAAAAAGTGTGGATAGACAAAAACGAATATAAGGTAAGAAAAAGTAAAAAATAATAAAATAAAAAATGGGAAGCTGGCCTTTGAGATCTGTTATGATTGAACACTAGGGTGGTGCAAGGGAGATAACATAATATTAAATTATTTGAGGCAGGTCAGTGGGGGTATATATATATATATATATATATATATATATATATATATATATATAGTCATCCACTGACAGACTGTTTTGCTGTATCACAGCTCTTCAGTGTGGCTATACGTTTGATTGCTTCAAGCCAGGATCAAAACTCAACCAATGATTTGGCATCATTCAGAGATCCTACCCTTAAGCCATCAGCATAAGGCAGAGAGAAAGGGAAATTTTAGCATTTTTCTATGCAAAATACACCAGTGGCTAAGAGAATTCAATTCGTACTTGAAGAGTAATGCATTCATAGTAGCAGTAGTAACCACTGTTTTCCCTAGAGAGCTCTATTGAAGTGTCTCTGAGAGTATATATATATCTCCATGCACACACACACAGATATAAAAATAGGGAGAGAGATGCATGTTGCTTTTTGTGGATTTTAAAGTACAAAAATACGTTTAAAATTATTTTTTATGCGTTTGTAAGGTTTAATGAAATTTGAAGTTGGAGTTCCTTTGAGGATTCTTGGATCTGCAAAACAAAAACAGAAAAATATTTAAATTTACCTGTTTTCAAACAACTATCACATGTAACTTGAACTGAAAATAATGACACAATCAGGAAGTGTTGCATTTCACACTACTTTGGTCTCGAAGGAATTCCCCCCCCCAATCAGTACTGGAAAGAGCAATATCAGAGAACTTGAGAAACTTATTTTCCTGAAAAATTGTTTCAATAGAAAGATTTTTTTAAAAAATTTCAACTAAAAGTACCAATGGCTGCACATTCAATGAATACCAAATGTTTCCTTATGAGGAAACGGTTTATATTACCACTACCATTTACCTAGATGTCATTAAACAACTCTATGCAGATGTTGAAAGAAATATTTCTCCTAATTTTAACAAATATAACATTGGCACATATCCAGTTAATTCTAATGAATTGACTGAATCAGTAAAGATTTTATTTTTATTTATTTTTTCTCCCCCCCTGTCAGGTTCCAGGTCGAGAATGTTATAATTCTCGAGGAGAAGTAATGAATGAAATTGAAGCTCATCTCGTTGCAATGATTGTACATACATTATTTTTGGTAAGATTCTTTCTTTGTTTATTAATCATAACATTTTAAATTCCTCTAAAATGGAAACGTGTTGTAATTGTTCTACAGTGACCAATATGTTTGGAATTTCAGTAAAGTTTAACCTTCATATCTGCAATAAAATCGTCCTGGGTATGACGATAAACTACATCCATGTCCTAGGTAAGGTGATAAACTACATCCAACAGTAAGGCCTGTGATTCAGAGGTTTTGAGGAATGTGAAATCACCTCTTAATTGCTGGTGTTCCCATCTCCACCCTGGCCTGGGGTGGTAGCACTTGTTAGGGTCCCAGCTATGGGCAAATATTTAATCCCACAAAAGGGGTCAAAATGTGTAAAAATATACCAGCAATATATTTTTGTAAAAAATTATTAGCAACAATAAATTTTGGAAGAAAAAATAATTACCAACAATACATTATTACCAACAATACTTTTTTGGGAAAAATACTTTTTGAAAAGAAATATTACCAGCAATAAAAAAATTCTGTTGTTATTAAATAACCAATTGAGGTTGATATGCCATAAAACAAAATAAACCAAACCAATCTAAACCAAAGAATACATATTCTATTTATACAAATCTATCCTAAAAATGTTGTTGGCATTAAATAACCCATTGAGGTTTATATGCCGTAAAAGAAAACAAAACAAACAAATAAACCTGCAATAAAAAAAAGTTGTTTTTTTCTTTTTTCCCTTGACACTGCTATTTCCCTTGACTACTTCGACTCTCCCCCCCTCCCCTGGCAATGTTTGTTTTAAAAAGTACTGATTAGAATTTTAATAAAACCCAAATATAGGAAAGTGAATAATGTATTTTCTTTGTTCTTCAGAATTGAAAACAAAAATATTAAATGCTATTTATTTATTAGATTGTTAGATATCCTTTTATATTTATGTTAATAAAAATATGCAATTCAACTACAATGTGATGTTTAATACTTATCAATTTATAAAAAGATAAATATGAAAATAATTAATTTTTTTTTTTTTTTTATTCCTGTCCCGGGTATGACGATAAACTATGTCCACATCCTGGGTAAGACGCTAAACTACATCCAACAGCAAAGCCTCTGATCAGGAGGTTTTGTGGAGCATGGAACCACCTCTTAATTGCTGGTGTTCCCAGGTACACCCTGACCAAAGATGGTAGCATCTGTCAGGGTCTCAGCTATGGGTAAAATAGTTAATCCTGCAAAAGGGATCAAAACATTATGAAAGTATAAAAATAGGTTTTAATACCAGCAATAAATTTTTGAAAAAAAAAAATTACCAGTAATACATTTTTGAAAAAAATATTACCAACAATATATTTTTGAAAAAAAAAATTACCCACAATAAAAATCTTATCAGCATTAAATAACCCATTTAGGTGTTGATATGCCATAAAACAAAATAAATGAAACTGATTTCCTACAAAGAATACATATGCTATTCATACGAACCTATACTAAAATTCTTGTTGGCATTAAATAACCCATTGAAGTTGATATGCTGTAAAACAAAATAAACCAAACCAAACTAAACCAAAGAATACATATTCTATTCATACAAACCTATCCTAGAAATCTTGTCGGCATTAAATAACCCATTGAGGTTGATATGCCATAAAAAGTTTGTAGATTTTTATAAATTTTTGAATAAGATTTCTTTTCAAATTTATTTTTTTATAAAACGATAAATAATAAATTTTTATAAAAAATGAAATATTGCATTGTTGTTGGGTCCTATATTTTTATAATCTTTTAAATAAATGTAGCTGAGGGAGTCATGATAGTATACAATAATGCCAGTGTCTACAGAAAAATCTTCCTTTTAAAACACTTTTTTGCAGTCACAAAGATTAAACTTTATCAAAATTTAATTCAAAGTTGGTATCTTTGATTTATTGCTTATCTGAATGAGAACCACAAACTTTATGGAATTTGCTATTACTCTGGTATCTATTTTCTTCAACCCTTTAAAAATGTCCATCATTCTTGAACCCATTTAAAAATGCCCAACATTCTTCAACCCATTAAAAATGACCACTGTTCTTCAACCCATTAAAAATCACCACTGTCCTTCAACCCATTAAAAATCACCACTGTCCTTCAACCCATTAAAAAAATTCCCACCATTCTTTGACCCATTAAAAATGCCCACTGTTCTTTGACCCATTAAAAATGCCCAGCGTTCTTTGACCCATTATAAATGCCCACCATTTTTCAACCCATTAATAGTGCCCACTATTCAAAAACTGGGAAAGTGGGTGTTAATGGGTTTTAGATAGAAACCAAAATAATTTGCCAAAATAAAATCTAATGTTCTGTTGCATTTTCAGGCGGGAGTTTCTGCGTTTGAAATTGGTGTCATTGCTCCATACAGAAACCAAGTGAAACTTGTTCAGAAAACTTTGGGGTCAGTGCTGGAAGGTCAGCCAGTGCAGACTGTTGAAGTGAACACAGTTGATCAGTACCAGGGCCGAGATAAAGATGTTATCATTGTAACATTTGTTCGAAGTCAGTCCCACAATAACTCTTCCAATCCTTGCGTAAGTACAACAGGGAAGAAAAAATATATTTCATATTGTGTTGACATCTTTAAATGTTTATGCACCAAATAAAAGCTGTTTATTGAGTTTGCGATATTATGGGAGGGACAAATGCTTTAAAATTTCCAATTATTACAACTGATGACAAGATTTTGTTGGAAAATGATGGATTCCTGGATGTGGTGGAGTGATATCACCCCTGAAATAATAATAATAATAATAATAATGATAACAAAGGAGAATATGCTGTAAAACAGAAAACACCAAGTGAAAGAGAGGTGTTTTCAAATAACCAAGATGTTAACATGCTGTAAGGACTTTGAAATGTAAATGTTACAGAAAGTTAATTTAGAACACAAAATACAATCTTTTCGTAAGTGTACAAAGGATAGCAGATTACTAATAGAAAATTACTGGAACAATAATAATTTGGAACATTTAAAAAAAAGAATTTTGACACTATAAGAATCAGTCAAAATTAAGGAGGTTTTGATCTAGAATTTAATTTTAAAACAAAAATCTCTAGTTTACAAAGTGCGGCAGAATAATTAATAACAGAGTGATAAACAATAGCGTCTTGTTGTGAACCTTGGAAACCAATCGATGAAAAAGTAAATTGTTTATTCTCAGAGGAGTGAAGTTGTATTTTGGTAGTATGTCAGTATGTTTGTTCTAGAAAAAACAGATATGTCACCAGTCTGGGTCACATGAAGCCGGTTCTCTTAATAGAGAGGCAAGCCAACCAGAGGAGAGAGAGTTTTGGGTTTGTCTGTCTTCAAATGCAGTCGAAGAAGCAAAATACCGCCGCTAACATCTAAGTACCGCTACTCCTGCTATTACTAATACTACTACTACTGAGAATGGGAACATTGAAGGTTGTAGTAGTTGCGCTAAGAACAGACCAAAAAGAATTAAAACGAAGGCCACGTCTCTCCTTTACCAAAATTATTTGAAGTATTTGTGTTTGTTTGGTTATTGTTCACATACAAGAAGCATTCAGCCTTGTGCAACAAGAATTATTTTTTCTGTGTGTTTGCTTTTATATATATATATATAAAAACTTTTGTCCTTTCAAAATGGAATTGACTTGGTTATATTTATTTTTCTGTTAACCCGATTCTCACCCAATGAACTCGCAGGTGAACCAATGGAGAGCTTCCGGATTTCTACGATCTGATGACCACTCTTCAGAATCAAAACGATCACAACGTGGCTGGAGGGTTCGATTTGACATTGGGAACCAGAGACTTGTGCCTAACCTATAATACTGAAACAATGGCCAGTCTTGTGGAGTGCGTGGATCTAGTGGAGTGAAGATATGGTATTACAGGAAATTGTAACCAAAAAAGTGCCTTTATTTTGAAGTTATTAATAATTGTAATTATTTTTCTTTCTTTCTTCCATGATAGTCTGGGGAGCTTTTAAAAGACGGTCGCCGTTTGAATGTTGCTGTGACAAGGGCCAAAAAGAAATTGATTCTTGTTGGGGATGTCACAACACTGGAGCAATTTGAACCTTTGGCAAAAATCCTGCCTCTTTTGAGGAAGAAAAATCAAATATCCTTTTTAGTTTATCAGATTGCATGTTATCTTGATTATTTTGGGAGAAAAAAAAAATTATTTTCATTGTTTTTGCCTTTTTCCTTTGTGACCTTGGTAGCAGCAGATCCATGATTTGTCCAGGATTGGGACCAGATGCAAAAGAAAATGACAGAAAACAGAAGAAAACAAAATAATAAAGTTTTAAGGTTAATTTCTAAATAATGCGGGTTATTTCGATATATTTTTTATTTAGAAAATTTCTTTAGATAGATTAAAGTTTCTAATTGTTCTTTGCTTGATTGGTAGTGGGATCTAAAACTACTGCACATTCCTTGATTTACACCTGAATTTGCTAACATACTGTTTAGAGTCAGACTACTGTCGCCGTCTTTGTTTACAGTCACCATCTTTATTGCTATTATCACAAAGTTTTGAGCATTGTGTCCTTAGGCCTTCTTTTGGAGTCTATCGATCCATGTAACCTTTAGGAAATTGTTAAAGAAACCCTTTACATAATTTACAGCAATAGATTGTTCTCATTCTGGAGTTCATCTTAACCTTTACCTCACTGTAGGTGAAAATTGTCGCTGTAGAATTCTCTCTCTTCATTACTCTAGGAGACGCCTTAAGTTGCTTGAGACAGTTGCTATAAATAAACACTTGTTAATTGTTATTTCCAGTATTTGAAGCTGGAAATCACCTACTACTGCTTTGGAATGAGATTAAACTTCTGTTTTCCAACAGCATTTTGAATTATCCTTGACTCTACATAAAGTGTAACACTGATTAAACACATGCTAATTTTTTTGTAAACAAAAATGGCTGTGTCAATATCCAACAAAGCCTTTATTCAGGAATTTTTCTTTGATTAGAATTCTGATGATGATTTTGAAGGCTTTACTCAAGATTTATCAACAAGACAAATAAATATGAGTCAGGTGAAAGAAAGAGCAAACAAATGCTAGTGTCTTCTTTTTGTATGGAAACACAAGGAAACTTTATGGACGATATGAAAACATTCTTAGCGATTTTGCTTCTTATTACACCCCCAGAACTCTACAAGGAGTAATAAAAGTTACAGTATATTGAATTGTTTATGTATATTTTAATGTATTTGTTTTTTATTTCGCCTTTCAATTTTTGTTGTTTTCAATGTCAAAATGTAATGCATTACATCAAAATATTACTCCTTCATTCTTTTATTATTGTGCAAAAGTTAAAATCTATACACACAATACAAAGAAAGTTATAACAATTTTAAAAAAGTAGGTATTCATGTTTTTGCGCCCTGAAAAAAAATAATGCAATTGCAGGGGAGACAACTCTAGAAAGATAATTAGCGTGGTAAAGGTTAAGCACAAATCAAAATTTTTATTTTTATTTAAACATTTTGGTTAAATCCCCTTGAATTTTACATGGAAAGATTCTTAGTAATTTTCCTGCTCAGAGAAATTTTTAAGAATTGTGCTCAAAGTATTCATTTTCTATAGAAACAATAACTAATATTATCCAAATATTCACAAACAAAATCTTTCATTTACTATTATCTACTTTACTAAATTTTCCATGTCATTTTATCATTTTTCAAATGTTTCTTTTTCAATTTAGTTTAAGATAAGCAGAAAAACATATCATTCAAATATTATTGGTCAATGAGTCATTCAAGTTTTTTAACCAAAAATTGATAAAAAATATAATTTTCTTGCTTTGTTTATTAAAGTAAATTTAGTTCTTACTAATGTTTTTTTGTGTTTAGAGATAAATTTTACAAATAACTAAATCTAGTCCTTCAGCATTTATTTTTTATTTGTGTTTCATTTACCAATTTAAAAAGAATTCCTTTTACTTGAATGTGTGTATTCCATTTATTTAAAAGCCATTAGTTGTCTTCCCTGGTATATCCTTAATTTTCAAATGTGGAAGACGTTCTATTGTTCCTTATAAATTAATTATGTAATACCAAATAATTCATCTATTGCATACAGAGTTGTAAACTTAGACATTAGAAGTGACTAAAAGATTTTTGCTTTTTTAATTTCACTGTATTATTTGCACAAGATCTAAAAAGGAAGAAAGATGTGTATCATCTATTAAATAAGACCTCGTTGGCTGTAAATGGTTCGAGAGCAGCCGTGTTTTTTAAGCTCAATCTTTTCAATTGTAGGCGTACAGTTCTAATTGGTTTGTTATTACTTCATGAAGAGCAATTTATACCTTTTTTTTTTTTTTTTAATTCATGGTTTGCTGAACAAGTAGTAGTAGTATTATCAAGGTAATTGTCATCCCTTTTAAACAGTTTTTGATCATTTGAAAAAAATTAGTAGAAATTTGAACTCTGTACAATTGTTGCTATTGTTATTTTTCACTTCATTCACTTTGCTATGTCCTTTCAAAATGTGAGCGATCATGGCTCTCCACTACTTCCTATTCTTTGTAGCTCTAAGAAGTATTTTCCTTTTACTATCCCTCCTAGTTTCTGTTCTGCCATCTATTTACAAAAGCTCATTAAGTAGGTTGATCATGGCTCTTCACTACTTCCTATCCTTTATAAAAACAAGTTTTCCTTAACTATCTAACATTACAGAATTGCCACCAGAAGCTCACCTGACTGACCTCAGCAGATGCCACAGACTGGAAACTTGATCCATCACTGGGTTCATATAGATTTTTTGTGTTTGGATAATTCACTGGAATTTGACCTCTGGCCTCCTGATATGAGTGGGTGTTTCTCCCCGACTAAATAATAAACAAAACTCTTCATTAGGGAATTTTTTTTTTTCTCACTTAATCTTCAGCTATTGTAACTTTTCTATAGTAAAATCATTTCCGGTTTGTAATTCTATAGTAAAGTCACTTGTGCCGTGACTTTCTCTAGTAAAGTCATTAAATCATTTATAATTTATAGAAAATCCCATATTCCTATAAAAAAAATCACTTGTCATGCACTCATGGTGAAATTTATTGCCAATCTGTTTGGTGCAAATGTTAATTTAAAATAAGGAAAAAAGATTTATACTCAATATGGTACAATTTGATGATTGACTTAATATTTATTAAACTTTTTCTTTTTAAATGCTTCTTACAATGAATTTCTAATTCTGTTTGTTAACCATTATCACATTGTATGTGACTTCATTTGCTGTACAGAATCTTTATCTTGCCACTGAAGTTGATTCTGATCTCTGAACAATAGTGTGTTTGATTTTCATAGTTGTGATGTCATTTCCTGCTGTGGCAACAGAAAACAAGTTTGAGTGAAATTAGCAATAAGAATATTGCAAATGAGAGCCCTTGAAAAAGAATGCAATGGAAAAGGAAGTAAGATTAATGATGCAGAGGGCTAAAGGTTAATCTGCAATTTTTGTTTGAAATTGTTTTCTTTTTTTTCTTTTTTTTTTTATTGTTGAAGGCTGTGTTTGCAGGTACAGCACCATGCTTAGAGAATCAAACCAATAGTGGTTATTGATTTTTTTTCCTTCCCCTGAAGCAATCCCATCTATGTTGTAAAAAATATACACATGTATCCACTGCTTTGTTGTTTTAATCATCATGTTTCAGCCGAAGTATTTACTGACCTTCTTCAGTGATATATTACACTTGAACAGGATTATTTATTGAATGTAAATTTCTTATTTTTTACATTATTTACATTATTCGGACTATTGTCCTCATCTTTGTTGCTATGTTACAACGTTTTGGCTGTTGTGCTCTCTGGCCTTCTTCAGGTGGTTGGAATGTTGAACTGAACCCTTTATTTTGCTCACTGGGGTAGACTGTTCTAGTTCCATATGCCATGTTCATAAAGGGTTCAGTTTGACATTCCAACCACCTGAAGAAGGCTCGAGCATACAATGGCCAAAACGTTGTAATAAATATGGTGACAAAGATGAGGACAATAGTCCGAATAATGTAAATAGTGTACATACTACCTCATCTCAGAAATATAGACAGATTCTTATTTTTTATAGTGAGTATATTAATTTCATTTGAAATCTCTCAGGGAGCCATAAAAATCAAGGCTGTGTGTGTGTGTGTGTGTGTGTGTGTGTGTGTGTGTGTGGTGGGGGGGGATATTATTTTTGGCCTCTTTGCTCTTTGGAAGAGTCTAATATTGCTGCATAGGTGGGATCTCCATTGTCACTTTGGCATGATTCTCTCTGTTGTCATGTTTGTTCAATGCTTATTGTGTGCTTTAAAACTGTGACCTTGTGCCATACTAAATTAAGTTTATTAAATTTATGTTGGGTGGCTACTGTAATTGAATGGTTGGTATGCATATCTTGCAGTTCACTTTGATACTGCAGAGAGCTTGATCCTTATTAGGTGCTTGAAAACCTGGCCAGATTATTGTTGCATAATAAAAATGTCTATCATAGTGCTATGCTTGCTTATCTCACAGACCAATTCACTAATGTAGAGAGTTTGGATAGTCTAAGGCTGTGCCTTTGTGCTAATCTAAGAGCCCGACTGTGTGGTGAAAGTAATTTTCTCCTTCTGTATTGTACTTCTCATTTGTACTAGTGATTGATGTTCGAATCCAAGTAGAAGCAAGACTTTTGAAGGAAAGCCTTGACCACTTGGAAAACTGGCACAACACAATCTTCCTTTCACTCAGCTCAGTAAATATGATGTGGCACTTATTTCTGCAATATACTTTTTATCGCATAAAATTTGGTGAGGCACAAGCAAATTTTCATTTTGAAAATGCCACCCAGTGAAAAATAATGTTTGAGAACCATTGGTTTAACAGAATCACAGGACTGAGTATTAAGGTCCTGAGATACATTGGTATAATTAACCATTTGTGACTGGAATTTATTCTCTTTTTTCTACATACAATCAATGTCAGATTAAGCATAAAAATTGCTACTTGAGAAAATATGTACAAAAGCGGGAAAATTAATTTGCCTAATCTCTGTAATGAGAAATTATCATTATTTACATTCGGATTATTGTTGATCTGGACAACCTTCAGGGAATTTCAAACTGAATCCTTTATTTAATTTACGTGGATAAATTGTTCTTGTTCTACTATCCATGTCTAGAAATACCTTATTTTTTGGTGGTTGGGGGAGTACTGCTCAGTTATTGCTTGCCTTGTTTACATTGAATCTAAACCTGTACTACCTAAGTTGGGGATTGAACTCACAATTTCACTAAATTTGGTAGTGATATATGTTTCTAACAATCATGACAAACTGTATAAAAAAAAATGGCCAATAGGAATTTAGATCTGTTGGTAAGTCATAAGCTGTCTTTTCTTTTGTTTTGAATCTATGATTTTTATTTTTAAAGTCTTTTCAATATGCATGCTCAGAGTCAAAAAAAAAAATGTTTTGTTCTAAATTAGAGATTCCCAAACTTTTTTTATACTCCTGACTCCCAAGCATGTACAAAAATGAATATATATATACATGTATATATATATATATATATATATATATATATATATATATATATATATATATTGTGTTTTTTTTTTTTTTTTTTTTGTGTGTAACAAATGAGGGACAGTATGCAAAATAACAATGACCCACCCGATGCTGTGCTAACTTGGTCCTGTTGATGTGTACTGATATGGCTATCTGTTGTAACCTAGGGAAGGTTACTGAATAGAGGGTTGGTAATGAATGATAATACTTAGAACAAGAACAACACATATAAGATTCACCAGTGGCGCATCAAAGTAGTAGTCAACTGCAAGAAGAGTGTCAAGTGAATTCAACAATGAATATTCAACTGCAGACCAACATACAGTATTTACTACTGTATTTATGTGAATGGGGACATACTCATTATTGTCCGTAGGTATGCTACAACACTATCAAAGAAGGTTCATATATATGTATATAAAAGTGAACATTGAAGTCAACACTTAGAGGCGACAGGCTGTTTCATGCTAGGCACAATCATGAGGCCACGAGTGTTGTTTTTTTTTTTTTTTTTTGGCTATTTATATATATGGGTTCATATATACCTGTATATATAAATAGCCAAGAAAAAAATCAACACTTGTGACCTGATGATTGCATCTAGCATGAAACAGCCTGTCGCCTCTAAGTCTTGACTTCAATGTTCACATTTATATTTACACACGCTCTATCTCTGATATTGAGCACTTTATCCCATAAATATAGCACACCTTAAGACTATATTTCTTCATATTTATGAACACCACATATACCTTCAAGAACACTTTGATTGTTTTTAGAAATTCATTTTAAACTTTAAAAATTATAATTAAAAAAGATGGATAGTGAACAAAAATATCTTATGATTTGTTGCTTTTAATGGGATGAGAAATAAGCAGACTCTGAAATTACAGATTAAGGATTGTCAAAAATTACTTACTAAAGTTTATACAACAAATATAAAATTTGGGAATTTTTGCATCAAACATAATTTTGGTTGTAAATTTGTAACATTTATGAGAGTAATATACAGATTATCTCCTCTTCTTAATTGTTTATAAATTGTACGCAGTTCAATTATTGATGTTAACTATTTTAAATGACAAAATTGTACTTGGATTAAATGAAAATTACTTACAATATAATACACATTACTTATACATTCCTTCTTGCTGTTCATTTTGACAGCATGGCTACACTAGTGTATATAATATTACTTTTTCAGTTTTTTTTTTTTTTCTTTCTAGGTCAGATATGTTTAATAATAAACTACATAAAGGATACAAGTGATAAACATTAAAAATAAATCTTTTTATCGAATTAGTTGACATCTATAATGGGAAGAAAATGTTTTATTAGTAGTAGCAAGGGCATTGATATTTGGTTGGAAATTGGTGAGTTTTAGTCATAAGTCACTACGCTCTTCCAGGTGCAGTCTGTTCATCTGCTTAATTAGAATTGCATTTGTGTGACTAAAAGTGGCTTCAACCATGTCTAAACTCTGGAATGCAAGTAAAAATGGCTCAACTGCTGCACTATTTTGGGGGTATTAGTATTATTAGTATTTTTATTAGTATTATTAGTATTACTCCAATAGTCACTAAAAATTTTTTATTGTGGATTTAGTTTCGAGCTTCACATACATATCAATGAGTTCATCTTGTAGGTGAGATTCAGTGTCTACATTTTTTGTTTCCAAATTAAACGGTACTTTAAAATCTTTCCTTAATTTTTCCAGTTGTTCATTCTGGTGACAGTCTGAAACTTTTATTTAACTTATGAGAATGCTAGTTTTTGATATAGAATGTTTAATCAATCCCCTAGCATGTACCATATATACTCATGTAACATATAATGTTTATTTTAAATACAGCTGTATTTTTATTTTTTTTTTTGACTATGGTCAATGGATATATAGTTTGGTCAATTGCATAGTCAGGGCCAGCAATATATACGCTAATTTTATATCTAATGATGTGACCCTGTTAGAATTAGCCTCAAAATTAGGTCTTCAAAAGTCACATGACATGTGAGTATATACACAGTATAACCTCCACCCCTGGATAGTTCTATTGACCTCCCAGGTCAACCAATTTAGAGACTTCTGTTCTAAATCAATTTTTTTTTTTTAATTCTAACATTAGCCTTTTGTCAACATAAAAATTTGTCAGTCCTGAAGATTTCTCTGCTAAAAATCTGCAATCTTGATTAAGGATATTTGTGATTTTTTTCTTTTCCTCACCTCTAAAATGCACGGATGCATATATATCTGAAGCCCTTGAAGTAATGCCTGCCACAACAGATAAATAGAACCACCACAACCTCTTATTTAATTCACTTTACTATCCACAGATCTATACATTGTCTAATCCATTGGTTTGGCTCTGCAAAGATTTGGTTAGTCTTCCATGTCTTTTACAGGTTCTGGCTTATGGCTGTATCATGTTGAAACGCCGTTTTTTTTTGTATGATCATTGAAGTTAAGCTGTGTCAAGCCTGGTCAGTATATAGATGGGTGACCGGTTGGGAATACCGGATGCCGTAAGCTTGGATGTGCAGGTGGCGTAATTGATAATGGCTCGGAATTGTTAATTGGAAAGCTGAGTTCCAATTCCCATTGGGTTCGTTATATTCACTTATGTGCAGATACCTTTGGGAAAGGCATGAATCCACCTCTTCCCTCACTCCTGCGATGGGTTAATTATAGTAAGATTTGTATCTTTAAACCATTATCTTTAAAAAAAAAAAAAAAATTTTACAATCTAAAAATATTTTCTGGCTTTGAGTAACCAGCGAAGGGTTGATAAGCCATAAAAAATGAATTAATCTATTACAGGTTCTCAGGAGGTTAGTGGAGCCCGTGCTGGTGACACATGTCCTTTCACAGCAACTGCAGGATAGAGTTCGACAGCTGGTGGATGGTATGGTCTTGTTTTACTAATGTCTCCATTTGCTCCCCACACTCCAATCACATTGAAACATGGATTCCCATATGATCACCGAAGATAAGCAACATTGAGCTTCGTTAGTACTTAGATGGGTGACCACTTGGGAATACCAGGTGCAGGGATTTGGGATATGCAGATGGCATAATAGGTAATGGCTCAGAATTGTTGACTGGAGAGCCAAGTTCCAATTCCGTTTGAGTTTGTAATATTCACTAACCTTAGGAAAAGGTATGAATCCACCTCTTCTCACCCCCGCTATGGGTTAATTAGTAAGACTTACTTATTTAAAAAAAAAAAAAGTTATGATGTAAAAATATTTTCTGGCTTTAACTAACCTGCAAAGGGGTTGATAAGCTGTAGAAAGCAAATCAATCAAATCTTTTCCCCACCAGAGGTGATGGTTGATCACAGGAGATTAGGTTTCTTTTTAAGAATTCTTTGTATCTCTTCAATGGGCCTCCTTTTCTCTGACAGCTTGGGACTAGTCTTCCGTTCTTACCATGTGGCCTACCGCTGGTTGCCATATGCGCTTGTGACTCTGGTTGACTTGAGAACCTACTGATAGAAAACTCTTATTCAACAGAGTGATTACTCTTAATTTGAGAAAACTACCTGGTGAATGTCAAAACAATACAATCAAAAGGACATAGGATCTTCTAGTTTTATTCTGTAGCTGAGATTAAGCAAATTGCTCACATGCATAAATGGCCAAATTTGGTGCCCAGAAAATCATTGCCTACAAGATTCATCTATAGAACAGAGACAAAGGAATTCCAAAAGACCTTGTAAATTCCAAAAGACCTTGTAAATGGCACATAACATGAATGCTTGTGTTCTCATCCTTGTTGATTCTGTCATTAAGTTTCAATAATATATTTGGAATTCATCATGGTTTGAAATCGAGTTACTGTTATTCAAAAATATCTTATTCTCCTTGTTATAATCACTGCATTTTCAGCCAATATGTTCTTTGGCCTTCCTACATGACTCATTGTCATTAGGACACAAATTATTCAGACAAGGATTCTTATTAAGTTTTGGTCATTTAACCTGTCTCAGGTGTGTTTTTTTTTTTTTTTTTGCTAAATTAATCAAAATGTCAATTTTTATGGTTTGGTTTTGTGTCTTTTGACAATTGTATATTTGATCTGCTTTAGTTTAAAACTTGTGTAAAAAGGCTTCCATCTGAAAGAGAAATCTTTTGAAACCAAAATATAAACATTGTCAGGAAAAAAATGTTTTTTATTCAACCAAACAATTCATTTGCAGGTAATATCAATTAGGCATTAAATTTTGGAGAAGCAAACCAAATAAACATATACAATTATTTTTTTTTTTTTTTATTCTCAGTATAAACTAGAAAGTGCCTACCTCTGGCAATGCCATTGATACTAAAAACTGAATTAAGCTCAGTTTATAGCTAGATATGATACAGGTGAGGTAACTAAGTTTTATTTTTTTCATATATTATGACAATAGTCTGAAATACATGAAATCTAAGAAAAAAAAAAAAAAAAAAAAAATTGTAGATCTGTCCCAATATTTAATCACTTGTTTGACCCATTAGCTTCACTCTTCCATAAAATGTCACTGAAAACATTCGTGATTATCTAATGTCACTTTAACTTCATTGGTAAAGAAAAGAAATAACAGCCAAGATCATTTCTTGTCCTGTTTATCAAGAATAGGAAACTACTTACCAGCCATGTGTGTGTGTTTACTAAGATGTTTAGTAAGATGAGTACAAGAAAACAAATTTTAACTAGGACAGGCCTACTGAGATATCTGCATTTTTTTTTTTTTTTTTTTTAAAAAACATGTATTCAAACAAACCTGCAACTCTCTCTCAGCCACAAAGTATTCAGCCGGAGATAGTAAAATACTAAGAGAAACAAGTAACTATTGCTTCAGGTAATTTTTTGTTTATATTCAAGATGTAAGTTATATTAAAAAAAAACAAAAACAAAAACACAAGACTAATTAGAGGAAAAGAAATTGAAGCTATCCCTTGCCTTGTATTTATCAAGTCAAATATTGGTGACATATTGTAACAAGTTTCAGTGAGCAAAAAATATGGGAAGACATTTTTACATATGAGCTGTATATGCAAGGTGTGATATGGGTAGAGTTTATTAAACAAAAATATCAAAACTTTAATAGTAAATTGGAAAAAAAAAAATCCAAATGAACTATTAATCAGTTATATTTTAGTACCAACTACATGCTAATCACGTATACAAAATTTAATTTTTCTATTTCATATTCTCTGCCATTTTCTTGCTTAATGTTAACAAAAAAGAAAACAATTCTGGTTATGATGAGAATCAGATTTCATCTTTCCCCCTCTTGCAGCAATAGTAGCATTGCACTTTCATTTACAAAGCCTTTCAACTGCAACAGCTTCATTCTTATTTTCTGTTGCCATAGAAGGCCATGACAACACAACCATGAAATTCAAATACTAACAATTCAGTGGCAGGACAAAGAAAGTAACCTGCAGACTGCTAAAAGTTAAAAATTGTCATCAGTCAAGAATTTAGCTAAAATGATGTTTTATTTAAATTTACTTTGGAGGGGGGGTGCTGAAAAATTTACAGTACAAGCACTTCCCAAAATTAGGATTTTTTTTTTGAAGGGTTTCTTGGTTTGGTTGAGAACTTTCCAACACCATCGCATAGAAATAATCCAATAAAAGAATGGAGTAAGTGAATCAATATGTATGCAAGTGGTAGTAGTTGCAGGTTTCACTGCAGACAGAGAAAAAGAAATGATTCAAGTTTTATGGCTTTCATTAAATTTTCTCCGGGATTGAGAGGGGAATAAATCTTAATTGCTTGACTTTCAGTCCAATTCTCTATCAACTCACACACACAAAAAAAGGGGGGGGGTTGTGTTGCACCAATTTTCCAATTTGAGGAGGGTCTTCTTGCTGTGACTTGAAATCCTACTTTTTGCAGGGCATGAAAATAAAGGTATCAGTAGAAAAGATTTCAGCTGTCAAGTCGACTTCAATTAGTCTATGGAAAAGGAAAATATATTTATAGAGATGTCCTTGTCAACAGTTTTTTTTTTTTTTTTATCAAAATACCATAATTTCCCATGCATAACACACATTTTTTTCTAAAAAAAAAAAAAAAAAAAAAAAAAAAAAAAATAATAAGCAAAATTCGAGGTGCGTATTATGCACAGCTACTAAAATATTTTTTAAAAATTGCCTTTTTATTGGTCGATTTCAGTTGTGAAATGACTACTCACCACAAACATAGAACAATTTGACACTAACATTTGGTGATTGCGACCCCATAAGGATGTCAAATACAATCATATATACCTAACAATAGTTACAAATGTAAAATAAAATCAGAATTATGAAACTAAATTACAATAATAATATTCTATGTTTAAAACCATTTTTTTTTTTTTTTAAGTAAGAGTAGGAAACACTGGCCATAATGAAATTTATAGGGTTTGAAATGCAGTTTTAAGGGTGTGTATTATACATGGGGAATTATGGTAATAAAGGAAAGGGATATTTTAATGAAAAAAAAAAAACCAACAACTTCTGAATCTTTCATTGATTCAGAAAAGATTAAATGTTTTCAGATTAAAATCTTAAAACATTTTCATAAAATGTTTTTTTTAAAAAAAATTTGTAATTTAAAATCTTTTCATTCCTTTTTACAAAAGGAAAAAGTAAAACTCAAAATTCAATTAGGTTATAAAGTGCTTTCTTTCATAATGAATCTTCTCTTTCCCAAGGAGATAATGGAGAATTGTGGCCCACTTTATTCCCTGCCCCAACTCCATCTACTTTTTAAAAAAAATATTTTACTAGGGATGTAAAAAAATTATGAATTAAGCAGATTTCATAAATTTAAACATTTATGTTGGTTTTCCTCACCTCTACGTAATATCTGGCAATTATTTGAATTGGCGACTGTTGATGAGATGCTTTGATTTTCTTGGCAGCTAAATTAATTTTCTATTAGAAACATAAAAAAAAAGTATATGTTGGCACTTATTTAAAAGAAAAAAAGAAAAAAAAATTATATATGTATTTCTCTGTAGAAGGCTGAAGAATGGGTCAACCGTAATGTGTTAATAATAAAAAGGAAAAAAAAAAATTCAGTTGAGAACTGTCCAAAAACTCATTTTTTTTTTAAATTCCTCAAGTGAAAAAATTATGCCATTTTTTCAAATGACAGTTTAAGTAACAATTATTCTTGGTAAAAGAGAAAAAATTCTTAACTTTTTTCTTCTGATTATGGAATTTTTGATAATCATTCAAGTCATGTCTGATTAACACTAGTGCAATTCTTAACAAGCATGTCCCAAAGATCAATTTGCTGCTAAGGGGAGTTTTATCTTCAAGATTTCTGGCTTTGTACCAGACTAAACTAAGCAAAACTTTACTTTAGATTAATGGTTATGAAATGGTTTTATTCCCTACTGGATACTCCTCAAATGTGGCCAGATCAATTAAATATTTTCATGGCTTAAAAGAAAGTTATAATAATCCACCTTAATTGTAAAAATACATTTTTAAACTAACACTTTCACTGCTGCATTGTTGCCTGTCTGTATTGGCCTCTTTGTGGGGTGGGGTAGGGAATTTACTATCAAATCACTGACAGTAATTTCTCAGGGGTGCCACTATTTCCGCTTTGATCAAACAATCTGCAATACGGATTAAGCCAAATGACATCCACCCTGATAACGCACACAAAAAAAACAAAACAAAACAAAAAAAAAAAACAACAATTTTGTCACAGAATGGGTCATACTTTACACCGCTATATGTCTATGCTGGCCTGGAAATAGTTCTAGGCACTAGTTGATAAATGCTAAAAACTAGCATTTCATTGTGCTTTGAATATATATATATACGCACATTGACAGCAGGCAGTGTCAGTTTCATAAAGACATACATCTACAGCAGCAGAAGTGCTAAATGGTAATGAAGGTATTTTTTTAATATACACACCAAACAAGATTGTTGACGAAACAAAAGACACAAACTTAAATGTTGATTTACTTCCCTTGATAACCCCAGCTCATCAAATATTTAGAATCTGACCAAACAGTCAAGAACTGTAATTTCAATTTCAAAATAGGTAACTATTTACTTTGTTCAGACTATTGTCCTCATTTTTACAACGTTTCAGCCATTGTATGCTCCAGCCTTCTTCAGGTGATATACATTGGAATTTCTAACTGAACCCTTTATTTTGTCCAATGTATATCATCTGAAGAAGGCAGGAGTGTACAAAGGCCGAAATGTGAACATGACAATAAAGATGAGGACAAGTGTCCAAACAATGTATATAGTTACAATAACACATCTCAGAAATACAGACAGAGACAAACTTAAATAACAAAACCTTGTAAAAGAAGTTCAGTTAAAATAAATGGGAGGGAGAGAGAGGAAAAAAAAGAAAGAAAGAAAACAATTATACATGCTTCAGCTAGTATACCCTCTGGTCTTCTTCAGGTGTCTGTCACTATACTTGGTCAATGTCTAAGAATTTGGGACCAAAACCCTTTATTCAATCTATGAGGTAGATTGCTCTCATTTCAATTTCTCTGAAGTCTTATTCACTTTTGTGTTGCTCATCCATTGTTTACACTGAACCAGACACGGAACCGACAATGGCTGGTCCGAATAGCAAACCATGGATTAATTCCTCATGGCAAAATTTCCGACACACAAAGTAAACCCAAACAAAAAATACGCATTCTCTATATGATCCTTCTCCTGTTTTTCATTCGTCATTGTTGACCCAACGAAAGCTGGTACTTGTTACATGTGCACTATTCAAAAGACAGTGACGGCCCAACTCTGTAGGAATTATGTCGAAATCGGGGAGTATGGGAGCTTCGGAGAAGAAGAAAGAACATCCAAATTTAAAGAAGAAAGAACATACGACTTTACTACAACTCTGACTGTCAACCTGGTTCGAGTTGTGTCTCGGGGCGGGGGGGTGAGTGCTGTTGCTGATGACAACAGCATCTGCAGGCATTTCAGATATAAACGGACTTTGGGGCCAAATTCATAGGGGGAAACAAATCGTGTTGCACCAGCCTTTCAAAGTAGAAAATATACAACTACTTCAGCTACAAGGCTGACTTTCTTTTTTTTTTCCTCTCTCTTTCTTTTCAACACAAGGCATCACATGAGTTAATTTAATCTTGAGACATGCTTATTAACGATTTTATTTTTCAAGATGGAATCACATCTTTTTTCTTATCAAAACATTTTGACTGGTGGTTTTTTTTGTTTTTTTTTTGGTCTTCCTCAAGAGTATATATCATCCAGAGGATGTTGCTTTGTACTCCTCCCCCCCCCAAAAAATCCTCACAATTTGCTGTTGAAAATGAATTTTCTACCGAAACCTTTGGACACACTTAACTAGGTTAAAAATGTGGAATTTATTTTAGAAGATTGAGCAAGATGAGAATGGCTTAAGCAACATCTGAAAATCACCTCAAGAGTCTTGGGGGAATATATCGGAAGATGCATTATGCTTAAAGCAATAAAAATAAACTTAGGAAAAAAGAAAAAAAAGTTTACCAAAAAAAAAAATTAGTTTCCCTTTTCTAATTACTGTATTTCTGTTAACAATCTGCTCATAGGTTGTAATTTTTCTAAGGAATCGGTAAATAAAAATCAAAGACTATTAAGTCAAAAGCAAATATCTTAAATGACACCACACCTAAATGTCAAGAAACTTTTAAACTGGATGTCGAACAGTTCACCATGACAGGAAGTATTTAAAAAGTTCTTTCAGTTAAAGTTTACTTAATGGGACCAGTGAAAAGAAAATACTTTAAAAAAAAAAAAAAAAAAAAAAAAAAAAGCTACAAATTTGAAAACCACATCCTTGGGTTCTTTTTCTTCTGCAAGAAACGGATGGACAACTGTAAATAATGAATTCTTAATTAGGCTTTTCAATTGTACTGAGAAATTATATTTGGGTTTACACCATGACAAATCTCAAGTCGTCCATTTGCAAATCATTTACTTGTTATTTACTAAGTAGTTAAGCATAGTTTTGGCACTGTGCTCCCTACAAGTCATTATCTTCATATGGCAAAAGTTTAGATGTAAGAAGAGCCTGTCCTGCCTTTAAAATCCGAGTGCTTTGGACAGCCTGACCAACTATGCCCATCCCAGTTTAGCATTTAGTCTGAACTTCAGAAATTGTTAGTAAAAGTTAATCTGCATTTAGGAAATTGCCACGACCATAAATTGTCGCTGTTCAGCTCCTGAGTGCATGGTGTATATGTATATATTTATTTATTTTCATCGCGATACAGAAATTTCTATGTTTTGGAACCTTAAATTTATTCCATTATCAAGCAATATTCAGTAACTTTTGAAGAAAATGATTTAATTTTTAAAGTGGAGTGGTATTATATTGAAGACTTTAAGTAGGAGGGTTGAACAAGATTTCAAAATTTTATGGGTATGAAGGTATTTTATGGGTATGAAGGTATTTGACAAATCAAAAGACATACCTAAGCTAAAACAGAAAAATGAAATATGAAAAAATGTAGGTTAGAGGTCAGGTGTGTGTATTCATACTTGTCTAGATGAGCTGTTATGTATAGACATGTCACCATTGCTCTCGGTTTAAGACTATATTCATAAGATACAATGAAATAAATCAGAGAGGTATATGTATCCAACAATGGGTTAATTTTGGCACTTTAATTTTTTTAAAATTATTTTTGTATATACTTTAGGATTGTCTAAAAAGGGGCCTCTTGTATGATTAAATCATTTTTATATAATACTACTCTGCTTTAAAAATTAAATCATTTTCTTCAAAAGTTACTGAATATCGCTTGATAATGGAATAAATTTAAGGTTCTGAAACATACAAATTTCCATATCATGATGAAAAAAATACTGGGTCCAATAGCCTAAGGTGGCAATTCTGAATTCAAAACCTGTGGATGGTCATTTGGGAACCTTGGGTCATACTGTGCACCTCTGTGTTCGACTCTTCCAAAAAGTGTGGTTGGTTCTGCACAAGCCTTCACCACTATAATCAAATGATCTCTGTGGGTAGTCTGGCTCTCATATGTTGAAAATGATGTGTATGTGTGTGTGTGTGTGTATATATATGTAAAAAAACGTATTTTTAAAAAAACACATTATGGCAGCTATTTTAATTAATAAAAAGTGAACAATTAAAGTCAAACGTGAAATTATTAAAGTGGCTGTAACAAAAACAAAAGCAGGAATATATATTTTGGTTATAAACTTATTTCAATGGAATCATTTGGTGTATCCACAATTATCACCTGAATGTTGCTAGGGATTGACTGTTTAGGTAATTTGTTCATTTAGTGATTTTTACAGAATTTCTTATCAGCTCCAAACCATTTTAACTTCTTCCTTCAACTGAAGTATATAAGAAAATGAAATTTTTTTTTTCAGTTTTTTCCTCTTCATTTATGAAGTTTGTTAATTTTTAAATTAATGGAGATGACTTTACTTTTTGTTCTAATTTAATAGCTCCGAATCACACACTTGATGCTGGAAACAATTGTTTCAAATTTGCAGAAAAAAGTATGACAAATGAGCTTTGTCTCACTGAATGTGACGGCCAGATAAAACTGGGTGCTGCCATATTTGGTGGCATTGACTTTTAAGATAATGTCTCAATAATGGTTAGAGTTTGATTCCCTCTGATTACCAAATGGAATTTTGGTCCCTTAAAAATTTCTTGAGTTTCATGCACTATAACACACAGTGATTTATAAAATAAGTGACACAGATTATAAAATCAACTTTTGTGGCAAAGCTGGTATAAACGTTCCAACATGAAATAACTGTAATTTTCAGAATGTAGGTCAGGTCATTTTGGCTCTCCACAATTTTCTGTTTTATTGATCTAAATAATTCTTACTCATCTCTGAAAAATAAAATCCAATTTGGAATATTCTTGGCAGCATTTTCATTCTTAATTTCTGTAATTTTGGTATGTAAGAAAGAAAGAGAGAGAAAGATTGAATGAAAGAAAGAGAGACAGAGGGAAAAGACAAAGAAAGAGAGAATGAAAGAAAGAGAGAATGAAAGAAAGAGAGAATGAAAGAAAGAGAGAATGAAAGAAAGAGAGAAAGAAAGAAAGAGAGAAAGAAAGAGAGGAAGAGAAAGAAAGAGAGGAAGAGAAAGAAAGGAAACAGAGGGTTTCTTTTATGTCAAATTAAGTTTTTTTCTTGTTTAACTAAAAAAAAAATTGTTTAAATTTTAGGATTTTTTTTTCATCTCATAAAAAATATTAAATCTTCAAGAAAAAAAAAAAAGAAAAGAATCCCAGGAATAAAAATAGCTGGAGGCTGATAGGTAAAACCAGTCTCTTGGTCAGTAGTAGTAATATATACTGCCACAATATTGAAATACCAATCACCACCCAATAAGGTTTGTTAGAACTTTTCTTAAAACTTTCCATAATCAGAAAAAGCTTGAATTAAATGAATCCACTTATAGAGTTAGTTCATGAGCAACGTCCTTAGATTTTTTCCAGTAAAGATTAAAAAATAATAAAATTAAATTTGTAATAAAAAGTTGCAGTTTTTATAAGAATTCGATTTTAACTTTTTTTTTTTTTTAAAAATCCGTTCATTCATTCTTTCATCATGCGATCTTTCTTTCATTTTGTCTTTTAAGTCACAAGACACTCTTTGGTATTTAGCTGCTCATTGCTGCACTCGATTGCAAGAGAAAATTTATTGCGCACAAAGCTGCACCTAAGGCGGAGTCACACCTGTCCCCATAGACGATTGGGGTGTGATAGAGTTTCCTCACTTCTTGTTGGACGATAGGGTTTTTTGTGACGCCAGACCCGCTTGCAATTATTCTCTGGATACCGTGGTCTTCCAGATATGTGTTTGGCATCATGTCATGCAGGTTGGCCACAAGGCCATGACACAGAGCACGGAAGATTTTGCCAAGTCCCATATTGTTCATGTTCAGTCCAAGAACGCTGCCCCTCTGATCAGGCTTGTGTCGTTCGCCTTGCAAGGTGGGGGTGATGACCAGGTCAGTGCTAGGCACTTGGTTAGCTAGGAAGATCAACCGATCCCAGATTTGGTCATCAGGAATTTGCATACCTTTAAGAGAGAGGAAAAAAAAAAAAAAAAAAGATAATTAAAAGTTCAGTTACTGTTATTACAACATTAATTTTCTAGGAGACACTCTAAAATAAAGACATACACAATAATTTCATATGGTCCTGTGCTTCCTGCTATTCAACTTGAGCTCCTTGATAAGACCCAAAGAAGAATCAGCAATATTATTGATCCTGATCTGGCAGCTTTGCTTCAGTCCCTTTCCTGTCCTGGGTATGACGATAAACTACATCTGACTGTGGGGTCTCTGATTGGGAGGTTTTGGGGAGCATCGAACCACTTCTTAATTGCTGGTGTCCCCAGATCCACCCTGACCCGGAGTGGCAGCACCTGTTGAGGTCCCAGATGTGGGTGGGTAGTTAAACTGGGGTCAAAATGTATAAAAATTGGTCTTATTACCAGCAGTACATTTTTAAAAAAACAAAAAAAAAAAACATCACCAGCAGTGTATCTTTGGAAAGAGAAACATCAACTATACATTTTGAAAAAAAAAATATTACCGGCAAAAATCTTGTCGGCATAAATAACCCATTGAGGTGTTGATATGCCGTAAAACAAAACAAAATAAACCAAACTGATTTCTTACAAAGAATACATATTCTATTCGTATGAACCTATCCTAAAAATTTTGTCAGCCTTAAAATAACCCATTGAGGTTGATATGCCGTAAAACAAAATAAACCAAACCAATCTAAACCAAAGAATACATATTTTATTCATATGAATCTATTCTAAAAATCTTGTTGGCACTAAATAACCCATTGAGGTGTTGATATGCCATAAAACAAACCGAAACAAATCTTTCCTACCACTGTAATGTTGCCTATTTCTTTTCTATAAATACTATCATAGTAATTATTTGAATGAGCTCTTCACCACAGTTCCTAGGGTTTTTAAATTTAAGCACAACCCTGGCGTTGAGATCTCATCAATTTAGTCGAGCTGCCTAGATGTAGTTTTGAATTCTATGTTAATAGTTTCTTCTCTTGCATTTCTCACTTGTGGAACTCCTCCCCCCCAAATGCTTTCCAGCCAAATTTAATCTTCAAAAATTTAAATGCCATGTCAATTGCTATCTACTGTCCTCCTGATTACTCTCTTCTCTTTTTGCTCATCATTATTGTTTCTGTTCTTAATTCTTCCACATCCTGTAACCCCCCCCCCCCCCCTTGTGTTTTAGTGGCATTACTACCCTTGATTGGGATAAAAAAAAAAAGAAAAAAAAAAAAAGGGGCACACAGTTCAGTCATATAAGACAAATATAAAAGTCTCAAAACAAAACGATATAGAAGTCTCTCAATGACAGCCATCTATAAATATTCCATTTAATAAAACGTGTCATATAACAGGCAGTCTGTATCTTTCTGTAAATATCGAGTTACTTTAAGAGCTGCTCAAGGTAGTGGGTTACTGCATAAACATTTACGATAAATGAAATGTGTAAAAGAGTGGATGATAGGAAGTGAAAATTATGAAGGTAAGGAGGATACAGAATCTTGATTTGAAAAAATTTAAATTTTAGTGTTTAAGGAAGCATCCCCGTTGGAGTATGTTTCACAGTGTAGCAGTTCTTGGAAAAAGCTGAGTGGAATTTTCTCCTGACATTTGGAATATGGAGGAAATGATTTTGACTCCTTCGAAGTGACTGCACTGTAAAGGTCTGAACTGGTGAAACTAAACATTTGCAATGGAAATTACGATATGCTTGTGATATTGTGCCTGTGGGGAAGAGGCTGCAAATTTTTGAATAAGTCTTCCACCAGCCCCACAAAAATGGATAAATGATTTTAAATATCAAATCTGGGATGTGAAAATGGAGAAGCTCCAGCAATATTTGGTGAATAAAATGTCCTTTATCTACTGAAGGGCTAAGCTCTCCACTTGCTGGATGGTGACTTGGTAATTTAGCCGTAATTTTTATAAAATGGTGGAAACAATTGCTTGTCATTTGTGTGTTCACTCTGGCCCCAGAAAATGTGGGCAAGTTTCTTGTGAGGCAGCAGCTGTCTGACGACTGTATGTTGGATGATTTTCAGTCATATAATTAAACATTTAAATACAGCTCGTACTTGGTTATGAAGTTTCCAAGCTATCTGCCCTGACCCTGGACTTGAGCTGTTGGAGCTTAGATCAGAATAGAGATCACCTGCAAGGCTCAGAATATCTGGATTTCTGAAAACAAATCCATAAATAGTAGTATCCTCTGCACAGATGTTTACTAAGGATGTGAGAATGTTCCTTGGTTGATTGCTAATAAAATGCAAAAAGAAGACAATACTAAGAATGAGGCGGGGGAAGCCTGCATGGATTGTCTGTGCCTCAGAGGACTGAACTTTCAGAAATTCATGGACCTACCTGATTGCATAAACTCTTCTAGAGATGACAGAGCTTCAGAGAGTTTGTATAACAAACCACTATGCTACACTTTTGTTAAAAGCCTTTGAGATATTCAGGCTGTGTTGTGAAGAGAGTATTTAGCATTATATTTGAATAAAAGTTTACCAAGGTTATTAAAAAAAATGATGGTTATATTTTCTCAAATAACTTCCGATACTTTGGTTTTCACGTGCAAGTTTTTAAATTTTTGTTTTTGTTTTAATTATTGTTGGTGTAAAGAGTTTTTTTTCCTCCTCCCCACTTCCTGACTCCATAAAAAATCTTGAAATAATCTTCCAATGACATTGGCATATAGGTCTGTGCAGAAAAGTTTTGTGCGTAACATTTTTACATCACCACAAGAGTCCACTACATAGAGATGGATGAATTACCTAGTTTGATAAATAAGATGCCATTGTCCAAAATTATTTTTAGTTTGAAAATAAGTGGATAGTAATTTTGTAATTGCATTGTGCTTATAAAATCTCAAATGTTTCAGTCAGTTTATCCATGCAGCCAAAAAAATGTTTCCGTTCACAATACTCGGTTGTCCAAAACAGGAAAAGACAAAAATTGCAAAATTTTCCAAAAACAAATTTTCATTCAAGCTTATATGTGGTTCTCAAGAACTTAATTTTAATTATTATAGAGATTTACATTTGTGTCCAGAAAATCAACATGAACAGATAATACACTCTGATCCTGTATTTATCTTCCCTCCCCACCAGGACTTAACCTTCACCTGCAATAAACATTGGGATCTCCAGAAATTAGCTTCCCCCCACCCCTCACTGTTAGGTTATAGACAAGAATACAGCAGGGGAGGAGCATACTTAAGGCCCCCAAAAAACACTACCGATTCCCAGGATAGCATGGAATATACAAAAACAATGTCAGTAGATTTAGAAAAACAAGAAGAGGAAATATGTCACTGAAATATTTCACAAGTAAAAACCAGTATATAAAAGAAAAGTAGAAAACTATTTTAAATGTGTCTTGTTATACGAGGAAAAAGACAAACACCAAAAAATGTTCTACTTTTAAGTTAACTGGCATAAAATTCCTCTTTTGATCAGTGAGTAATTTACCTGATCTTCAAGTCTCTTATAGGATGAATTAGTATCATTATGGAAACAATACATTTCGCCTGCTCCACAAACTCTTTCAACTAATCACCAGGGCATTGGCCAAATTGGTTCACACTGCAAGCACTCTGGGTGACTGTGCTCACACACTTCCGTTCCTCTTATTCGTAGCCCAGTAAGCCTGTGTGATTATTGCAAAGAATGGGTCACTGGTTGACCAACGAAGCACACACACACACATACAATAAAAAGTTGATCTCTTCAAACTAAATCAGTAATCTTACAATAATCTGTGTATGAAATAAGGCAACCAATTCCATAATGGCCATTATGAAAGATGGCTTCAGCATCTCTGCGACTTGTAAGAGGTGTGGCTGAATAAATCTTAATGATTCGTAGACAATACAATTATTAGAATGGTTTCAGATAGCATAGCCATTCCTCTCTGAGGGACTAAAGTTATTCATTCTTTAACTGACTAAAGATTGAAGAGGTAATGACCTATGAAAGTCTGGCAAATTTGCGTTAAAAGCAAAGATGAAGGCAATAAGTGGAAAAATCTAAAAATTACAAGAAGCTGCATCAATTTGTAAGTTTATTCAATTTTGAAGGCACTTTAATTGAAACTTAGCACATCAAACTTCAGCTCAACCAACTTTTTGATGTAATGTCCATGAAAGTCCTGTAACTGAACACACCCATGTATTTGGACATTTGGTTGACGGACATTTAACCGAATGAACATTTAGCTGAAAATGTAGTAGCGTACTTACATGTATGTCACATTCTTTATTGTAATCTGCTACCTATATTTATATTTATTTATTCTATTAATTTATAATTTTTCAGATTTTTTTGACAAGCTTTTTTTTTTAAATCTATTCTGTATATATTATATTTAACTTCAAATATTACTGTAAGATGATAAGTATTTTGAGAAAAAGCACATTTTACTACAGCAAAAATCTTAAGCTTTTACAATATGAAAGATCTTTCAATTTTGCTTTTAATGATCATTATCTTAAAGGGATGAACTAGCTTTTATCTTACTGTTAAATGTGAATTTAAATAATTAGGTGCTACTTTTTACACAAATACACTAAAATATTTAAAAAAATTTTTTTTTAATTTCAATAAACAAATATTGAAATAAAACTTTTAATTTTAAATTTAGATTTAGTAATTTAATCACTTCAAATTCAGTGGTAATTATTAATCCTATTCTAGCTTATACTACTGCTAATTAAAATACTTAAAGTGTTACTTGTTACTATTTTGACTTGTACTTTTTCGGCCAAATGTCCAGCCACGACACACCCTAGTGATATGTTCAGATACAAATGAAAATGTTTATAATAGAATAAACTAAATTCATGAGAAGAATATACTAGCTTACTTAAAAGCAAGTTCTTGTTGTCATCTTTTTGTCATTTCCTGCCTTGGTCATGACAATCAAGTGACCCAAACAAGAATTGACTCAAGCATCAAAGAAATCCTTTTTCTTAAATTTACCCAGTATTCTAATATCATCTGGTGCTCAACCAAAGCTATATCCAAGAGTAAAATAGAAAAGTTTGAGAAGAGCTTACACATTTGTCTACCTAGGGAGCATCTTACACAGATTCAAGATACCTTTGATGACAAAGTCAATTATAGATTTTGTAAGGCTTATAATACATATGGAAAGCTTAGGTCAAGGCTTTGGTCACAATCTGACAAACTTACCAACAAAAGCAGAAGTTTACAAGGCATGTGTCTTAACAATTGCGTTGTATGGATTCAGGACATGGATGACTTATCACAGGTATATATAGCACCTTGAGAACTTCCTGAATTTCTTACATTCTCTGATGAAAATTTCATGGCGATCTAATGTGTCGGATATGAGAGTACTACAGTTAGCCAAATACAATGAGTATAAAGTCTAGGATTATGAAACAATGTTTAAAGGACACCCGAATACAAAACCAACACTCTGTGGTGAATAGGCATGGCAAACATCCCCAGTTCAAGCCACAAAAATGGCATAACAATTGCCTAAAAGACACACTTAAAAAGTACCTTACTATGACATGGGACAATCTTGCATCAGTTCAGGTAAAAATGGAAAAAATTGATTGCAACAGGTGCTATAGAATTTGACAGCAACTGAATTAATTGCATATGCTTAATTGAAACAAGCTGGTAAATATGTGGAAGACATGAGCCAGCCTGTCCCTGATAAGTGAATGGAAGAATCTTTTTTGCATGACAAATGTGGCCAAGTTTGATTTTCAAAAGGTAGTCCTCATTAGTCACAAATGATGTCATAGAAACACCATCAATATGGCATCCTGCTTGATTTCCCTTGCAGTCTCACTAACAAAGTGTGCAAGCCAGCCAGTGAACTCAGCATTATAAATATCTGCATCCAGAAGGCCAAGTTGTTGCAGGAATGTGGTGTGAAGATATAACTCACATCACTTCATCAGAATTGAGCGCTCTGGCTGTCACTCTAGCGTTTATATACATCACAGATATAATATGTTAAAAGATTACCTTTCTCTGCTATGCGCCAATAGCTTAGGGGTAGAGTCTCTGACTGATGCCAAATAGGTTGAGTTTCGATCATGGCTTGAAGCCATCAGATGTCTAGCCACACTGAGGAGCTGTGATACAGCGAAACAGGCTGCCTGTGGGTATATATATATATATGTATATATATATATATATAAATATATATATATATGTCATATATTATGAAATGGACTAAGTCTGACAATTGTTTTAATATATTTTTTGTTTATACATTATTTTGTAGATAGAAATATTTAAGTAAATGCTGTTTATAATAAACAGTATAAACTACATTTACCAGCCTGAATGTCCGAGAAAAATATGTGCCCTCCGACAGAAATCGAACCTGTATTCAGGCTGGTAAGTGTTGATAATACTGTTAATACTGTTTATTATAAACACAGCATTTACTTAAATATTTGTATCTATAAAAAAGTATAAACAATATATATATATATATATATATATCAAACAGGCAAGGGAGTACTGAAAGTTTTTCACTCCATCCCATTTTCCAAAATCTGACACAATATCAGAATTTGGGGATGGGGAAAACATTCTTGTGTATGCGTGTGTATACAAAAAAGACACATACATTATTTCTTAACAAAATCTTTGTATTTTAATTGAACCTTTTGTAATGATTAAAATACTGATGAGAAACTATTTTAGGTAATGTTTCTTTTTGTTTTTTTTCCATGTTAGGAATTCAAGTGGATAAAGTCAAGTGAGTTTTAATACTTACCAAATTCTGTCAACCATTCTCCAAGTGTTTGCACAAAATTAGCCATTACACTGCCACCAGTAAGGCTGGCGACTGTAGCAATGTAAGTATTACTGAAGTAGGGGAAATATTCAATTGCATGATTCGGACTGGTTGCTGGAGGAATGAAGTCCTGCTGAGAAATGGGGAAGGCCAACTGTGTCGAGGTGCTGATATTAAGAACTGTGAAAAGAGAAGCAAACAAACACAAAACAGATTTAAATTTGAGAAGAGCAATTATCATTTAAAGATTTGTCTTGACTAATTCTTTGGGTTGTTTTTGGTTGTCGTCGACAGTTGAAACAATTCTTCGAAAAACCAGTGTTGATTAACACTTTTCATAAAAAAAAAATATTTTGTGTTGGCAGCAAAATTGGACTTTGCTTTCATACGCCGGTGTAAATGCACTAAAGAAGAAAACTAGAGATATAGGTAAAAAGACGTAGGTATGCACACACCTGTGTTAATTCCTGGAATCAGGTATTATCATTATGTACACTTGAACTATTGGCCTCACTTTTGTTATTGTTGTCATAACATTTTGGCTATTGTGTTATCTGGCCTTTATCAGATGCTTACCAATTTGGGTAACATTCAGGGAATTTAAAACTGAAACCTTTAATTAAGACTATTTACATTCCACTAACCATATCTACGGACATCTCTACCAGTTCTTATTTTGTACTTTTTTTTAAAATCATTTCCCCTTCACTCCAAGTAAGGCAATAAAGCCACTAAAATGCAAGAAGTTTCGAAATGTGAAAGAATATTAGAAAAATTAATTATTAAGGAGAGAGAATAATAAAACAGGAATTAAGAAAACACGATAACGATTGACATTGCATTTGAAGATCAACATTGACTGGGAAGCCAGAAGAGAATTCCACAAGCGAGAAGTGCAAGAGAAGCATCTAGCCATTTCAACTGTAAAATGATGAAACCTTCATGTCAATCTTGTACCATGTTTAAATTCGTAAAGTCTAGGTACCATAGAGGAAAGTTTAGAACAATTTCAGGAAAATATTTACAGAAAATGGACAGGGAAGCGACATTATGGTGATGAGAAAGTATCTGAAATCGAGATGTCAGGTTAGAACTAATAATATTGCAGATTCTTTATATTTATTAAGAATCTCTAAATACATAACAAGAGCACCAGACCAGATGTGACAGTAATATTCAATTCATGAATGAATGGCTAACTTATGAATCTCTAAGATAGATAGATGCTGTCAAGAAAAAATGTCTAGTACAACACAGTGAACCAATTTTCCTAGCAGCAGATCTAGCAACTGATTCAATATAATCTTTCCGCTTCATGTTAAAATGTTAGCCTGAGAAGGCACAATGTATCACTCTCCTGGAGTTTAGATCAGCCATGCTGATGGAAGGCAAAATGGGGTCTCTCAGATGATTGACAGAGAGCAGTTTCATTTTGGAGGTGTTAAAATTAACAAGTTATTTTTTGCCCCAGTTAACACACAGACTGTAGGTCATTTTGACCTTGAACCGATCAGACTTACCATTAAGACAGGAGTAAATAGTTGTGTCATTAGCATAGATACCCAGTTGAGAACTGATGACATCAGGGCGGTTGTTGATGAAAATTAAAAACAACTTAGGACCAAGGATAGATCCCTATGGAACACCTGCATTAATGCAAAAAGATCTAGAAGAGTGGCCATTCAAGATGAAATTCATTTCATGATTTGATAAGAAAGATTGAAAGATCAAAAATTCATCCATAAATACATTTTCAAATAAGGTATTGTACATTGTGTCTGATGTGGATAAACTGTCTGGAGTTCATATTATTGTTTTTTTTTTTTTTCAAGAACTTTCAACCATATTAGTAATTTTTAAGAACCAATGTGGTATCTGTGTGGTAATTAGAATTCCTTTGTCTATCTTCCTGGTATTTTTTGGAAGTTTTGACAATCCATGGTGAAGTTGTGTTTAATGGTTATTGGGAATGAGGTCATGCAAAAAGAATTATTCATAAATGGGCATGTGACCAAGCCATTAAAACATTCGCATTTTGACCATGAGACCTGGGTTCGCTCTCATCATGGTCGATTTGTCAGGAAGGAGTCTTCCTGATGTTATCGGACTGGAGGGGGTTAATCCTAGCATGAAGCACCTTTGGAAAGTGCCTGAAAACCATACCATGGGTTGATCCAAGCCTTGTGAGTGAGATTGGGGGCCGTCAATAGCTGTGTTAGCATGAAGCCACAAGTCATTGTGGCTGAGGGCTTGAGCATGCTGGTATTTTTCAAATTGTTGATCATGCTAGATAACACTCTCTCTCCCAGAAACTGTAACTAAGGTCTGCTCAGCATAGTTGCAGTATAAGCCACAGGAGGGCTCTGTGGGTCTTGAATAAACATAAATGCACCTGAGCAAGCATCTGCAATAGGGATTGGACAGATGCCCTAGTAGGCAGGTATCCTCAAATACAAGTGGCCAGCTATACTTTATTCATGATGACATATAAAAGAATTTTTGTCAGTTTCAATTGTCGGAGCAAGAAATTTAAAGAATGAAAAGAGAGAGAGAAAAAAATAATGAAGAACTAACCTGCATCTTTGTCATCCCTGATGGTTGACATGATGGCACACTGGAGATCTCCAAGAGCTACAAGGACAGGAATTCCTTGAGGAATAGAAAACCAATCGCTCTTCAGAGTTCCAGCTTCAGAACCAACTTCTTTTACTTGCGGCAGAAGGTTGACTGGAAAACCAGCTTTTCTTAAACTGAAAGGAAAACAAATTTATTTATTTTTATTTTTTTTTTTAAATCGGTATCACCACAATCAAGGCAGTAAAGCCACTAAGACACAAGGGGTTATATGGTGTGGAAGAATTAAGAAACATTAATAATGAGCAGGAATAGAAAAGAGTAATCAGGAGGACAGTAGATAGTGATTGACATTGCATTTAAATTTTTGCAGATTAAAGTTGGCTGAAAAGCATGGAGCCATAAGTGAGTTCCACAAGCGAGAGGTGCAAGAAAAGAAACTGTTAGCATAGAGTTAACAGTTATATCTAGCCGACTCATCTGTAAAATGATGAGACCTCAATGCCAGTCTAGTACTGCGCTTAAATTCAAAAAGTCTAGGTACCACAGTGAAAGGTTTATCCAAATAATTACCATGAAAATATTTATAGAAAAGGTACAAAGAGGCAACCTTATGGCAGTGGGAAAGTGACTGAAGCTGAGCAGCCACATCAGGACTGATAATATTGCTGATTCTTTGAATTTTATCAAGGGGCTCAAGGTAAATAACAGGGGCATTGGACCATATGTGGCAGTAATATTCTAAGCCTGGGTGAATGGTAGACTTATAGATATGTAAGATAGATTCAAGAGAGAATTGTTTCACCTGGAACAGTGAACTGACCGAGCAATGGATAGCTGCATTGTTGGCAACTAAACCAGATCTCCCACTAGGCTTTTCTGGTGAGAAGGATGGCTGTATACACAGCAGGATTAAAAATAAGACCTGTGAAAGAGCACAGCATTTCTACGACCATACCCAGTCATGAGACTGATAATAGTTGGAACAGTAACTTCAGCCTCTTAATAGAATTTATTTTATTTAATCAACACTTTAACATATCTTTGACAAAATATAGAGTAACTGAAAAAACGGCAAACACTTTCAAATATTTAATTGCCCAGCACAAAAAATGTCATATAACATAGGACATGTATAAATTTTTAGGGAACCACGTTATACAGCATGTAAGTGAATTCAGGTTTGGTTTTCTTTACAATGTCATCACTAACAATAGAATAGCAGCCTAAATAGGCTCCATTTTCTCTAAGTTGAGTTATTTTTTTAACTACATGTTTACCTAATTGGACTCTTCCAGAATTATCCACCTTTTGCTGTACTATATATATATATATATATATATATATATATATATATATATATATATGAAGAAATATAGTTTTAGTTCTAGATTTATGGGATAATGTGCTCAATATCAGAGATAGAGTGTATGTAAATATAAAAGTGAACATTGAAGTCAACAGTCAGAGGTGACAGGTTGTTTCATGCTAGATGCAATCATTAGGCTCTATAAAAGAATATATATATATATATATATATATATATATATATATACACACACACACACACACACAGATATCCTCTTTTACTTGTATTCTTATTTGCTTTTAGTCCTGTTGGAGACCACTCTTTATTAAAGCCATCATCAAGGTACTTCTTTAGTTCTTTTCTTTTTACACCTAATATAAGGCCCAAGTGCCACTTAAGGTAGTGGGAGTGCTGAGTGAGATTCATTTATGGATGTAATAGGAGGAAGTAAGTACAGATTATGATTGAACTATTGATAATGGCTGACTTTAGATTTGAAGAGGCTAAGAGTGTAGCAATCAAAGAAACATCCTCTAGGAAGTCTGTTCTGCAAAGTAGCGGTTGTCAGGAAGAAGCAGCTTGAGTAGAACTTCCTCCTTACCAATGGAATACAAAAGGAATCAGGATGATTCAACTTTGTGAATGTGGCATGACAGAGGATCTTAGATGCAAAGGTCTAAACTGGTGGAACTAATGAATGAAGGTTGTCTTTCCTTTGTTCTACTAGCTAGGAGGCAACATGCCCCGTCCATGGGGTCAAATCATTCCTCATTTCCCCCATATAACATTAGTAAAAGGGAAGTTCCATTCAGACACCTGCTTCCACAGTGAGTATAAATTTATATATGGGAGGAAATTTGGGTCATCTGGGTGGCAATTATTTCAGACAAGCATCTGTCTTTTGATTAGAAAACCCAATCCAATGACATGGTAAATGCCCATTGAAGACTTTTCATGGTGAAAGTGAAGGCAGAAATCCAACGATCCTGTTGAAAAAAGAAGTTGTTAAAAAAAAAAAAAAAAAAAAAAAAAAAATACATGTAATTCAAAGAGAAAATGATGATGTAATCAAGATGTTGACATTTTACACTACTTGGAACAAAAGGTTAGGAAGGAAACCTCCATCTGGAAAGAACAATAACAGTCAGTGGGCTTGAGAAAGCTCATTTTTTTTTTGAAAAATTATTTTAATAGAAAGATTTTATAAATTTCAACATTAGTACTGGCATGGTCAATGGATGCTAATTGTTTCCATATAAGTATAATGTGGAAAGAGATATGGAAGAAAAATTTATTCTAGCCTTTACATTTTTCCCATTATGGGCATTATTACATTCCACAATATAATAAGATCAAACTTCATGGACAGAACAACTGAAAGGAAAAGGAATGACAAATATGCTTTATTTTCAGAGAGACTTTTATACCACTAAGTCATACACAAAACTATACATGTGTCCCATGCAGAAAATAATATATCATATATATCTACACAGAGCAGAGTGTAAGAATGTAAAGATAGGATCTTACATATAATACAGAGATTCTTCTGTGTTTCTGGAGAAGCCATGTTTAGGACTCCAGATGGGACAAATTCATCTACCATATCCAAAGCAAGGACATATTCTGTAAACTGGTAATAGTGAGTTTTGGGTTTTCCCAAATTGAGGATTAGTTCTTTCTATATTTGTGGAAGACATATTTCCAAAGGGAAGTGGTTCCATGTGCTTGTAAGCTGCTGGGGGAGGTAGACTTAGTAAAAAAAAAAAAAAAAAAAATGCAAATGCTCAATTATGGCTACTGCAAACCAACTAAAATTGATTACTGCTTTTGTCACTGTATGGAGTGACATCATTAAGTGGCCATCATGTGACCCACATCTTATCTTGACCAAAGAATGATGATTGAAAGAGAGAAAAATAAAGAAATGGATAGTATTAATAAATATTTGAATTGACAATGACATGTTAAATACTGCATTTCCTAACCTTAAAAATTTCTCAAGTTTGACTTGCAAAATTTAAAAAAAAAAAAAAATAAATAAAAAAAAAAAAAAGTAAGATTGTAAGATGCAGATAAGTTTTCTATACTTATTTTTGGAGTAAAAATAGAGTCTTTGATGTCTGGAAATCTAGTATTTTAGTTGCTGAGCAACTGCTAAATACTTCAGTGTATGATTTTATTTGGTCGGGTGCATAGAGCTAGATCGTTATTTGTGTATGTAAATATTTCCCTTTCAAACCATTAATCTTTTATTACGTGCACTTCAAATGTTTCTTCTGGCTAAAGACACACACACCACACCCTGAACTTCTTTGGCTGAACTTATTCCAGATTTTATTCTTTCAGACTTAGTAGACTGGAAAAAAAAGATTGAAGGTTACAAGAAAAATATACAAACGAATAAAAATGTTGCACTGAAAGACAAACGAGATTAGAGATCTAGGTGCAGAGAATGGCTTAGTGGGTAAAGATCTAGATTGGGTTGAACAAATGTTCAATACCGACTACTCAGATTTCTTAGTCCCCTGTGATTTTCTATTATGAACAACATACCTCAAAATATCAAGTTATCATGGCACTCCACAACCTCCTTTTCATTAATATATAGATTATGCATTGTCTTGATTGTTCTTGGGAAAAAGAGTGGAATGGTTTTCTGTATTCTGAGATTTACATTTGTTTTCCTAGATTGGTTGACAAATGAAGTTGGGAGAAGATGGATTCATGCCTTTCTCAAGGTTATTAGAGTGAACAAGAACTGACTCAACTATAATTTAAATTCTGATTACCTTTTTAATTATTTTTTTGTTTTTTTAATGCCATGACTCTTCAGAGCATAGACTATCATGACTCTCCACAGCTTCCTTTTTAATGCCATAACTCTTCAGGACATGGGCGATTACGACTCTCTACAACTTCCTTTTTTTAATGTCATGTCCTCTCAAGGAGATCATGACTTTCCACCGATTTTTCTGTATTGCCGGTGAGTTGCCATTATGGGGAAAGATGGCAGTCCCCTTACCCCGCACCATTGTCTTCTCCATGGTTTGGAATTCAGAGTTTTCTTCCTTTCAGACTGGTTGCTACTTAAGGCTAGAAATTTCAATCTGCTCCTATTTACCCCTTAGCTAGAATGAAAAGAGATGGATTCATGCCTTTCTCAATAGCATTTGAGCATTTGTGCAAAAGTGAATGCAATAGTCTCACCTGAAATTCAAACTTGATTTGCTGATTTTCTGCACTGATATCCATTACACTACCTGCCCATCCTCTCAATGTTACCATCTAAAATCTGCAATGTGTTTTGTAGTACTAAATTCCACTAGATTGTCAGGGATGCCATGCCAAGTAATTCACTTCATGGCAGAGAAGTCGATAATACTTGACAGCGACAATCTTCTCTCTATGCAACAGGTTATACTGGGTACCAGCAGTAAGACGTCATCTCTGACTTGACAATTTTTCCATTCCCTGATAGATTGGGAGAAAAGGGAATTCATGTCTTCCCAAAAGGCACCGATACAAAGCGGACACCAACTGTCGCAGCCAAAAATCATTTTCATAAATGTTAGCTCACCTGCTCTGGTAGTATACATGGAAAAATTGATTGGCATAATAGAAAGAAGCTGGACATGGCTCCTGTGCAAGGAAGATACACACATTTGTAAAATGTTTCACTTTGTGAATCCTAATCTGGAAAGATGATCATCTGAAATACA